GGTTCTCGGTGTATATACATTGAGTTTACTTTGGTAAGGTACAATGTCCAAAACTAAGGTAAACTTGCCAGTTGGTCTGTAAACTCTTGCGGCGACCTTAATAACCCCCCTGAAGTTGATAAGCCTTAAAAGCCAGCACCAAGCCAAATGGATGTGATTTTGTTTAGAATTTAGAGAAAATTCTATCATAAATCCTCAAGACATGTATAAGCAATTCATTCAAAATGATGTGCTATCAGAAATCTTAGTGTAGGGGTTCAAATCCATATGAAATGTAATTACATAATGAAATCCCAAGAAAGTGATGTGTTTATGAGAGGGTGTTGGAGTCATGTGGTGGGATTGAACGCGCGTATTTGGGGGTGACCAAGGATGCAAGTATCAATGTATTCTTGCATGTGACTAGTTCACCACGAAAGCAAATTAGTAAGCCCTAGAGATTGTTGTAGTATTGTTTATGTACCGCTTATGATACAAAAGATTGTTAATCTATACATAAATCTATGTAACTAGCTTATCAAAACTGTAACTTAGTTAAATTAAATTTGGGGTTTGCTTCCTGAGCTCAACATGTGTCTCTTTAGCTGTGCATAATAAATGATACAAAAAATTACGTGTTTCGTTAATATTATGATTCCCTTCTCCGGCACCTTCCTAGGAATACATATCTGTGGCACTGGCTCGTTACTGAGGGCCTCTCGTCTGTCACCTGTTTAGAACACCGAACTTTGCCTGTTTCTCTCAAGGTTCCCGAGAACTTCTGTCTCGAGTAGTTAATCTAAGACTTTAGTTAGCTGCGACAAAGTACCTCTGAGGCTCTTTCATTAAACGTCATGATTTTAAGTCTGGCCCCCTACTGCTTTTGTTACATCTAGTTCCTGCAGATGTTTTTTTTATCTCACGTGCAGGGACAACTATGTGTTCTTGAGTATCTTCTAAATACATCTCGCTTCGTATCTTAAGAGTTAAATGCTAGTTTTTCGTAGGCCTCTTGAAATGTCTCGGTGAGCTTCTCGCACACCTCTACGTCGTTCTTCGTGAGAATACATCAACTGCTTCTCCTCAGCCTCATCTCAAGGTCTCTTACTGTGGGTTTTCTCCTTACATGGCCGTACGTGTTAGTTGGTCTTGATAAGCGTTTGATAAAATGTCGTTTTCTAATTGATCTTTCAGCCAAATTCTCAATAGTTCCCCCCCCTGGCCTTTTGCTCATATACTTCTTGTTCCTAGAAAGACTGAAACAGATAGTACTTACATTGCATCAAGGCATGACAAACCAAATTTACATTTCATTATGGGCTGACTGTATCTAAATTGTAAATAATACAATGTAAATTCAATGATTATTATAATGTACATTAATTTAGCATAAAATAAACTTTTACTATCAACTGAGAGTATACTTTACTTCTGGACAATGTTCAGGACTAAAGTATACTTGCAGGTTGGTCAGTAAACTCTTGTAGTGGCCTGGGTAATCATCGCGCGGTTTGCTTTAATGCCAACACTAAACCAATTTAAAAATGCAAAGTATCTGGAATTACAGATACTCTCATATTAGGCACCAATGGACTTCTAGTATAGAGTGTGCAATATCTTTAATTAAACATACAATGTTTAAACTTAATAAATCCATTACAAAACTATGTGTGTGTGTGTGTGTGTGTGTGTGTGTGTGTGTGTGTGTGTGTGTGTGTGTGTGTGTGTGTGTGTGTGTGTGTGTGTGTGTGTGTGTGTGTGTGTGTGTGTGTATGTGTGTGTGTGTGTGTGTGTGTGTGTGTGTGTGTGTGTGTGTGTGTGTGTGTGTGTGTGTGTGTGTGTGTGTGTGTGTGTGTGTGTGTGTTTCTTAAAAGAACCAAAGAAAATATGTTCTAGACTAAAGTCCAAGTGTTTTTCCTTTCTCTGCTTATCAGAAGGACTTGACAAATGAACACCCATTAACAGAGCACATCCCAGCATGCACACAATCGCAAACTGTAAGTTTTGTAAACAAACTTGTCACCAATACTGTGTTCTTTATCGACTACATTCGAGCTACATATGCCATACACGCACTTACGTCCGGACTCTAGCAATTGACAATATACACACACACGTATATATGTAAAATCGATTTGGACAATACCTCGAGTGAAGGTTCTATTGCAAGCAACATTACAGGAGGATTTGGACAATACGTAATGCTCTGTTTTTATTCTCTCTCCTTGCGTTTTTCCTGTTTGCTTCTAATTCACTCCTAATTCTCTATCCCCGTATTTATTCACATTAATCTACTTCTGTCTTACCCAAATTTATTTATCAATCTATTTCATCTCATTTATCTGTGTTTAATCCAATTTATATATCTGCGTATTTGCTCCCATTATCTATCGCAGTATTACTTCCATGTATCTATCGCAGTATTAATCCCATGTATCTATCTGTATTACTCCCATTTCTGGATCTATATTACTCCCATTTATATATTTCAGTATTACTCCAATTTATCAATCTCTGTAATTTACTCCAATTTCTCATTCCTTCCCCCCGTCCCATCCCAAATCCTTATCCTGGTCCCTTCCTAGTGCTATATAGTCATAATAGCTGGGCGCTTTCTCCTCACAGTTTCCTTACCTCCTCTGTGTGAGCCTGCTACGGGCTATTCATACCCGTGCCAACTTTTGGTGTGGCATAATCTTTATCAATCTTGTGTACCTGTTCCCCATTACTCTCCACCGTTTCAACACTGGCGGACATTCCTGTTCCGTACATGCTCTCGTCTGGCCTCGTGTCAAGAGAGATTTGGGGGATGAGGCTTTTGCCTCACTCCACCTTACATGTGAACTTCTTGAGGTTATCTTGAGATGATTTCGGGGCTTTTAGTGTCCCCGCGGCTCGGTCCTCGACCAGGCCTCCACCCCCAGGAAGCAGCTCGTGACAGCTGACTAACACCCAGGTACCTATTTTACTGCTAGGTAACAGGGGCATAAGGGTGAAAGAAACTCTGCCCATTGTTTCTCGCCGGCACCCGGGATCGAACCCGGGACCACAGGATCACAAGTCCAGCGTGCTGTCCGCTCGGCCTACCGGCTCCTGAACTACCTAGATCTCCTACCTAGATCTCCTGGTGCGCTACAAAGAAGCTGTTAGACATGCTTTATTCATGTGAATAACAGCGTCATTCGCAAATCATCTACATGTGGCCTTCATGCAAATGCTGAAATTGCCAAATAGGATTTCACCGGGATGGAGCCAGGTGTTTTAGTGAGAGAGTTAGGGGGGATAGAGGGAGATGATGTCACTGGGACAGGGTCGAGGGAGCTGTATATAAGGACATGCATCTCCCCATACCAACAGTCTTGGTGAAGCTGTGTTATCTTCCCTGTGTCTTGCTCTCACACCATGAAAACTGTTAGTATTAACTCTTAAGAGCGTCTTCGAGGTACATGAAGGATTAGATTAAGATTAAGATTACATCACGTTAATGTGATTTGTGTGTGTGCATAAGAGGTTGGTGGTTTAAGGACAGTTCCTAGAGTACATGAGTCGTATAATAAACCTTCAGAGAATAGATTTGAGAATTGCCTTAATAGGTTGACCAGACCAAACACTAGAAGGTGAAGGGACGACGACATTTCGGTCCGTCCTGGACCATTCTCAATCAACTTGAGAATGGTCCAGGACGGACCGAAACGTCGTCGTCCCTTCACCTTCTAGTGTGTGGTCTGGTCAACTTACTTTAGCCACGTTATTGTGACTCATCGCCTTAATAGGTTGTTAACTGCACAGAATACTGAATGTTATATAAATTTGTGCCTAATTTTAATCTGATTACATTATGGAAAATATAACCTTTTGTGAAGAAGAGATGGAGGGTAATGGAATTAACAGGCGAATATAGAGGAATGAAGAGAAGTAAATGGAAGGCGAATAAAGAGGAGTAAAGGGTGATGGAAGGGGCTAGGAAGTAAAGGGAAGTGTAGAATGAATGAATTAGCTCGACCGAAATAAGAGGTAGAAAAACGCTTTCTTTAACAGTTGATTAGTGTTAATAATGGAGTATTTTTTTTTATTAATTATATATCTTACGTTGGAGGTATACTTGAGACTTGTAGAATACACACAATAAATATTCCTGACTCATATCTTTCTTAAAAGCACATTTATTTCCTTGGAACAATTCGGGTAGAATTCCAAAGAGAAATGGTATTTAACATGTGCTATCCACGGGTGGATAACCAGAGGAGTCCATAGGATGCTGGTCTTTTAATCTGTATCTAATACCATAAGATGCTGGTCTTTTAATCTGCATCTTATACCATAAGATGCTGGTTAAAGAAATCTAACACTGTTGTTCATATTGCAGCCGTATGTGATAATGGTGGTGGTGGCGCTGGCCGTCCGGATGGATTCGACCCAAGCCATGCCCGATCCCATAGCTGTGGCTCACCCTCAGTTCGGCTACGGATATGGAAGTGGAGAAAATGGAGGGTGGGGCGGTGGCTTCCAGGACGGCTTTGGGAGGGACCAACAATACGGTTACGGCGGTGGCTGGGGTGGTGGCTTCCAGCCAGGCTATGGCAGTCAAGAATACGGCAATGGCGGAGGTTGGGGCGGTTACTATCGTAAATAATATAGAACACTTATACCAACGAACACATGCATGGAAAACGAAGACCCGACTATCGACTTGAGAATGGTCCAGGACGGACCAAAACGTCGTCGTCCTTTCACCTTCTAGTGTGTAGTCTGGTCAACCCATCATTGTGAATCTGCAAGTGAAATAAAGTGCCAAACTTCGACTCCTGCCACCGTGGAAGTTAATATTCAATGGGCTATGACTTGGAGGACTGGAAAATGAGAGTACTGGAACAGGTTTGGCTAAATAACACGATCCAGTCCATCCGTCCATCGCCAGCCTCCAGCTTCTAAATGCAGTCAACCTCAGCACCTCACTCTGCATTCCACAGCGTTTTTAACCTCCAAAACCTCCAGGATACAATTACTCATCGGTTATTGCATATACAGAACATTTTTTTACTGTCATTGACAGTTGTGAGTTAAGTATACCATATAGTGTTATATACTCTATGTTACATGTATAAACATACTCTCCAGATATGTTGCAATTGACTTTATTTTTAATTACTTTTATATTAGCGATCACACAAAACACATATACTACCAACAATAAACAAACATTAATCTAGCTGCATTCTCTTCATCCTCTAGAATATATTACGTAGAAGGTAAACTGCACTTAACTGCATTGAAAAATATATGATAATAAGGTAAAATTCAAAACTTAAGTGGAAATGACTTCGATAATTCTTTCCTTTCGAGTATGATGCTAATGGTAAGAACTATATTGGAAGATGTTGTTGTTGTTCTTAACAATAACACGATATTCTTGAGACGTAGTATTTTAGCTCGGCATATAAGCTAAAAAATATTGAATATGATTAGTATATTCTTAAGACAATATCAACACTATTGGAGAATAGATTGATATACCCGGATCAATTAACTTAATAGTTTGATCTAGTCAAAACTTGACTTGGGGTGCCGAATCTATGCTTCTGACTGATACAGAAGTCCTATTGCGAACTTAAATACCCCATCTTATTCTTAAGTACAAGTCTCGTCAATTGAGACTTTGAATCCTCACCAGTAATTACAGTTTGTGTACCCAAGGAGTTAGAGGGAGCCGATCGGACAGCACGCTGGACTTGTGATCCTGTGGTCCTGGGTTCGATCCCAGGCGCCGGCAAGAAACAATGGGCAGAGTTTCTTTCACCCTATGCCCCTATTACCTAGCAGTAAAATAGGTACCTGGGTGTTAGTCAGCTGTCACGGGCTGCTTCCTGGGGGTGGAGGCCTGGTCGAGGACCGGGCCGCGGGGACACTAAAAAAAAAAAAGCCCCGAAATCATCTCAAGATAACCCTAAATGAGACTTTTCATTGTCTTTCATTGGCAAGTAGAAGGGAAAAAATAAAAAACATTTTCTTCCTGTAAGTTATCAAGATTTCTTACATACAATTTTATCAGTGGAAATGGAAGAATGAGTTGATTATCCACATCTATGTGCAGTACCGTCAGGAATAGACAGATGTCGAGAGCTTGATATGATATTCAATCCAAGACTTGACTTATAACAGACCGCATTCTTAGACACACTATTAAGTGTCATGCTTGTAGCCCTAAAGTGTCTACTGATACACCAAAATTCTATCAGAATTCTGGTTATCATGAGTGTTCTTCCCTTGTGAAAGTATTTCAAAATATTTATCAATATGTAAAGCTCAAGAAAATGCCGAAACATAGTTTATTATATATTTAAATTCCACACGTGTTTTGAAAGGCATTTATAACCCTAAAATAATATTACATCTTCTGGTTTAAAAGACATACGATTGACTAGTTCGGAAATCATCGGCAAAGAACGCAAGATTTAGCAGCAAACAAGTAAGAACTAATATCGAATATTCTAAAGCCTCATGGTAATGTGATTTATAAATCCCAGTATGAGCGGGATAACGCGTGGAAATCAAAATGAATAATCCAACATGTAAATGCAGACTATGAGTCACAATAACGAGGTTGATTACTAAACTTAGGTAATTCAACACACTAACTGAACGAACTAGTTTTGCAGCAGAAAATAATTCACGTTTTTGCAAGATCATGGGATTAACAAACACCACTAGAAATGAATAGTTATCGAAGCAATAGGCGGAATGAATGGATTTAATATGGATTTAATAAATGATTGATGGGGTATTCAGGTGTGACCGGGTCTCTCTGCCACCCCTCCCTCCCCTCTCTCTTAATCATCCCCTCTCCCCTTTCTCTCTCATCTCTTCCTCTATTCCCTTTCTAAACTCCTCTCTACCATTTCCCCCTCCCCTACCCTTCTCCTCCGACATTTCCCCTTTTTTCTCTCTCTCTCTCCCCTTCTTTCCTAATCCCCCCTTCTTTAAACCTCTATTCACCTCTTTCCTCTCCTCCCGTCCTCCCCCAGTCTCCTTCCCTCTCTCCCACTCTCCACCAACATCCCAAACTCAACCCTCTTCCCCTCTCCTACCCTCTCTCTACCCCCTCACAAAATGTGATATTATGCACAGGTGAAAACTGCTAGAAAACTCTTTAGAAATCAAATCCTCGATTTCAGACTTTCAGAAAAATATAGGTGCTGATATTTCTTAAAAGGAGGGCACCGGGCCGACCCCGTTAGACCTATGAGACGCCCAGACCACCCATGAATCATCATAAAAAGTTGGGTGAGGCTAGCCTCAAATGTCCAGCCTAAAACCTTGGACAGCGAAACAAAATAAACAAAAAGACTGGTACAAATTTTATATTGTATTATATATCAACCCATCCTTATGAAATAATTTCCGCCCGAAACGCTGCGCGTACTAGTGGCTTTACAAGATTGTAATTACTATGCTATGTATCCTCAATCTCAATATACCTTGTATATATATATATATATATATATATATATATATATATATATATATATATATATATATATATATATATATATATATATATATATATATATATATATAATATATATATAAATAAATAAATAAATAAATAAATAAATAAATAAATAAATAAATTGTACTTATAGTTAATATTTGGTAAAAAGTATGAATATGTGGTACTTTCAAGGCATTAGAAGATGGACTGCAAGATGTTCCTCAGCTATGTGGAGGTGCATTGGAGTGATGCCGTGAACTACCAAGAGAAATGTCATTCAGGAATTCAATTTCTATGAAGACATTTGAGACATTAAAAATTGAGACGTTAGAATTCAATATCTACCGAGACCTTACCTTGTCGATTTAACTAGTGACAAGACTAAGTTTCTCGATGTGATCATCCTAATTCATATTTAAATTGAGGAGTGTTGGCGTTGCTGGTTGTGTATTGTGTATTCCAAATGTTATTGTGTATTTGCTAATGCTGGGTGTACATTTATGACCAAACAAATGAAGACGTGTTCTGCCTTGAGACATCTAAATCATGCCTGGCAGCCAAATGAGCATAAATATAATTGATTTTGTCTTTAACTTCATATTTCAGCTCGTTTTAAACACCATAATTCAGTTCATGGGTACTAAGAATCATCTATTTATCATTAAATGCTTTACATCAACAAAATCGTCAATTACTCAGCTGGACCATTGAGTTTAAATTGACAAATGCATGCAGAACTGTAGCCAAATAAATCTTGAACACCCTAGAATCTGCCCCCCTGGGGCGTAAACCCCTGACTCTGCCTGCCCCCCTGGGGCGTAACCCCCTGACTCTGCCTGTCCCCTGGGGCGTAACCCCCTGACTCTGCCTGCCCCCTGGTTCTAGATATCCTAGAACAATGTTTCCAAGTTTGCAACCTTTTCAAAATTACTCGCAAAAAAGTTTACAAATAATAAGCTATATTTGTAAATTGATGGTGTGTGTGTCTGGTTGTGTGAGGCAGGTGACCAGGCGCTAAAGGGCGTAGGTGTCTCGCTTAATGTTTAACATTATCTTCACCTCCAGCCCCACCTTTGTTGATAAGTCACAGAGTATTTTTAATGGTGTACTAGAGGAGTCTCTCGGCTGCGTACGGGCTCCTCTCTCCCCTCTTCCTTTCTCCCTCTCCCCCCACTCTCTCTTTCCCCTCTCCTCTCCCTCTCTTCCTAATTTCCCCCTCCCCTCTCCCTCCCTCCCTCCCTCCCTCCCTCCCATGTCCCTCTCTTCTTTTCTCGCCCTTCCTTCTCTCTCTATCTTAATCTCTCCCCTTCTCCTTCCCTCCCCACGCTCTTCCAATCTTCTCCTCCTTCTCCACCTTTCAGAAAATGAAATACAGAGTGTGTATTAACACATTTAGGTACATCTGCATTTGTGCAGCTACCCTAGACTATATGAAGGAAAGTACTGTGTCAAAAAGATGCTACGTGATGTCTAAAAATCCCCATCACACAGGATGGTTAGTCATACAGAGGCATGTGATAAGCGGTCTGCACTGGCAGACTCTGGGTGAATTATGAGGATATCATCAACACAAGAGTGAATAAGGCAGCAGTGGTACTAAGAGTCCCCATCTCGCTGGATGGTTAGGCATACAGGGCCTTATGTTTAGTAGCCTGCACTGACAAATTTTGGGTACACTGTGAGGATATCTTCAAGAATACGAGAGTGAATAAAATAATTGCAAAGCTCCAGGTACCTCATGCCAACTGGTCTGAAAGGTCTAAATAACTGGGCATTCAGTGATGTAGTGTGGAAGATCGTGTCGCAGTTCCTGCTCACAGAGTTTGCAACTGGAGTGCTCAGGATTAGATTTTTTTTTTATTAACACATTTAGGTACATCTGCATTAGGGCAGCTACCCTAGACTATATGAAGTGGAGTACAGTGTGTCAAAAAAAAAGCTAACTAGGTGATGCTAAAAAATCCCCATCACACAGGATGGTTAGTCATACAGAGGCATGCGATAAGCAGTCTGCACTGGCAGACTCCGGATGCATTTTGAGGATATCATCAACACAAGATTGAATAAGGCAGCAGTGGTAATAAGTCCCCATCTCGCAGGATGGTTAGTCATACAGGGCCATATGTTTAGTAGCCTGCACTGGCAAATTTTGGGTACACTGTGAGGGTATCTTCAATAATACGAGAGTGAATAAAGTAATTGCAGAGCTCCAGGTACCTCATGCCAACTGGTCTGAAAGGTCTAATAACTGGGCATTCAGTGATGTAGTGCGGGAGATCGTGCCGCAGTTCCTGCTCACAGAGTTTGCAACTGGAGTGCTCAGGATTGGGAGATCCGTCACCTGCAGCCACCTGCCACAGGTAACGGTAACCCAACCTGTTCCTTGCAACCACTGTGTCGCACAGTCTAGTGGATGTTTTGTGCTGCCCATAGACGTAGGTTTCAGATCTGAACAAATCATAGCTTTTTATACTAATACTTTCAGGTCGTTGGGAGTCAGTAAGTCTTTCCTATCAGATCTGAATGTTTGGACCAATACAGTTTTGACAGCAGAGATGGGGATACCTAGATCTAATTCAACTTCAAACTTGTTACACGCTAATTTGGCTGCAATGTCTGTCTCATTATGATGGGTTATATTTATGTGTGAAGGTATCCATACAAAGGAGATTCGAGACTTTTTACTCTGTGCATCAGTTATAGGTCATTTATATATTTTTTTTTTTATTAACATATTAGGTACATCTGCATTAGTGCAGCTTCCCTAGACTATATGAAGTGGAGTACAGTGTGTCAAAAAGAAGGTAGCTAGGTGATGCTAAAAAATCCCCATCACACAGGATGGTTAGTCATACAGAGGCATGTGATAAGCGGTCTGCACTGGCAGACTCCGGATGCACTCTTTTTTTTTTTTATTAAGTTATGAGGTACATCTGCATTAGTGCAGCTACCCTAGACTATATGAAGTGGAGTACAGTGTGTCAAAGAAGCTAACTAGGTGATGCTATAAAATCCCCATCACACAGGATGGTTAGTCATACAGAGGCATGTGATTAGCGGTCTGCACTGGCAGACTCCGGATTTAGGTCATTTATAATTGGGAGTATTCGAATAAAACTCTAGGGAATTAGCCAGCCAACTTCTATCGATTTTGTGGGGAAAGAGGATTTACTCAATGCAGTAAACTTTGATCCTCTCTTAATAGGACCAATACCACCGACTCAAACCAGCCTATGACAGTCACGTAACCCAGACCATTGACCCTGAAAAACTGGGCGAGGCTAGCACCACGCATCTGACCTACAACCTAGTACAGAGGAAAGTGTGTGACAGATAGGATATGAATATAAACAGAGAAAAAGAGAGAGAGAGAAGGATCCAGTATGCTAGAGTCGACCCGGACACAGCCGGGGATTCCACTATTATTTAGCACAGGATGCAATCGAATGGAGCATGGATGCAATCATGGAACATTTGTAAATGAAACACGTTGCATACCAGATGAGCAACAATCCTCTAGATTATTCCAGAGCGCCTCTGAGCTCGGGTGTCGCTGTGTGGGAGGAGTCAGGAGGCGAGGCCACACATCCCCGGGTGTACATATATATATACAGCAACCCGAGGCACCTCTACCCTCACTGTGAAGACGTCACCGTCTTACAGACAGTAAGTCACAACCACGGGACTGAAAATCAGACAGCCAAGCTACACATCGTACCCCCTTCCATCTCTCTAGCAACATGAAAGCTGTAAGTACAATATCCTGATGGGTTCATGAAGTGAAGGTCAGATCAAATAGTGTTAAGCCCTCAGGCGTAAACATACATGCATGTAGCGGCTCCTGACCATAATCAGAAACTCAGGAAAAAATGACTTAGTCTTTGCACAAAAAGGATGGACGTGTCTGTCCTGATACAGTGGACCCATGAGTTGTTATTTTTTAAGGACATTTCGAGTATTAGAATATTGTGTTAATTACTTGTTAATTATGAGGCTATTATGTGACTTGGTGATATATGATTAGTGAAGTGATATGAGTTATTATATAATTATTAGTGATTTCACTTTATTTTTGTGACTATCGTAGGCTTATTAAGTATATATGAATATTAAGTAAAGAAAGGCTTATGTTTTAAACAAATTAAAGAGAGATGAGAGATGGCAGACCAAGGTTAGCACAAAGTTAGTTACAAAATTCAGTAACACAAGTTAGCTTTTGTGTTACTGAATTTCGACATGAAACATTTGTTTAAAACAACACAAATATAAGACCAGACCTAACCTCTCCTAGCAATCTTAGGAGGGCTTGGGCTTAATATAGTACACGCTTTGGCTTAATATAGTACACATACTAGACTTAAGAATATTTAAGTCTGTTTATTAGTCTTGCTTTGTCCCAACTATAAAATTAAACGTGCTCAAACAAATTGTTGGTAGTTCAATCACTACACATTGGTACTCTCAACCAGTCACTATAAGTGCTATAAATAAAATGCAACAGGTGGGAGCCAATAAAATACAACAAGTGGGACCCAATAAAATGCTATCCTTTCAGAAGGATGAGTGTTGTATTCCTCGCATGAGACCAATCCAAGAATTTATTATTGGTAACTAGTGGTTTTATATTATTGTTTCGTCTCAAAGGTGTGAGGTGTTCAGTTCATAAACTGTTATCCTATAGGACAGGTGCTACAACGCTCGTATAATATAAAATTGGGAACAATAAATAGGCAAAACAGGTGTTAATGGGTCACTATTTCAGAGAACAGGTGCTACATGGTCAGTATTCCTTTCACTATATATTACATCTCATTTTGTTAAAGAATGTAAACATGTTCTCTTGTCCTTACAGTTGTCGCTGATGGTGGTGGTGGTGGTGGTGGCCCTGGCCGCCCTGATGGGGTCAGCCCGAGCTATGCCTGACCCCTACGCCCTGGCTGACCCTGACCCCGCGGCTGACTCACATGGGAGTCACGAACATGGTGGTGGTTTTGGGCATGGTGGTGGTTTTGGGCATGGTGGAGGTTTTGGCCATGGTGGAGGTTTTGGCCATGGTGGAGGTTTTGGCCAAGGTGGTTTTGGCCATGGTGGAGGTTTTGGCCATGGTGGTTTTGGCCAAGGTCATGGTCATGGTCACCACCATGATTAATGTTGGACTGTTCTTGAATCGACACCTCATCCTTTCCCAAATAAATATCCTTAAAAGAAAATGAATACCCAGCAGTACCCAATCAATAATTATTGTATATCATAAAATTCAGCAAATGTAGAGCACATTTTTTAAAATGTTACAAAAAAGCGACAGAATTTGTTTCACTGTGCTCTGAAGACAATGTGACTAAAGAAGACTAGGAACCATTCCCACAGCTCTTCGCCAGCCTCCAGCAACGCCAGCCTACAGCATCGCCAGCCTATAACAATGCCAGCAACCTTTAGCAACGCCAGGTTTCAGCAGTGCCAGCTTTCAGCAGTGCCAGTCTTCAGCATCTCCGTCCTAAAATACTCTCAACCTGCAGCTTGTCTTTCCTCGTGTTTCATCCTCCTCCAGGAATCAAAGACTCAAGAGGCAAGTCTAACCTCCAAGAACTAAGGACTGGTGAGGCACTTCAACCCTATAACGAAGGGCTCATATGAGGCTTCCAGCACAGAGACAATGTACAAATAATGCTGTATAAACCACGTTATTGCCCAAAGAAATACACAAGATTTGTAGTCGAAAGGGAATTATTTCATCTCCTAAACACATGCAGTAACCAGCCATATTTCCTTACGTACTTTCGTATTCAATAATGAATCTTCAGAAGGATCCTTCCTTCCTTCTGAAGATGTATTATTGAATACGAAAGTATTCAAGGAAATTCCTGTCTTAATCCTTCCTTTGTGTGTATGTATATATATATGAAAATATATATATTGTTACGGTTAACTCCTACATACCTTGAGGTTACCTTGAGGTGCTTCCGGGGCTTAGCGTCCCCGCGGCCCGTCCTCCTGGTTGCCGGACTGATCAACCAGGAGGCCTGGTTGGCTACATAGCAATAGATTCTGCCTTTTCCTTACCACCAACGTATCTGCCTGCTCCAACATTAAGATTCAACAACAACAACAATGTGTGCCACACATATTGTCTAGACAAGCCTCATCCCCCCCCCTCACCCTACCTTCCCCCAGAGACAGCAGCACCTGCCGTCTGGCCGCCCGGCGCTCCCGATGCCAGTCAAATTATCGTAATGATAGTTATCCAACCTGTCCTCTTAAAAAGAACGTCGCTTTTGGCCGTTTGCCCGTATGGGCGAATTTGGACGTAATTTGAAAATGAAAAAAATATGAAAATAAATTTGGGATTTTTTTTTTCAACAACAGTAAGTTAAGGGTCCTCTGATAGGTTAGGTGGGCAGGAAATTCTCATAAAGTTTCAAAACGTTATGAAAAACGTTATGAAAAACGTTAATTTAAAGTGTCCTCTTATAACCTCTGCGCGTAAGCCGGACGACTCAAATAGAAAACGGAATAGAACGTCACTTTTGTGAGTCGATTTCATTTCAAATTACGTCCAAATTTAGCCATATCGCGCATACCAGGCAAAAGTGACGTTATTTTTAAGAGGACGGGTTGAGTTATCTCCCCGGCTCCTAGTCTAAAGCTCCAGAATTCGCGCCAAGATGACGTTATCACTCGTATATTAAGCCCTGCCAGCGTCCAGCGCAGGCGAGAATTCTACCACCTACCACACATATCAGAGCAGGGCACCGCTCCAGTGCCAGGTAAGTCTGCTACGGGCTCATCATAGCCCGTGCTACTTGCCCCGCTCCTGTGCCAGGTAAGTTACGGGCTCACCATAGCCCATGCTACTTGGAACTTGTTCCGAGTAGCTGAATCTATAACAACAACGTCCAGCGCATCAGTTACGGGCTATTCATGCCCGTGCCACCTCCTGGTTGGCTTAATCTTAATCAACCAATCAGCGCATCAGACTGCCCTTCAAGTGCTTAAAGTGCTATGTACTTAAACATCTACCCTCGCTCCCGGGTGACGGTAGACCCATATAACATTTTTGTATAAAGTTTTAACTTCACTTTTGTTATTAACCTAAATTTCACCTGTAATTCTTTTCTCTTATGATTGTGTTTGAGCCAAGTGGATAAGGGGTTTTGTTTGCATTAATTGTTACTTATCATTTTGGGTAAATTAAAGTCATTTTTTGTTATATTAAATGTTCGAAGTTTTTATTCTCTTTGGTTTTTGCCCGCAATTATTACACCGTATACGTCTCAGGCAATTTTATTTTATTTGGTGTTCTCGTTTTTCTTTATTAATATGCGTTTGGCATAACATCTCCCTGAATAGTTACTGCTCTATTCCAGATCACATCACAATAATATATATATATATATATATATATATATATATATATATATATATATATATATATATATATATATATATATATATATATATATATATGAGAGACTGTCAGACCACGAAGATCCTCCTGAAGATGTATTATTAAATACGAAAGTACTTAAGGAAATTCCTGTTTCAGTTCTTCCTTCGTGGTCTGACACTGTCACATTTTTCATCATGTGTTGATTTTCGTGATTTACACACACACACACACACACACACACACACACACACACACACACACACACACACACACACACACACACACACACACACACACAGTGTATAAGCAGTCAAGCTGTTGAGAATACCATGACAAAGCGAAAGCGCTCCAGCTATTATTTCCAATTTCAATTAGATGCCAAAATGCAACTATATAGGGAACCCGTTGCTTACCTGTTGAGCAATGGTCTGCAAAAATTCTCCAGAGACAAGTTTACTGCACTGATTATCCTTCGCATAAACAATAAGAGCGTCAGTGTTTCCTCCTCATGCTAACTACCACACTCTCTTTCTCTCTCTCTTTCTACGTGATTTCTTCACGTCTCAAGCCCTTCCTTAACCACATCTAACCACCCGGGTTCTAGGACACTCAAGGCTGCTATAGCTCTCGTTCAATGGTCATTAGGCGTGTCAGCTGACTTTGGTTAGGATAGGATTGGTTAGGATAGGTTAGGTTAGGTTAAGTTTGTGCTGCAGTTTGACAACTGTAAACAGAGGAGATATACACAAAGATATTAATTTTCCTATAATTTATTTCCTGTATAACTTCAGCGGTGTGAATTCGTGCACACAACCTACGTTAATAAATTCACACAAAAAAACACACCATTTACACACAAACACAAATACCTTTTATACGCTATACGAAAATAAATATTTGTTAGATACTCTAAACTACCGTTGGATTACGAAAGATTTGGACGACTATTTGCAAGGACCTCCTCATCAGATACAGTAACAGACAGCAACACTTGCGTCTGAGAACAAGCACTTATAATGAAACCAGAAAATCAAGTTTGAGAAAACGCAAGAACATTATCCTGGACTTTTAACCTTTAGCTGTGGAACGAACGAACGAATTAATAACACGAACAACCCACGCAGACTACATTGAAATAATTCATTGCAGTAGCCTATATATTTACTTCATTTCAAAGATTATTTGTTTACAGAAAAATACAAATGCACGAAAACAATGTATCCTTGTATTCTATTTTATATATTCTATCTTTATCATTCTATTTATCTATTCGATCTATTATCTATTCTATCTATATTCTATTATAACATTTTAATTTGAGGTATGTTCGTGTGCCAGCTAGTAGTGGGGGAGGGGGAGATTTGGAATGAGGAAGGGGTGACTGGAGAGAAAGAGTAGTGATGGATAGGAAGGGGGGGGGGAGGCACTGGAAAGGATAGGGCAGTGACTGGAGCAGGAAAGAAGGGGGTGAGTGGGAAGAAGGGAGTGATTGGGACGGAGTAAGAGTAATTGACTAGGATAGAGGGAGATTGGGAAGGATTGAAGGTGATTGGGGAGGATAACTGGCGAGGAGTTGGTGATTAGGTAGCCTGTGGTTATGAGGAGGAGGAGTAGGGATGATTAGGAAAGAAAGGGTGTTTGGGAAAATCTTCGAGTTATTAATGTGTTGCCTTGTGAAAAATTGGCTCCATTTAAAAGCTGAGGTTTTGGGGGCCTCATCATCAAGCGTAATTATCTGATGTGTGGCGAGATCTAGGTCTGAGTGTCGGCAAGGAAACAAAGTCGTTATTCTGTATATTTAACCACTCTATTATGTTTAACACATCTCTAACCCTGTCCATGGAGGACAGAAGAAACTGTATATATGCTGGTTAGCATTGTAAATGTGTGGCCATGTTTGTGGTAGAAAATAATAAAAAAAAAAAAATAAATAAATAAATAAAAAACACTTGCGCAGCCGTTGTGCGATTTTATTTTTATTAAGCCTTATTTTAATGTTTTTTAATGTTTTTATCACTCTTTGTGATTTGAAACGAAAATGGTTGAGTTTGAAAACACTTTGACATTAACATTAATTGAACATTTATAAAGACAAGAAAAATATATCATTAAGAACTGCACTATGAAATGTTTGCCAAAAACAGGTGCGCAGTGCAGGGGTTAATAAGGTCTTCTTCTCCCCTCCTTTAAATGCCTTTCAGGATTTGCAATCTTCTTTCCTCAGCAGTAGATTCCAGAATTGTTTTATTATCTACTAACACATTTCTAGTATCTTGATATGTTCACGTTACATATGGAATAATGTGTAAGGTTCTGCGTACATAGGAGTTTATCACACTAGCCTTACATCTACTTGGACATTCGCTGTGACTCTTCATAAACATTACTATGTAGACACGTTTAGTATCAACTTAAATTCTGTGGTGAAGGTGGTGTCTTTGGACGTAGATGACTACGTAGATATCGAGGAAAGGGAGTGTACCATCTACCCTTAGTTCATGGGTCAAATTAAGCACCAAGTTTTGGGTAAGTAGATCCAAAAACTACTGATAGATTGTTATCAAAGTTAAGATAACAATTCCTAGAGAATATGATTATATTCATGCAAGATTGAAGCGATAGATACTTGACGTCTACCTCTTTCTAACGTTATAGGACTTATTTTAGCCAACGAGAGGTGACCTGTAACGTCACCCGGGGGCGTTCTCGCGCCTGATTGGACGTTAACCGTTAGTCTGTTGCCAGATGTTAATGAGTAAGCACGCTTGACCCCTGCTGCTCTGTCCTCCAACCTAAATCATAGTCCTTAGCAATCCGCACGGAGTAACGAACCAATAGTGTTGATCCGCTAGGATTTGAAGGTATTACTAGATCCTTACTCTCAAAGAGAATTTGTCAACAGCAAGACACACACATGTACTCTGCCTGGTGACAAAAATAGTCACTAAAAACGGCCTTCATGCTACAAGATCTTCACTAAACACAATCTTCACCGGGCTCACAAGGTTATACATCTTCTTTATGCAGGTTTCTTAAACAAAAAAATGATCGGATTTAGCACATGAACCAGGACTTTTTTCCTTTCCTGAAGGCTAACAGCTAGGATCCAGTTTATTTTTTGGGGGGAAGGGGGGCCAATCAAGCCAGTAACCTTGACGGGGGAGGAGCTCCAAGTTACGAGAGCTCAAGCGGTATATAAGGAACAGCATCTCACACACTCAACACAGTCAACGTCAACTCTTGCAACATGAAGTCTGTGAGTACAACTTTTCAACTGGTAATACTCTCAAAATCTTCCCTGCAGATTAGTTCAATAGTTCTGTTATTGTCCTTCGGTAGTGTCTGAACTTTGTTAATGGTAACGTAATTTTCAGCCTATTGTGATCATATTTCTGGGGCATTAGGGTGCTGATTAGATTATTTTATTAGTAATACATTCATGCAAGCACAGTGGGTTGTGACTGTAGATTAGATTATTTAATTAGTAATACATTCATGCAAGCACAGTGGGTTGTGACTGTAGATTAGGTTATTTAATTAGTAATACATTCATGCAAGCACAGTGGGTTGTGACTGCAGATTAGATTATTTAATTAGTAATACATTCATGCAAGCACAGTGGGTTGTGACTGCAGATTAGATTATTTTATTAGTAATACATTCATGCAAGCACAGTGGGTTGTGACTGCAGATTAGATTATTTTATTAGTAATACATTCATGCAAGCACAGTGGGTTGTGACTGTAGATTAGATTATTTTATTAGTAATACATTCATGCAAGCACAGTGGGTTGTGACTGTAGATTAGATTATTTAATTAGTAATACATTCATGCAAGCACAGTGGGTTGTGACTGTAGATTAGGTTATTTAATTAGTAATACATTCATGCAAGCACAGTGGGTTGTGACTGCAGATTAGATTATTTAATTAGTAATACATTCATGCAAGCACAGTGGGTTGTGACTGCAGATTAGATTATTTTATTAGTAATACATTCATGCAAGCACAGTGGGTTGTGACTGTAGATTAGATTATTTTATTAGTAATACATTCATGCAAGCACAGTGGGTTGTGACTGTAGATTAGATTATTTAATTAGTAATACATTCATGCAAGCACAGTGGGTTGTGACTGTAGATTAGATTATTTAATTAGTAATACATTCATGCAAGCACAGTGGGTTGTGACTGCAGATTAGGTTATTTAATTAGTAATACATTTATGCAAGCACAGTGGGTTGTGACTGTAGATTTTCATCATTAAATAAAACATGCTTGCAAGGCCACTGACAGGCTCATCGTGTGTCAAGTGTCTGATTCTTTAAGGTACGTAAACTATTTTTAAGAGACGTGGCGAGTGTAAGTGTTGAGTATAGTCTCTTGTCTATGTACAGACATCTGCCCTACCGTTTATTCTCAATATTAAAATTGTTCATTACTCTATTTGGCTAGAAGATTGATGTACAAATCAAATTGAGTAGATTGTTCTATGTTTAGTGTGAGCAGAGCTATTACTGCTGCCAGCACTTGAGCACCTACAGCATATATCATGCTTGGTATAGTATATATGGTATACATATATACTATAGTATTTAATATATATCAAAGTCGGTAACACTAGTGTTATCGACCTCGGTTTTGAGTCAATTGTAGAGATCATGTCTGGAGGGGGGGGGGTTGATGGGTAAGCTGACTGGAGAGTCATAATACCTGTCAGCCCAGCTCGTTCTCCTGACTTGCCAACAACGTTCAAAATGCAAAGTACTAACATAAAAACATACGACCCCAAGCAACCCCCCTAACCTACCATACCGTTACACAGAAAACGTGGATATTCGTGAGTCGCTATAACTCGTCATAGCACTATGTAATGTGTACGCTGGGGAGCCATAACATGCAAAATGAAACGCATTAGTTCATGGAACGGGTTGATGTGATATAACCACTTGGATATGGACGGTAGAGCGAAGGCCTCGCATATTGCAGGTCAGCGTTCGATCCCCCGATGATTCTTGGGCACCATTCCTCCCCCACCCGTCCTCACCCAAACCCCTGCCTTCGTAGCCCATGCAAGTGGTATATAGTCGTACTGGCTTGGCGCTTTCTCCCCGTAATTCTCTTACCCTTGCCTGTGTCCACTTGGCCTGGACGGTAAAGCGACGGCCTCGCTTCATGCAGGTCGGTGTTCAATCCCCGACCGTCCAAGTGGTTGGGCACCATTCCTATTCCCCGTCCCATCCCAAATCCTTATCCTGACCCTTTCCCAGTGCTATATAGTCGTACTGGCTTGGTGCTCTCTCCCCGTAATTCTCTTACCCTTGCCTGTGTCTGTGGATCACTTCTAACAAGGTTCACCCCAACTGATGGTGTTCTCTGGGAAAGCACTCGACTTCAGAAGCTGTGGATCACACAGTATGTTGAATTATAACTACAAACCACTGCAAGAGACTTTGAAATATCAAGACATTGAAAGGAATCTTACCACGGGCATCAAGTATTATCCCCAACTGTTCACAACTCGAAATTCAATTGAACAAATTTTATTCGTAAATGAGTGTTCATTTATAATTATTAATCTGAAAATTAAAAACCCGTAAAAATTATACATTTTATTCTGGTAATAAAAACGGCAATGCCATTTGTGATCTAACGCTCAGTACAGGAAATAATACAGTTTAGTCAACAGTAATTGTTGTCCAAGTAATTGGACAATTACTGTTTAGTCAACAGTAATTGTTACAATTTTAACGCCGTTTATAACCATTATAAAAGGCGATACATGATATACGACGATATGATATATGTCATATCCCTTTCTTTTGTGCTTAGTTGCCATGCAATGTTTAATATTTCCAGTCGTCTCATGTATGCTGAAACATGCTTAAAATATCCCTTAATTGCCCGAAATTGCTCCCAAAATGATTCAAAATGAACCAAAGCGCTCCTAAAATGGTCCAAAGTATACCAAAGTGTTCCCAGAATGGTCCAGAGTAAACCAAAGTGATCCCAAAATGGTCCAGAGTAAACCAAAGTGTTCCTAAAATGGTCCAAAGAATACCAAAGTGTTCCGAAAATGGTTCAAAGTACACCAAAGTGTTCCCAAAATGGTCCAGAGTAAACCAAAGTGTTCCCAAAATGATCCAAAGTAAACCAAAGTGCTCCCAAAATGGTCCAAAGTAAACCAAAGTGCTCCCAAAATGGTCCAGAGTAAACCAAAGTGTTCCTAAAATGATCCAAAGTAAACCAACTTGCTCCCAAAATGATCCAAAGTAAACCAAAGTGCTCTCAAAATGATCCAAAGAAAACCAAAGTGCTCCCAAAATGGTCCAGAGTAAACCAAAGTGTTCCCAAAATGGTCCAAAGTAAACCAAAGTGTTCCCAAAATGATCCAAAGCAAACCAAAGTGCTCCCAAAATTGTCCAAAGTAAACCAAAGTGTTCCCAAAGTGTACCAAAGTGTTCCCAAAGTGTACCAAAGTATTCCCATCACATTCTTAAAAGTGACGTTAGATTCTGTCTAGAGTGCTAGCGACTCTGTCGTTAAAAATGTCACCATTTTCTTGCAGAAAAGTATTCAACTGTTTTTTCTTCCAATCTTTCAGTTAATGTTGGTGGTGGTGGTGGCCCTGGCCGCCCTGATTGGGTCAGCCACCGCTATGCCTGACCCCAACGCCGTGGCTGACGCGCAGTATGGTGGATATGGTGGATATGGTGGATTTGGTGGAAGAGGATTTGGTGGAGGCGGATTTGGAGGTGGATTTGGTGGAAGAGGATTTGGTGGAAGAGGATTTGGTGGAGGCGGATTCGGTCATGGTGGCGGATTCGGTGGTCAAGGTGGATATGGAGGCTATGGCTTCCGTGGCTAAACTTGGACAGTTGTGTCCAGGACTGTGGATCTCCTCTGACGCAAAGAATGCCGCCGTGTGAACGAGAAAACACAAAAAAACAAAAGAGCATGAAATGGACATCTCTTAACATTTCTAAATTCTAGAACGACCTCGATTATAAAACCAAACAAAATGTGTGATCTTGTGTTGTGAAGGGAAGCTGACGAACACCTCCAAGATCTGCAGCATCTCCAAGACCTCACACAACCACCTTCATGGTTGTTAGCCAGTTGTGATTGATCACTCACTAATTACAATTTGTTTCTCATCATAATGCATAGAAAATAAAAAAAATGTATTTCAGATAATTGTTCTTTCCATTAAATCCTCAATAAATATGTTACCTAACATACAAAATACATTTTGATACCTTAAATATGTTACTAAAACACATAAGCTGACCACCTAATGATTTTTACAACCACAGTTAAATTTTTATTGCAAATATTGCAACTTCATATCTGTTCTTGCATTCTTCCTATATCAGTAGTTCACTACTTTCCGTCTATGCACATTCGCCTAAAATTCATTACAATTCTTTGGCACCACAATTTTATCTTCAGTGATTTCAACGCACACTATGAAGCTATCCTGTAAAAATATAACAATAATGGGAACTCCAAAAGAACTATTGGCCAATTAAGTAACTACTATTTATAACCAACCAAAACTCATTCTTGTATCCAACCAAAGTCATTTTTATAACCAACCAAGCCCATTCTTATACCCAACCAAGCCCATTCTTATACCTAACCAAGCCCATTCTTATACCCAACCAAGCCCATTCTTATACCCAACCAAGCCCATTCTTATACCCAACCAAGCCCATTCTTATACCCAACCATGCCCATTCTTATACCCAACCAAGCCATTCTTATACCCATCCAAGCCCATTCTTATACCCAACCAAGCCATTCTTATACCCAACCATGCCCATTCTTATACCCAACCATGCCCATTCTTATACCCAACCATGCCCAATCTTATACCCAACCATGCCCATTCTTATACCCAACCATGCCCATTCTTATACCCAACCAAGCCCATTCTTATACCTTGCCGAACTCATTACTATTCCCAACCAAACTCACTCAACATCTTATTGGTGGTCCAACTAGAGATCAAATGAAGGTCCAACTCAGCACATCCATGACAGGAAAGATGACGGAACCACCACGTGAAGACAATAAGGACAACTACCAACACACAACAAACTACACTTCTCATCCCTGCCATTGACCAGAGTCGAGCTTCCCTCCTGACTCTGCCGCCGCCAACATTGCCGTACTCAACGTTGCAAATATTCTCCACATTGCAAATTTGTTTAATAATCAAAACGTATCATCGACAAAAATCATTCTTAGAGCACCAACAGTTATTTTTCTGCATTTAATAACTGTATTATCCTTTTTATATGCTAAATATTAGTTAAGGCGCGTCACATAATGAACTCATTTGCAGTGGTTATATTAAAAATAAAATTATAGTATAAATGTTCTCTCTAACACTATATTACCGCATCAGAGCACAAAGTACCGTACTGCTCAGGTCATGCTAACTAATTGGCTTTTCAGTTCCGCTGACAGTCTTACAGTCACGCCTTAGCAGTTGCTGACATGACCTCTGACCCCTTGTAACTCATGGGAATTACACAGCGCCTTAAAATTCATGGAAGGTTCTGGAAGCTCCAGTAAACTCTAAATGCTCCCGGTAAATTGTTGAAGCTCAGGAAAAGCTCCTGGAAACTCCTGGAAGCTTCTTGAAACTACTGGAAACTCCTGGATGCTTCTTGAAACTACTGGAAACTCCTGGATGCTTCTTGAAACTACTGGAAACTTATGGAAGCGTCTTGAAACTACTGAAAACTCCTGCAAGCTTCTTGAAACTTCTGGAAACTCCTGGAAGCTTCTTGAAACTTCTGGAAACTCCTGGAAGCTTCTTGAAACTTCTGGAAACTCCTGGAAGCTTCTTGAAACTTCTGGAAACTCCTGGAAGCTTCTTGAAACTTCTGGAAGCATATTGAAACTATTGGAAACTCCTGGAAGCTTCTGGGAACTCCTGGAACTTCATGAAAACTCTTGTATGCTTCTGGAAGCGTTTTGAAAGTCAAAGATATTTCCTCATGAAAGTTTATCCCCAACCTTTGGGAGGCGCTCCCTGGAGCAGTGATGAGTAATTGATCACAAGTCAATTACTCAAGATCAACTCTTAAATATAAAGACTTGATCCTGCGTTGTCTTTAGTCTACATAATGTACAATGTGGTATATCATTATTTTGGAGCAGTAACAAAAATCCAGCACAGTTTTCTTCGAATAATTTACATTTCACAAATGAGAGATTTTACTCGATCAATCAGGGGAGACTTTTAGAGTAAGGGGGAACGCTTCGTTCAGCCAATGGCAAGAGTTTATTCATAATACCCACAGTGAATAAATGTATTACTATTTGCCAAACACCCGCTTCTCTCGACCTGCCACTCCGTTAAGAATACAACTGTTCAACCTGGCCCAGAAACGTACAAACCCGAGCAACCCGGTCGAGGGGAGCCGGTCGGCCGAGCGGACAGCACGCTGGTCTTGTGATCCTGTGGTCCTGGGTTCGATCCCAGGCGCCGGCGAGAAACAATGGGCAGAGTTTCTTTCACCCTATGGCCCTGTTACCTAGCAGTAAAATAGGTACCTGGGTGTTAGTCAGCTGTCACGGGCTGCTTCCTGGGGGTGGAGACCTGGTCGAGGACCGGGCCGCGGGGACACTAAAAAGCCCCGAAATCATCTCAAGATAACCCACTCAATCTATCCAGACAGATGCGCAGATATCGTCAATATTACAGTATACTTTCATCTTTACTAATAGGTCATATTTTTAACGGCGTAGTCGATTCTATTGAACTGGACAGGAGTCGATTAAACCTCACGTTAGCATCTACTTCACTGACGTCAAGATGTGCGGACTAACACTCTGACGTCACTGTAACGTCACACGAGTCATTACGGTGACGTCAGGTGATTGGTAACATTTCACGACACATTTCTTCCCGAAGTTGAATAGACTCATTTATTTTATTTGTTGTGGGGGGGGGGGTGTTTGAAGACCAACTTTCTGTATTTTTTCTCCAACATAAAAAGTCTTGGATTTTTTTCTACAAATTGTATAAATATTTAAACGTAATTTAAAGGCCTTAATTTAAATTTAAAGGTCTTAATTTAAATCTAAAAGGTAATTTAAAGGCCTTAATTTAAATTTAAAGGTCATAATTTAAATTTAAAGGTAATTTAAAGGTCTTAATTTAAATCTAAAAGGTAATTTAAAGGTCTTAATTTAAATCTAAAAGGTAATTTAAAGGTCTTAATTTAAATTTAAAGGTAATTTAAAGTTCTTAAGACCTTTACATTATATTTAAATCAGTGCTCTAGCTGATCCTGTTAGTTATCGTACCCTGTCTGTTTCCTGTTATGTATACTGCCCTGGCAGTTCCTGTCATGTATACTGAACTAGTTGTTCTTGTTATGTATACTGCCCTGGCTGTTCCTGTCATGTATACTGAACTAGTTGTTCTTGTTATGTATACTGCCCTGGCTGTTCCTGTCATGTATACTGAACTAGTTGTTCCTGTTATGTATACTGCCCTGGCTGTTCCTGTCATGTATACTGAACTAGTTGTTCCTGTTATGTATACTGCCCTGGCTGTTCCTGTCATGTATACTGAACTAGTTGTTCCTGTTATGTATACTGCCCTGGCTGTTCCTGTCATGTATACTGAACTAGTTGTTCCTGTTATGTATACTGCCCTGGCTGTTCCTGTCATGTATACTGAACTAGTTGTTCCTGTTATGTATACTGAACTAGTTGTTCCTGTTATGTATACTGGCCTGGTTGTTCTTATTATGTATACTGCCATACCTTTCCCTGTCACGTATCAACTGAGCAGAGACTGGCGTCACAAGAGCTTAAGCGAGTGCGATACAAGCCAACTTTGCCGAATTATTCCCAAGATGTTCTCCCTCGCCTTGATAGCTTAAATTAATCGATCTTGAAAAAAAAAACAATGTTGTTGAGTTTTTTACTACATTACCGTTTTTGTATCTTCAGGTAAAAAATTAAACTTCTCTCGGTCCTTCATCTTTAAAGATGATTTGCCTGTTTGTAATTCCCGAAGCCGAAGTTATTTGTTTCCAGGAAAATTACTAATTTCCTGCTATGGATTTAGTGTTGTATTGAGAGTCAGAGAAGTGGTTTGATCATTCATTAAAAGTGAACATACTATTGATGTTTCAAACATGATTCGAATCTCAGCTCGTGCTACACTGTATAGCACAATTCTCTACACAAACGTGAAATAGAAAGAATATTTTAGTAATTCATATCGGGCATTTCAAATAATGCCAAAATTCAAAATTATATGCAAATTATATATACCAAAAAAATTACTTTATAAAAAAGAAATCGATTGTGCTTTTTTATTTTATTTATTATATATACAAGAGTTCCCATGTGCATGGGAAATAGGCTTACAGGTTCCGGAAGATGAGAGGAAATGTCAGCACTGTGGAGAAATGCCCGACAGACCACTGGAACATTATCTAACACAGTTCACAGTTACAAAGCCATTAAGATTTCTTTCAACAGAGCAGAATAAGATTCTACTCTGATTGACAGATAAGAGTCAACAGAGCAGAAGTTGTTAAGCACATGGGACAAAATCTTACTGAAGCGACCATACGAGTCATTAATACTCATACTCCGCTCAAGTAAAACAGAAACAAGCAACACTTAGTGGCCAGCCAGAGGCTTAGGGCCCGCGCAGGAATATCCCTGCACAAAAAAACAAAACAAGCACGCACAGCGTTTCGGGCAGGTCCTTAATCCTATTTTTCCCGGGAATATGACCCGCCAAATCGTTAAAAACCAGATACCCATTCATTGCTGGGCTAACAGAGGCTACAGTTTAGGATTGGTGCCCAGTCAACCCTCCCAGGCCAGGATACAAACCCTGGCCAAAGCGCTAGCGAAACACCAGACGAGTGCGTTACAACTTCGCCAAAAGGACTACCAAATTCCTCAAGGTTACCGCTATAATCCAGTTGATATTTTTTAGGAGACGAACCAACGTCTTAACCTTGACGAAGGAGGAGGAGGAGCGACACCATGCCACAGCCCCTCAACCGGTATAAAAGCAACTGCTGGCGCTCTGCAACCTAACACAATCATCGAGAAGTGAGGTCCTGCAACATGAAGTCTGTGAGTACATCGAACATTGAACGTAGTAAACAAATCCACAAGGGCTGTGACGAGGATTCGAACCTACGTCCGGGAGCATCCCAGACGCTGTCTTAATCGACTTATTTACTTGAGGCATCACGTTAGTGTGATATCTGTGTGTATTGAACGTAGTAATCCTTCCTCGACCTTCCTTCGCTGATTTGCCAATGGCGTTGTAGCTGCAATCTTGAGTTTAATCATGGAATAATGAGTTTAATAATGGAATAAGGATAATAATAACTACATAACTAGTTGCTTTGTGTCCTTGTTGTGAGTTACTGTTACGTTTAGAAAAACCACAAGTGCCCCCCCCCCCACCCTTTTATGTTTAGAAAACCACGTGTCGTCCCCTATTAAGTTTAAAGGACAACAAGCGTCCCCTATTGTGCCGTGTCCTCAATCGTTCCAGTTATGTTCCAAGTGGTTATCTTGAGGTTATCTTGAGATGATTTCGGGGCTTTTTAGTGTCCCCGCGGCCCGATCCTCGACCAGGCCTCCACCCCCCAGGAAGCAGCCCGTGACAGCTGACTAACACCCAGGTACCTATTTTACTGCTAGGTAACAGGGGCATAGGGTGAAAGAAACTCTGCCCATTGTTTCTCGCCGGCGCCTGGGATCGAACCCGGGACCACACAAGTCCAGCGTGCTGTCCGCTCGGCCGCTCGGCTCCTCTTAAGTGCCTTAAGTGTCGTTCATAAGCGTTTGGAGTGGACATAAATAGGAGCTGTCTCATATGGACCAATTATAGCCTTCTGCCGTGTTCTCTATTCTTACATTATAATGCTTATGATACCTCAAACTGCTTCACGTAACCTTAGAAGTCTACTCAATCAAATCATAAACTTACTCATAAATGTTCGTTTTGTAAATTTATAATTGGGTTAGTTTACACAAATTTACAGTAAATTGAAATTGAAATAAGTTTATTGAGGTAAAATACACACAAAGGGATGAGGTAGCTCAAGCTATTCTCACGCCGTTCAGTACAACGTGTTAATACATATATAGACACACAGCACAAACAGTAAACATATTACCGAACATTCTGAGAGATAAACATACACATATTTTTAATTTTACAGTAAATGATTTACCTAGAATAAAGTCATAACAACGTAGCGTTCTAAAGATTAGAATGACCTGTGGTCTGTGCCTCTTTTCTGTTAAATGCAAAGAGGAATTCAATCGATTTTCTTCCAATCTTTCAGTTTACAGTGTTGGTGGTGGTGGTGGTGGTGACCTTGGCTGCTCTGATGGGGCTAACCAGCGCTATGCCCGACCCCTTCGCCCTGGCTGACGCGCAGTATGGTGGATATGGAAGAGGATTTGGTGGAGGTGGATTTGGTAGCGGTGGATTTGGCGGTGGATTTGGTGGCGGTGGATTTGGTGGCGGTGGATTTGGCAGAAGAGGATTTGGTCATGGTGGCGGATTTGGTGGACGAGGTGGATTTGGCGGCGGCCGCTTTGGATACGGTCGTTAAACTTAAGACAGTAGTGTCTAGGACTCTGAATCTCCTCGAACGCCATTATAAAACCAAACAAAATGTGTGATCTTGTGTTGTGAAGGGAAGCTGACGAGCGTCTCCAACACCTGCAGCACTTCCAACACCTAATATCCACCATCAAACACCCGTCAACATCAACACCTTCAGCGCCTCCATCAGTCCAACCACTTGGGCTAGACGGTAGAGCGACGGTCTCGCTTCATGCAGGTCGGCGTTCAATCCCCGACCGTCCAAGTGGTTATGGACACCATTCCTTTCCCCCCGTCCCATCTCAAATCCTTATCCTGATCCCTTTCAAGTGCTATATAGTCGTAATGGCATGGCGCTTTTCCCTTACAACACTTCCCCCCCTTCCTTTCCATCGGGAGCGCCGACACGGTTATCTTGAGGTTATCTTGAGATGATTACGGTGTAAACAATAGCCTTTCATCATGGTTATTTAGACAGTTGTAACTGATCACTCAGTAATTGGCAGCGTAAATAAAGTTTTTTTGTAACAATATTACTATTATTTGTATCCTCGGTAAATAGTCAAAGAGGCTAAGGCATTAAGTTGACCTACACTAAGATGCCCAAAATATGTTATCGATTAAGATAGCGTAAAGGAATCTTTAATCTCTAGAGAACATTCCCTTGTCCTGCTCCAAAGAGTTTCTAATACAGCTATCACGTTATTCTGATTTCCTTGTGTGTTTATCCTGTTGTCGCCGGACGTGGTAAAGCTTGTGGCCCAACCTGATCCTGGTAATTACTATGTCGCATTCAATGTATTGTGGACCTGCCATTGTATAGATGGCACCATACCTATACTAAATCCATTGCTTTTTATCATTCTCTGTATACGCTAACATACGAAACGCAAATGACTCCTCCTTGAGATTCACTATTGCGTAGCTAAATAACAGGATTATCGCTACAACTAACCCTTCTACTAGCCAGCATTCAAGAGCTCTACCCTAGTCATCGTAACCTTGGCATTCAGTCTCCCCCGCTATGATGAGTGAGGTGTGTCCCAACCCCTCGCACGACCAGGGATAAGTTTTGAATGTCAAGGGTTCGAACACGAGGTTGGATCTCTTATACGCAGGCTAGGGCAAAAGTGCAGGTTGCTATGGAAACTGCGTTTCGCACTTAAACGAGAATGCATTTGAGGATGATGTAAGGTAATTATGATAAAAAAGCACTAAGTCAATATTTACATAAATAACACGTGACTTCCTACGACCACGTGTTTTTTTGTTTACATGCGGATATGAGAGTCAAAGTAAACAACACGCAACTTCCCACAGCCACGTGCTTTTGTTTACATGCGGCTATGAGAGTCAAAGTAAACAACACGTGACTTCCCACGACCACGTGTTTTCTCTTTACATGCAGGTTTGGGAGTCTCTGTATACACCCGCATCCGTCAGATGAATTTGTAGGCGATCTTAATACCCAAATTGAGAGCCGTCTTGAGAACCCGACGTCGCACGAATGGCAGGTTTCAACCCCTCAAAGCAAGAAAACTACAGGGAATGAACACGAGTATATAAAACATCTCGATAACAAAGAAACTTTTGTGGCACGTAAACAAAGAGTTTCGGAGACAACCCACTGAAAGAAAATCGTGAGTTTTTAAAAAAACTGTAAAGTAGCCACACACACACACAAGAGAAAATGCCAAGATAAAAATAATGGGTCGACTTCACTAGCCCCACCGGAAGAGAAGCAAACATGGCACAATATCTGCAAGATATGGCAAAACCTCTGCAAGACATGGCAAAACCTCTGCTAGATATGGCAAAACCTCTGCTAGATATGGCAAAACCTCTGCAAGATATGGCACAAACCTCTGCAAGACATGGCAAAACCTCTTCAAGACATGGCGAAACCTCTTCAAGACATGGCAAAACCTCTGCAAGATATGGCACAAACCTCTGCAAGACATGGCAAAACCTCTGCTAAATATGGCAAAACCTCTGCAAGACATGGCAAAACCTCTTCAAGACATGGCAAAACCTCTTCAAGACATGGCGAAACCTCTACAAGATATGGCACAAATATCTGCAAGATATGGCACAACATCTGCAAGACATGGCAAAGCCTCTGCAAGACATGGCAAAAACCTCTGCAAGACATGGCAAAACCTCTTCAAGACATGGCAAAACCTCTTCAAGACATGGCAAAACCTCTGCAAGATATGGCAAAACCTCTGCAAGATATGGCACAAACCTCTGCAAGACATGGCAAAAATGCAGAAAGCTGAAGCAAGCTGAGCAAAAACCTGCCGCCCACATACACCCACAAAGGGAGTAAGGATAAGGAACTTGTTAGCAAGCGGAGCAATGCATCTTCCTCCTCCTTGTAGAAGTATGCAGGGAAGATAACAAAGTATAATGACAAGAATAATCAGGATAACGAGTGCAATATTCAACGAGGACGAATATGGACAACCAATCACAGCTCAGGAGGTAAGGGTCTCCGTAGTGCAGTTGCGTTCGTTCTCGACTCACACTCGGGAATCAAGGGTTCGAATCACGGGTGGGAAATAAATGGTTGGGCACGTTTACTTTCACCTAATGTACCTGTTCACCCAGCAGTAAATAGGTTCCCCGGGAGTTCACCATTGACACCTATGACAATGCAATGAACAGGGGTGCCATAGGCACAATCAGAGAACACTGTATAAACATCAGAGGTCCACGGTTGTTCAACGTCCTCCCAGCGAGCATAAGAAATATTGCCGGAACAACCGTGGACATTTTCAAGAGAAAACTAATTTTCTTCAAGAAGTGCCGGACCAACCGGCCTGTGGTGGATATGTGGGCCTGCGGACAGCTTCAAGGGACAGCCTGGTGGACAAAGCTCTCACAAGTCAAGCCTGGCCTCGGGCCGGGCTTGGGGAGTAGAAGAACTCCCAGAACCCCATCAAGCAGGTATCATACTCTATGTAAAGTCTTGGAGAATCCATTGCGCCACATCTTGATTGATTGAGGCTGATTGACCTCTTCAATCAACCTATCCTCTCGAATAGCGTTTTGTCCTAGGAGTAATGGGGAAGGGGATGTTGACGACTGCAAGTGCATTGTTATCTTGAGGTTATCTTGAGTTGATTTCGGGGCTTTGTTTTTAGTGTCCCCGCGGCCCGGTCCTTGACCAGGCCTCCACCCCCAGGAAGCAGCCCGTGACAGCTGACTAACACCCAGGTACCTATTTACTGCTAGGTAACAGGGGCATAGGGTGAAAGAAACTCTGCCCATCATTTCTCACTGGCGCCCGGGATCGAACCCGGGACCACAGGATCACAAGTCCAGTGTGCTGTCCGCTCGGCCGACCAGCTCCCTAAGTTAGGAGCTTATGATATCCTTGTGAGTTAGGATATCTCATTAATCCTATGTATGAATTGTTATGGGGGTTTAGAGGTGAGGATATTAGTATTGTTGAGAATGGTGATTGGTTCTGTATAATAGATGTTATTATGATTTCAGTGAGCATTAGAGTATGACAACTAGGTGTACTGGGGGGGTAAACTGGGGTATACTCTGAGCGTTCTGAGGTGAACTAGGGGTAAACTAAGAAGTGACTGGATTTCTTGGTTGTGGAAATTGTCAGATTGGGTTTGGGTTTGGTGTTGATTGTTGCGAAAGATTTTCAATATTAGATTCCTAACTGGGCAAAGAATTGTAAACGTTTTTGCAACACTACTAAAAACGTGTCCAATTTTTTCATGTCAGCCAAATTTTCAGCACGTTTCTATGGCTGCTTTACATGACTTTTGTCTCTCGAGTGTATACTTATAACATTCGAAACGCTAAACTAAACTCAGAAATGTTGCTGGACCGCACTGTAAACATTGACCAAATGGCCGGGTGACGTCACGTGCTGCCTCTATTCACTCTCCAACCAACCCGCACCTAAACATTAAACCAATGTTACCGCGTGACGTCACCTGCAGTTCCAATGTAAACAAAAACAATACCACGTGGTCATACGACATCAACCCAAATTCAATATACAAACTAAATTGTTTAGTGACATCTGGTTGACTTCAATCAATTTAGGCCTAGGCGCACATAAAGCCTAGCATTGCCATTATAATAGGTAACTTACGCCCTAGTGAGTAAAAGTATCTCTTAGTGCTAAAACCATTAACATAATTCACTTACGCTACCCGTCTTTTCGAGTACTAAAAAGTACAACGTCACAAAAATGATGTACTAAATTACTAAACCACCGAGGACCCACGCATATAGCCAACAGCCTGCCCATTTAGCGAGACGCTATGATTTATATATTTATAATAAAAACTCAATTTATAATAAAATAAAAATTATAATTTATAATTTATAATAATTTTAAATTTAAAAATTATAATAATTTATAATTATAATAAAAACTTTATAATAAACACTATATAAAAATTTATAATAAAAATTATATTAAAATTTACAATAAAAACTATTTATAAGATTTTTTTTTTATAAAAAACTAAATAAAAGCAGTCTAACTACGCTGTATTATTCGAGAGGACAAGTTGTACCTAGAAATCTATCTCTTAGTGCGAAAAGTGTTGCAGGAATGTTTTACTAATATTTCAACCGAAAGGCAGGATGGAAACATCGCGTCCCTCAAGGAGGAGAAACGGACCCGTGTCCAACAGGTATTTCGAGTGGGGTCTAAGACCTGGGAAAAATATGTGCCCTTCTTCGTCATCATGATAAACAAACCTAAGCTATCCTAACTCAACCTAACCTACCTTATCTTATCTCAGTATAACCTAACCTATTATCTACCGAACCTAACTTAAGTGAAAGTAAGATATCGTATTATGTTCTCTATATATGGCGCCGGCAAGGTGTGTGACGTCACTGTGACGTAAAAGTGGCCATGTTGCTACAGGTTTTAGACCCTTACCGGCTATTTCCGGAGAAAGAGAAAGTGTTTATGTGTGGGAAAACCCATCGAGGCCTCTGAGCGACGTAGTAGCCAGCATCATCGGGTCAAGACACGAAAGGCCCCGGGTTCGATTCCCGCTGCAGGACACAAGACGTTTGGGCACTTTACCTGATGCCTCTGTTCACCTAGCAGTAAATAGGCGGGTGCTGTGGGTTGGTTGCTTCCTGACTCTTGACAACAAAAATCCCATTTTGATAACTACATATTCTCATCATTGATTAATTCGTTGTGTCGGTGACAGGAAGCCTGTCAATATATACTTTAGGCTTGTATCGAGGTCATCCCAAATTGAGCTGCTGACCCCGCCACCTTCCCCGGAAGCAACCACACAACAGTTGCCCACCTCCCGAGGAACTAGGTGAACAGTCGCATTAGGTGACAAGAAACGCGCCAATAACCATTTCAGTCCCACCCGGGGAATCGAACCCGGGATCTCCGAGTGTGAGACGAAATCAAAACTAAGTGTACCACCACGAGACGATCAGTTGACAATGTTTTCCTTACCTGATCAACCAGGCTGTGACTCATACGTCAGGCTGCGAGCAGCCGCGTCTAACATCCTGGTTGATCAGTCCAGCAACCAGGAAGCCTGGTCGACGACCGGGCCGCGGGGACGCTAAGCCCCGGAAGCACCTCAAGGTAACCTCAAGGTAACTACACATTATCGCCAAAAAACTCTCACACCTCAACAAAGCCTATCTACACCAAAGAGTAGCAGAAGGTTCGCCCTCTGCACTTTGGTATCTTCAGGCAACCAAATTAGAAAGGATAAATAACCCAAAAAGAATCCACAGTTTTCCTTGTCTGTTACCCAGCGGTCACGTCTTGAGCTCTTCTTCTCAGCAACGAAAGGGAGGAAATTCTTGTCTAAGATAATCATTCATTTGAGCAACGGTGTTCCTCTGATACCAGATTCCTCCTGCAGTGCATAGCAATGGCTTTCACCCCCTCGGCGGCCTCCTTGCATGCTAATCATGCAGCCCATCCTCCTATTTTGGTAGTACTTATAGTAACGACGAGGGCCATAGTATGCTATACTATACCGACGTACAACGAAATTAGAACGTAGAAATCTGAATTATTGAGTTGGACAAACCGGAAAACTATTTGTTTTACTTGTGTTGCTTTGACAAACTAAACTAACCTATCCTAACCTCCCTAGGCCTAATACACGATATCCGAGGCCTAATATAGTACATATGTGTACTATACTAGGGCCTAGGAATATTTATGTATGTGTTTTAGCTTCATTTATTTTAAAAGAATTCCTTACTAGTCAGTGTACTACTATCTAAAAGCTAAGAACGTATGAATTCTGCCTATTATTATTATTATTTTTTGAGATATATACAAGAGTTGTTACATTCTTGTACAGCCACTAGTACGCGTAGCGTTTCGGGCAGGTCCCTGGAATACGATCCCCGCCGCGAAGAATCGTTGTTACAACCAAGTACCCATTTTACTGTTGAGTTAAACAGAGGCTACAGTTAAGGATTTGCGCCCAGCATATCCTCCCCGGCCAGGATACGAACCCATGACATAGCGCTCACGGAACGCCCGTCACAATAGGTACTACCTAAACAAGAGGATGGGTTGAAACACACCTTGCACCACCCTTCCGAGAACTCCTCCTCGGAAAATTCCTGCTCTGGGCATTTCCTAGGAACCCAAGCAGTGCCCAAGCCGTTCTTGCACTCGCAAATACAAAGAAGCTTCGCACGTTCTTGTACTAAACGATCAAACTAAACACAATCCCAACAACAACAAACAACCCTTCTCTACCTGGTACCTGGTTGATACCTGGTTGATGGGGTTCTGGGAGTTCTTCTACTCCCCAAGCCCGGCCCGAGGCCAGGCTCGACTTGTGAGAGTTTGGTCCACCAGGCTGTTGCTTGGAGCGCCCCGCAGGGCCACGTACCCACCACAGCCCGGCTGATCCGGAACTTCTCTTAGAAAATCGTCCAGTTTTCTCTTGAAGATGTCCACGGTTGTTCCGGCAATATTTCTTATGCTCGCTGGGAGGACGTTGAACAACCGCGGACCCCTGATGTTTATACAGTGCTCTCTGATTGTGCCTATGGCACCTCTGCTCTTCACAGGTTCAATCTTGCATTTTCTTCCATATCGTTCACTCCAGTACGTTGTTATTTTACTGTGTAGATTTGGGACCTGACCCTCCAGTATTTTCCATGTGTATATTATTTGGTATCTCTCTCGTCTCCTTTCTAGAGAGTACATTTGGAGAGCTACAAAAACATTCACAACAAGAAAACAACCCAAACTATACGTGTTAAAAATTACACATTTAGACAAAAAAATTGTGAAACTTTCAAGTATGCGGAAATTTTCCCCCGCTGCCCCTACCTCTCTCTCGTCCTCCCCATCCCTCCTTCCTCCCTTGTAGGTAAGTAACAGGGAACCAGTTTCTTTTCCCTCGTTGACCCACGGGAATGGCCCTAAGTGGGCGGGGCTACTGGCAGCAGCTGGGGCCCCCATCCCGGTATATAAGGCCTGGTACCCGGTCTAGCTGCTACAGTCAATGAGAAGTATCATCTCTTTCAACATGAAGTTTGTGAGTACACAGCCCCCTTAAAACTTATCCCGGTATAATCTTATTCATATTACTCATTACTCACCTCAAACCGTGTTCTTCAGCTGTGCTTCTGATAACATTTCATGGTTACAAAATATTTGTATTTACACAGTGATAATAATGTAGATGTCTATACTAAGCTGTGACTCGTGGTATCAGCTCTCAGGTATACATGTCTGTATATATTATATATATATATATATATATAAATATATATAATATATATATATATATATATATATATATATATATATATATATATATATATATATATATATATATATATTGTAAATACAGCAATACACATTCAACAACTACAGTTGCAAATGCATCGGTCACATTAGACTAAAACTGTAGTCTTTATAGTATATTATGTAATTATATAAATTATATAGTGGGAAGAGTTGATAGGCGTCATTCGACCTTAGTGTGACACTTAAGTTACTGGCTAAGCATAGTTCACCATCCTGGCGCGACATTGTTCACCATCTTTCAGATCCGTACCAGTAATCTCTCTTTATCAGATCTAGACATTTAACATTATAGTGAGTGTTGATCATGGAGGGAGTTTGAGCAGGTATATTGTTGAGGCAGACTCCTAGTTTGTTTATGTACGAGATGAAATAGCTTGCTGTCAGTACAATGATTCAAAACAATTCTTATTTGGCATTTGAACTGCAATAGCAATTTTTTCTGATAGCATATGTGATATCACAGGGAATTAACTAGGAGTTGTTCACCGATATGGTAATACTGCTTGCTCTATAAAGGGTATATACAACAGCCCCCCCTCCCCCCTCTGGAGGTATACACCTAGATATATATATATATATACCAACTTTGGCTTCATTCTACTGTGCTCTGATGAAGGCGAATTAGCCGAAAACGCGTTAAGCATTCTCTATTTTTTACATGGGGTTATTCTGCATATATACCAACATGCAAGAATTAACGTACAAGTGCAGAACAGAAATTTACTGTTACTACAGTATACTGTAATATTGACGATATCTGCGTATCTGTCTCGATAGATTGAGTGGGTTATCTTGAGATGATTTCGGGGCTTTTTAGTGTCCCCGCGGCCCGGTCCTCGACCAGGCCTCCACCCCCAGGAAGCAGCCCGTGCAGCTGACTAACACCCAGGTACCTATTTTACTGCTAGGTAACAGGGGCATAGGGTGAAAGAAACTCTGCCCATTGTTTCTCGCCGGCGCCTGGGATTGAACCCAGGACCACACAAGTCCAGCGTGCTGTCCGCTCGGCCGACCGGCTCCCCTTAAGTGCCTTAAGTGTCGTTCATAAGCGTTTGGAGTGGACATAAATAGGAGCTGTCTCATATGGACCAATTATAGCCTTCTGCCGTGTTCTCTATTCTTACATTATAATGCTTATGATACCTCAAACTGCTTCACGTAACCTTAGAAGTCTACTCAATCAAATCATAAACTTATTCATAAATGTTCGTTTTATAAATTTATACTTGGGTTAGTTTACACAAATTTACAGTAAATTGAAATTGAAATAAGTTTATTGAGGTAAAATACACACAAAGGGATGAGGTAGCTCAAGCTATTCTCACCCCGTTCAGTACAACGTTCATACATATATAGACACACAGCACAAACAATAAACATACTACCGAACATTCTGAGAGATAAACATATACATTTTTATTAATTTTACAGTAAATGATTTACCTAGAAGAAAGTCATAACAACGTAGCGTTCTAAAGATTAGAATGGCCTGTGGTCTGTGCCTCTTTTCGGTTAAATGCAAAGAGGAATTCAATCGATTTTCTTCCAATCTTTCAGTGTACGATGTTGGTGTTGGTGGTGGTGGTGGTGACCTTGGCTGCTCTGATGGGGCCAGCCAGCGCTATGCCCGACCCCTTTGCCCTGGCTGACGCGCAGTTTGCATTTGGAAAATTTGGTATCAGTGGATATTCACGATGGCCCTTTAACAGAAGAATATTTGGTCATGGTGGCGGATTTGGTTTACGACGTGGATTTGGCGGCGGCCGCTTTGGAATCGATCGTTAAACTTAAGACAGTAGTGTCTAGGACTCTGAATCTCCTCGGACGCCATTATAAAACCAAACAAAATGTGTGATCTTGTGTTGTGAAGGGAAGCTGACGAGCGTCTCCAACACCTGCAGCACTTCCAACACCTAATATCCACCATCAAACACCCGTCAACATCAACACCTTCAGCGCCTTTATCAGTCCAACCACTTGGGCTAAACGGTAGAGCGACGGTCTCGCTTCATGCAGGTCGGCGTTCAATCCCCGACCGTCCAAGTGGTTATGGACACCATTCCTTCCCCCCGTCCCATCTCAAATCATTATCCTGAACCCTTCCAAGTGCTATATAGTCGTAATGGCATGGCGCTTTTCCCTTACAATTCTTCCCCCCCTTCCTTTCCATCGGGAGCGCCGACACGGTTATCTTGAGATGATTACGGTGTAAACAATAGCCTTTCATCATGGTTATTTAGACAGTTGTAACTGATCACTCAGTAATTAGCAGCGTAAATAAAGTTTTTTTTTAACAATATTACTATTATTTGCATCCTCGGTAAATAGTCAAAGAGGCTAAGGCATTAAGTTGACCTACACTAAGATGCCCAAAATATGTTATCGATTAAGATAGCGTAAAGGAATCTTTAATCTCTAGAGAACATTCCCTTGTCCTGCTCCAAAGAGTTTCTAATACAGCTATCACGTTATTCTGATTTCCTTGTGTGTTTATCCTGTTGTCGCCGGACGTGGTAAAGCTTGTGGCCCAACCTGATCCTGGCAATTACTATGTCGCATTCAATGTATTGTGGACCTGCCATTGTATAGATGGCACCATACCCATACTAAATCCATTGCTTTTTATCATTCTCTGTGTACGCTAACATACGAAACGCAAATGACTCGTCCTTGAGATTCACTATTGCGTAGCTAAATAACAGGATTATCGCTACAACTAACCCTTCTACTAGCCAGCATTCAAGAGCTCTACCCTCGTCATCGTAACCTTGGCATTCAGTCTCCCCCGCTATGATGAGTGAGGTGTGTCCCAACCCCTCGCACGACCAGGGATAAGTTTTGAATGTCAAGGGTTCGAACACGAGGTTGGATCTCTTATACGCAGGCTAGGGCAAAAGTGCAGGTTGCTATGGAAACTGCGTTTCGCACTTAAACGAGAATGCATTTGAGGATGATGTAAGGTAATTATGATAAAAAAGCACTAAGTCAATATTTACATAAATAACACGTGACTTCCCACGACCACGTGTTTTTTTGTTTACATGCGGACATGAGAGTCAAAGTAAACAACACGCAACTTCCCACGACCACGTGCTTTTGTTTACATGCGGCTATAAGAGTCAAAGTAAACAACACGTGACTTCCCACGACCACGTGTTTTCTCTTTACATGCAGGTTTGGGAGTCTCTGTATACACCCGCATCCGTCAGATGAATTTGTAGGCGATCTTAATACCCAAATTGAGAGCCGTCTTGAGAACCCGACGTCGCACGAATGGCAGGTTTCAACCCCTCAAAGCAAGAAAACTACAGGGAATGAACACGAGTATATAAAACATCTCGATAACAAAGAAACTTTTGTGGCACGTAAACAAAGAGTTTCGGAGACAACCCACTGAAAGAAAATCGTGAGTTTTAAAAAAAAACTGTAAAGTAGCCACACACACACACACAAGAGAAAATGCCAAGATAAAAATAATGGGTCGACTTCACTAGCCCCACCGGAAGAGAAGCAGACATGGCACAATATCTGCAAGATATGGCAAAACCTCTGCAAGACATGGCAAAACCTCTGCTAGATATGGCAAAACCTCTGCAAGATATGGCACAAACCTCTGCAAGACATGGCAAAACCTCTTCAAGACATGGCGAAACCTCTTCAAGACATGGCAAAACCTCTGCAAGATATGGCACAAACCTCTGCAAGACATGGCAAAACCTCTGCTAGATATGGCAAAACCTCTGCAAGACATGGCAAAACCTCTTCAAGACATGGCAAAACCTCTGCAAGATATGGCACAAACCTCTGCAAGATATGGCAAAACCTCTGCTAGATATGGCAAAACCTCTGCAAGACATGGCAAAACCTCTTCAAGACCTGGCGAAACCTCTACAAGATATGGCACAAACATCTGCAAGATATGGCACAAACCTCTGCAAGACATGGCAAAACCTCTGCTAGATATGGCAAAACCTCTGCAAGACATGGCAAAACCTCTGCAAGATATGGCGAAACCTCTGCAAGATATGGCACAAACCTCTGCAAGACATGGCAAAACCTCTGCAAGACATGGCAAAACCTCTGCTAGATATGGCACAAACCTCTGCAAGACATGGCAAAACCTCTTCAAGACATGGCGAAACCTCTGCAAGATATGGCACAAATATCTGCAAGATATGGCACAACATCTGCAAGACATGGCAAAGCCTCTGCAAGACATGGCAAAAACCTCTGCAAGACATGGCAAAACCTCTTCAAGACATGGCAAAACCTCTTCAAGACATGGCAAAACCTCTGCAAGATATGGCAAAACCTCTGCAAGATATGGCACAAACCTCTGCAAGACATGGCAAAAATGCAGAAAGCTGAAGCAAGCTGAGCAAAAACCTGCAGCCCACATACACCCACAAAGGGAGTAAGGATAAGGAACTTGTTAGCAAGCGGAGTAATGCATCTTCCTCCTCCTTGTAGAAGTATGCAGGGAAGATAACAAAGTATAATGACAAGAATAATCAGGATAACGAGTGCAATATTCAACGAGGACGAATATGGACAACCAATCACAGCCCAGGAGGTAAGGGTCTCCGTAGTGCAGTTGCGTTCGTTCTCGACTCACACTCGGGAATCAAGGGTTCGAATCACGGGTGGGAAATAAATGGTTGGGCACGTTTACTTTCACCTAATGTACCTGTTCACCCAGCAGTAAATAGGTTCCCCGGGAGTTCACCATTGACACCTATGACAATGCAATGAACAGGGGTGCCATAGGCACAATCAGAGAACACTGTATAAACATCAGAGGTCCACAGTTGTTCAACGTCCTCCCAGCGAGCATAAGAAATATTGCCGGAACAACCGTGGACATTTTCAAGAGAAAACTAATTTTCTTCAAGAAGTGCCGGACCAACCGGCCTGTGGTGGATATGTGGGCCTGCGGACCGCTTCAAGGGACAGCCTGGTGGGCCAAACTCTCACAAGTCAAGCCTGGCCTCGGGCCGGGCTTGGGGAGTAGAAGAACTCCCAGAACCCCATCAAGCAGGTATCATACTCTATGTAAAGTCTTGGAGAATCCATTGCGCCACATCTTGATTGATTGATGCTGATTGACCTCTTCAATCAACCTATCCTCTCGAATAACGTTTTGTCCTAGGAGTAATGGGGAAGGGGATGTTGACGACTGCAAGTGCATTGTTATCTTGAGGTTATCTTGAGTTGATTTCGGGGCTTTGTTTTTAGTGTCCCCGCGGCCCGGTCCTTGACCAGGCCTCCACCCCCAGGAAGCAGCCCGTGGCAGCTGACTAACACCCAGGTACCTATTTACTGCTAGGTAACAGGGGCATAGGGTGAAAGAAACTCTGCCCATCGTTTCTCACTGGCGCCCGGGATCGAACCCGGGACCACAGGATCACAAGTCCAGTGTGCTGTCCGCTCGGCCGACCAGCTCCCTAAGTTAGGAGCTTAGGATATCATTGTGAGTTAGGATATCTCATTAATCCTATGTATGAATTGTTATGGGGGTTTTAGAGGTGAGGATATTAGTATTGTTGAGAATGGTGATTGGTTCTGTATAATAGATATTATTATGATTTCAGTGAGCATTAGAGTATGACAACTAGGTGTACTGGGGGGGTAAACTGGGGTATACTCTGAGCGTTCTGAGGTGAACTAGGGGTAAACTAAGAAGTGACTCGATTTCTTGGTTATGGAAATTGTCAGATTGGGTTTGGTGTTGATTGTTGCGAAAGATTTTCAATATTAGATTCCTAACTGGGCAAAGAATTGTAAACGTTTTTGCAACACTACCAAAAACGTGTCCAATTTTTTTATTTCAGCCAAATTTTCAGCACGTTTCTATGGCTGCTTTACATGACTTTTGTCTCTCGAGTGTATACTTATAACATTCGAAACGCTAAACTAAACTCAGAAATGTTGCTGGACCGCACTGTAAACATTGACCAAATGGCCGGGTGACGTCACGTGCTGCCTCTATTCACTCTCCAACCAACCCGCACCTAAACATTAAACCAATGTTACCGCGTGACGTCACCTGCAGTTCCAATGTAAACAAAAACAATACCACGTGGTCATACGACATCAACCCAAATTCAATATACAAACTAAATTGTTTAGTGACATCTGGTTGACTTCAATCAATTTAGGCCTAGGCGCACACAAAGCTTAGCATTGCCATTATAATAGGTAACTTACGCCCTAGTGAGTAAAAGTAACTCTTAGTGCTAAAACCATTAACATAATTCACTTACGCTACCCGTCTTTTCGAGTACTAAAAGTACAACGTCACAAAAATGATGTACTAAATTACTAAACCACCGAGGACCCACGCATATAGCCAACAGCCTGCCCATTTAGCGAGGCGCTGTGATTTATAAATGTATAATAAAAACTAAATTTATCAAATAAAAATGATAATAATTTACAATTTATAATAATTTTAAATTTAAAAATTATAATAATTTATAATTATAATAAAAACTTTATAATAAAAACTATATAAAAATTTATAATAAAAACTATATTAAATTTTATAATAAAACTATTTATAATCATTTTTTTATATAAAAAAACTAAATAAAAACAGTCTAACTACGCTGTATTATTCGAGAGGACAAGTTGTACCTAGAAATCTATCTCTTAGTGCGAAAAGTGTTGCAGGAATGTTTTACTAATATTTCAACCGAAAGGCAGGATGGAAACATCGCGTCCCTCAAGGAGGAGAAACGGACCCGTGTCCAACAGGTATTTCGAGTGGGGTCTAAGACCTGGGAAAAATATGTGCGCCCTTCTTCGTCATCATGATAAACAAACCTAAGCTATCCTAACTCAACCTAACCTACCTTATCTTATCTCAGTATAACCTAACCTATTATCTACCGAACCTAACTTAAGTGAAAGTAAGATATCGTATTATGTGCTCTATATATGGCGCCGGCAAGGTGTGTGACGTCACTGTGACGTAAAAGTGGCCATGTTGCTACAGGTTTTAGACCCTTACCGGCTATTTCCGGAGAAAGAGAAAGTGTTTATGTGTGGGAAAACCCATCGAGGCCTCTGAGCGACGTAGTAGCCAGCATCATCGGGTCAAGACACGAAAGGCCCCGGGTTCGATTCCCGCTGCAGGACACAAGACGTTTGGGCACTTTATCTGATGCCTCTGTTCACCTAGCAGTAAATAGGCGGGTGTTGTGAGTTGGTTGCTTCCTGACTCTTGACAACAGAAAACCCATTTTGATAACTACATATTCTCATCATTGATTAATTCGTTTTGTCGGTGACAGGAAGCCTGTCAATATATACTTTAGGCTTGTATCGAGGTCATCCCAAATTGAGCTGCTGACCCCGCCACCTTCCCCCGGAAGCAACCACACAACAGTTGCCCACCTCCCGAGGAACCCATTTGCTGCTAGGTGAACAGTCGCATTCGGTGACAAGAAACGCGCCTATAACCATTTCAGTCCCACCCGGGGAATCGAACCCGGGATCTCCGAGTGTGAGACGAAATCAAAACCAAGTGTACCACCACGAGACGATCAGTTGACAATGTTTTCCTTACCTGATCAACCAGGCTGTGACTCATACGTCAGGCTGCGAGCAGCCGCGTCTAACATCCTGGTTGATCAGTCCAGCAACCAGGAGGCCTGGTCGACGACCGGGCCGCGGGGACGCTAAGCCCCGGAAGCACCTCAAGGTAACCTCAAGGTAACTACACATCATCGCCAAAAAAACTCTCACACCTCAACAAAGCCTATCTACACCAAAGAGTAGCAGAAGGTTCGCCCTCTGCACTTTGGTATCTTCAGGCAACCAAATTAGAAAGGATAAATAACCCAAAAAGAATCCACAGTTTTCCTTGTCTGTTACCCAGCGGTCACGTCTTGAGCTCTTCTTCTCAGCAACGAAAGGGAGGAAATTCTTGTCTAAGATAATCATTCATTTGAGCAACGGTGTTCCTCTGATACCAGATTCCTCCTGCTGTGCATAGCAATGGCTTTCACCCCCTCGGCGGCCTCCTTGCATGCTAATCATGCAGCCCATCCTCCTATTTTGGTAGTACTTATAGTAACGACGAGGGCCATAGTATGCTATACTATACCGACGTACAACGAAATTAGAACGTAGAAATCTGAATTATTGAGTTGGACAAACCGGAGAACTATTTGTTTTACTTGTGTTGCTTTGACAAACTAAACTAACCTATCCTAACCTCCCTAGGCCTAATACACGATATCCGAGGCCTAATATAGTACATATGTGTACTATACTAGGTCTAGGAATATTTAAGTATGTGTTTTAGCTTCATTTATCATAAAAGAATTCCTTACTAGTCAGTGTACTACTATCTAAAAGCTAAGAACGTATGAATTCAGCCTATTTTTTTTTTGAGATATATACAAGAGTTGTTACATTCTTGTACAGCCACTAGTACGCGTAGCGTTTCGGGCAGGTCCCTGGAACACGATCCCCGCCGCGAAGAATCGTTGTTACAACCAAGTACCCATTTTACTGTTGAGTTAAACAGAGGCTACAGTTAAGGATTTGCGCCCAGCATATCCTCCCCGGCCAGGATACGAACCCATGACATAGCGCTCACGGAACGACCGTCACAATAGGTACTACCTAAACAAGAGGATGGGTTGAAACACACCTTGCACCACCCTTCCGAGAACTCCTCCTCGGAAAATTCCTGCTCTGGGCATTTCCTAGGAACCCAAGCAGTGCCCAAGCCGTTCTTGCACTCGCAAATACAAAGAAGCTTCGCACGTTCTTGTACTAAACGATCAAACTAAACACAATCCCAACAACAACAAACAACCCTTCTCTACGAAAACATTCACAACAAGGAAACAACCCACACTATACGTGTTAAAAATTACCCATCTAGACAAAAAAATCGTGAAACTATAAAGTATGCGGAAACTATTCCCCCGCTGCCCCTACCTCTCTCTCGTCCTCTACGAGCTCACCATAGCCCGTGCTACTTGGAACTGCTTGTTCCAAGTAGCGAATCTTTAACAACAACAACAACATCTCGTCCTCCCCATCCCTCCCTCCTCCCTTGAAGGTAAGTAACAGGGGACCAGTTTCTTTTCCCTCGTAGACCCACGGGAATGGCCCTGAATGGGCGGGGCTACTGGCAGCAGCTGGGGGCCCCATCCCGGTATATAAGGCCCGGCACCCGGTCTAGCTGCTACAGTCAATGAGAAGTATCATCTCTTTCAACATGAAGTTTGTGAGTACACAGCCCCCTTAAAACTTATCCCGGTATAATCTTATTCATATTACTCATTACTCACCTCAAACCGTGTTCTTCAGCTGTGCTTCTGATAACATTTCATGGTTACAAAATATTTGTATTTACACAGTGATAATAATGTAGATGTCTATACTAAGCTGTGACTCGTGGTATCAGCTCTCAGGTATACATGTCTGTATATTATATATATATATATATATATATATATATATATATATATATATATATATATATATATATATATATATATATATATATATATATATATATATATATATATTGTAAATACAGCAATACACATTCAACACTATTCAACAACTACAGTTGCAAATGCATCGGTCACATTAGACTAAAACTGTAGTCTTTATAGTATATTATGTAATTATATAAATTATATAGTGGGAAGAGTTGATAGGCGTCATTCGACCTTAGTGTGACACTTAAGTTACTGGCTAAGCATAGTTCACCATCTTTCAGATCCGTACCAGTAATCTTTCTTTATCAGATCTAGACATTTAACATTATAGTGAGTGTTGATCATGGAGGGAGTTTGAGCAGGTATATTGTTGAGGCAGACTCCTAGTTTGTTTATGTACGAGATGAAATAGCTTGCCGTCAGTACAATGATTCAAAACAGTTCTTATTTGGCATTTGAACTGCAATAGTAATTTTTTCTGATATAGCATATGTGATATCACAGGGAATTAACTAGGAGTTATCTTGAGATGATTTCGGGGTTTTAGTGTCCCCGCGGCCCGGTCCTCGACCAGGCCTCCACCCCCAGGAAGCAGCCCGTGACAGGTGACTAACACCCAGGTACCTATTTTACTGCTAGGTAACAGGGGCATAGGGTGAAAGAAACTCTGCCCATTGTTTCTCGCCGGCGCCTGGGATCGAACCCAGGACCACAGGATCACAAGTCCAGCGTGCTGTCCACTCGGCCGACCGGCTCCCATATTGTTGTTGTTCACCGATATGGTAATACTGCTTGCTCTATAAAGGGTATATACAACAGCCCCCCCCCCCTCTGGAGGTATACACCTAGATATATATACCAATTTTGGCTTCATTCTACTGTGCTCTGATGAAGGCGAATTAGCCGAAAACGCGTTAAGCATTCTCTATTTTTCACATGTGGGTTTTCTGCATATATACCAACATGCAAGAATTAACGTACAAGTACTGAACAGAAATTTCCGTAAACAGCTGCCTTAATCAACGTAGCCGAAGAAAGGCCTTAAAATCCAACCTAAGCTAAGTTAATATAACCTAACTTAACTAAGCCATATCTAGCCTGTTTAGCGGATCGCATTAGTGGACCTGAACACGGCTGCAGCAACGCATTACCCCACAAGCCCACAACTCACTAAACACAAACAAGTCGACTACGGGCTCACCATAGGCCGTGCTGCTTGGAACTTTTTGTTCCAGGTAGCGAATCTTAAACAACAACACTAAACGCATCTGAACCCTCACCAATACACAACGTGAACTACCGTCATTCTCAGCTTGTCGAACTACCAGTAGTTCACTCTATCAAACTTGTTATTTAGTAGTATTCTAAATAAATATAAAACCTACCGCAGGCGCTTGACAGGGAATTACTGCTGTCAGTCACGCAGACCCGTGACTGACAGCAGTAATCAGATATGACTCAGTGCTTGTCTCCTCTAAGAAGTGACACCTCTAAGAAGTGACACCTCTAAGAAGTGACACCTCTAAGAAGTGACACCTCTAAGAAGTGACACCTCTAAGAAATGACACCTCTAAGAAGTGACACCTCTAAGAAGTGACACCTCTAAGAAGTGACACCTCTAAGAAGTGACACCTCTAAGAAGTGACACCTCTAAGAAGTGACACAATAAGCTGCCGATCTTAGACAATCTGGCTCATTTACAGGACATATTTAACACAAACATTAACAGATCATCTGTCCATATCTAGTTGGAAGCAAAGCATTATAGGTTTCGATTTTTCATTCATGGAATTTATTCACTGGCGATGAACGCCGACGATTGTCTTCCCATCATTATATTCTTGCCGTGACGAACTTAAGTCACTAAAGTCATTTTATTCTTGTTCTCTTTTTACAGTTGTCGCTGATGGTGGTGGTGGTGGTGGCCCTGGCCGCCCTCATGCGGTCAGCCCGAGCTATGCCTGAACCACAGTTTGGTGGTGGTGGATTCGGTGGTGGATTCGGTGGTGGCGGATTCGGTGGTGGTCACCGCGGTGGCGGATTCGGTGGTGGATTTGGCGGCCACCATGGTGGATTTGGCGGTCACCGTGGTGGATTTAGCGGTCACCGTGGTGGATTTGGCCATGGTGGTGGCTTCCGTGGATAATCCCAATACTCTGCCACTCTTCGAATGCTAGACAATACCGCTCTAAAAACTACATAAAAGTACATATCCTCAAATGTACTTTTACGCCTGCATATCGACTAATTCTGCTGACGCAGTCTAAGGCCTGGAGAGTAAGACAGCTGATCAAACTAATCCAGATCAGCATCTCCAACAAGCAGCATCTATCATCTTCTACAAACAGCATCATTAGCAGGCTAGATACATCACCAAAATTAAATACATTGCGAAGAGTGTCATTTGATGCAGTTCCTACCGACTTCCTCAATAACTAAACCCGTCAACTCAAATGCCGTGAAAATTATACTTATTTTCATATATCGTACTTTAATTTATACCCCTATTGTTAAGGTGCTATGTAGATTGCGATACATATTGGACCATGTATACTTAAATCAAAATATCATGTATAACCATTATACATTGATACATTTTACATTATACATATACATTATACATTTTACTTACCATTTAGATTATCATAGTAGTTTGACTCTGATAACTATACAGTTTTAAATGGACTCTGGAAGTATATACGTGCATATACAATACTGTATGTATGCACTTGATGAAATACACAACATACACACTAAATCCGGTATACACATATGTATATACACGCACATAAACTCCTAATATATACAGCTGACATATGTTTTTAACAAATTCAATCACATAATAACACATATTGACAGTGGGGAAAAAAGTGGAAATGTTTACAATGAACATCAATAGAACAAGAACACATGGATGGAAGCTTGAGACTCAGATGAGCCACAGACATATTGGGAAGGTTTCCTGTAGCGTAAGATTAGAGGGGGAAAATGGAAAGAACTACAGGAGCAGGTTATAGTAGCTAACTTCATTCATAACTTTAAAAAGTACATATGATGGAAAAATAGGTCACGAAATCTCGAGCCTATAGGCACACATAGCACCGTTATCTTGGTTATCTTGAGATGATTTCGGGGCTTAGCGTCCCCGCGGTCCGGTCCTCGACCAGGCCTCCTTTTTGTTACACATCCCCAGGAAGCAGCCCGTAGCAGCTGTCTAACTCCCAGGTACCTATTTTACTGCTGGGTGAAGGAAACTATGCCCATTTGTTTCCGCCTACGCCAGGGATCGAACCCGGAACCTTAGGATTACGAATCCCGAGCGCTGTCCACTTAGCCGTCAGACCCCTATCTCACTGTGTGTACACACAAATCCACCTGTGCTGGTGTGAGTGAGCGGCGTCGGGAGTCTTAGACCCCTATGATGCCCCGGCCGAGGTAGAAACACATAGACACGAGAGTGTCTTTCACCTCGTGCCTCTGTTCACTTAGTAAATAGGTAACGTGGTAGTTAGACAGCTGCTACGGGCTGCATCCTGGGGATATGCATGTGTACATTACAGAACCGACGCTTTGAAAAGCGAGGTCCAAGAGCTAACAGTTTTATCCTGTAGGCACAAATATTAAACACACACACACACACACACACACACACACACACACACATACATACAGATCCTGCAGAGCCAAAGCTCGATCCTGCAATTTATACCTATTGTACAAATAGGTGAGTACACAAGCAAGGGCCCCCCCTCCATCAGCAACGAGGGGGGTCTGAGTGGACAACATTCGGGGGCCCTAGTCCTAAGAGCCCGAGTTCGATTCCCAGCCTAGGCAGAAACAAATGGAAAGAGATTCTTTCACCCTGAGGCTTCTGTTCACTTAGCAGTAAATAGATACCTGGGAGTTAGACAGCTGCTACGGCCTGCTTCCTGGAGGACGTGTGCGTGTGTGTGTGTGTATGTTAAGAGACAAATATATGTAGTAGACATATTAGAGGAAAATAGATTGGTTAGAAAGGTTGGGTCCAAGAGTTAATACCTCGATTCTGCAGGCACAAATGGTAAACACAAATAGTAAATACACACATAAACGCATGTTCCAACTAACTCCTTATATTCAACCTTCCAACGCTACTTCCAAATCTTATTCTCACTTCTCTGCTCCTCCACATCTCTCTCTCTCTCCTCTTGTTCCTCATCTCCTTTCTATGCCTTACCTCCTATATTGCAATCTCCTTCATCTCTACCTACTCATCAATGAATCCATTAGAGTAAGCAACATGATTAAGTTGGAGAGAGGGAGGGACGGAGAAAGAGAGACGAGAGAGGAGGAGGGAGGGAGAAAGAGAGATGAGAGAGGGGGGAAGATTGGTAGAGACTGGAATGAGTGGGGAGGGAGGGAGGGAGGGAGGGAGAGAGGGAGAGAGAGAGAGAGAGAGAGAGAGAGAGAGAGAGAGAGAGAGAGAGAGAGAGAGAGAGAGAGAGAGAGAGAGAGAGAGAGAGAGAGAGAGAGAGAGAGAGAGAGAGAGAGAGAGAGAGAGAGAGAGAGAGAGAGAGAGAGAGAGAGAGAGAGAGAGAGAGAGAGAGAGAGAGAGAGAGAGAGAGAGAGAGAGAGAGAGAGAGAGAGAGAGAGAGAGAGAGAGAGAGAGAGAGAGAGAGAGAGAGACCCGGGCGCTGCCGGATACTTTCCACCCAAGTATCTATTAAAAAAAAAAGTGTTTCTCCAAGGCTTGAGACCAGATGGGTGCGGTTAGTCTCTCGCAACTTTGTATGATGAATTGTGACTGTGTGGGGGGGGGGGGGATGGGGGTATCATAGGCGGGGTCGGGGTCAACCCCCCACCCCTCCCCAGCCCCTCTTCAAGTAGGAGTGAGTCATATTACAACCCATCCTCCTGCTTATAGATAGTACTTTCTGTAACTAGGTGCACCATTCTACATATATATTGACGTAATGAACAATTAGAATTTGGTACTATTTACTTTATAGAATAAAAAAAATATATATATATACAGCTAATATGTAAACTTAAATATTCCTAGGCCTAGTATAACACATACATATGTAGACCAGACCACACACTAGAAGGTGAAGGGACGACGACGTTTCGGTCCGTCCTGGACCATTCTCAAGTCGATTGTCCCTTCAAACGTCGTCGTTCCTTCACCTTCTAGTGTGTGGTCTGGTCAACATACTTTAGCCACGTTATTGTGACTCATCGCCTGCACATACATATGTACTAAATTTATCCTTAGTGTGTATTAAGCCTAGGATGGTTAGGTTAGGTTTTATTAGCAACATAAATACAAAACCTTTATCGGTTTGTCTAAATTCAATAGTACGAAATGCTACTTTCTAAGTGTCCATTAGCTCAAAATACGTACGATGGTCCCCATCGTTACTGTAAGTGCTGTCTGTTGCACAGGAAGAATGGGCTTCATATTACCAGCAACTCCTAATAACTCCAGAACGTGGGTTTAACTGTCCATATCCAGGACAAATTTCAAAAACAAATCGAAACTGTCCCCTATTTTCCGCTTGTTACAACTTGTAATATCGTTATTACATCTTGGCATAACGTTTGCATGACGTATTGGAACATTGTTAAAAACGTGTAACGAACGTTTTAGCAACGTCGTAGTTTGGTCGTGATAGTGATTTTAATTTATTTACAGCTGTTTGTCACACAGAACGTAGCCTCGACGTTTTGACAACTTTGTATCTAACAATGGTAAAAATAATGATGTGGTCACGTCTTGTGTTTGCTGGGAGCGTTCATTGAATGTTCTGAAAGAGAGAATGGTAGTGGTGGAGGGAGAAAGAGAACGGGGGTTAGAAAACGGAAGGGAGTGCGTGAGGCAGAGAGAAAATGGGAGGTAGGGGAGGGAGAAAGGAAAATAAAGAGACAGATATAAATAGAGACCCGAGCACTAAGCCCTAAATTAGTATATGAAACGTGTCCAAATTAGAATATTCTTAATTGTGAGGATTAAGTATCAATTACTGAGGCCCGTCACATAAGGATTACAGTCCAGAAGTGCAGAAACAATACTAACTATTGACAGAAGCAGAGACAGACCGCAACAAGCTAAAGACAGAAGGAGCCCCCTGGAGACAGTGAAGCAATTTTAAAAGTAATTAATGAAGTTCTGAAAAGAAAAACAGGTAAAACCAGCAATAAATAATTCCAGATTCAATCCACTCTGACCCATTACCGGCCATCTCCAAGATCATCTTATGTCCAGGCCTCCGAGCTCATTCTGGGAATTTCCTCGCCAAGGGCGAACGGGTTAGAACAAGTTCTTATACTGCTGGAACATTAAGAGAAGAAGATGCGGGGCGGGGACTTGGAATCCCCCCCCCCTAAGCCTCCTGAGGAGTATATAAGGAACTGCAGCTCTCAACGACAGCACAGAGATAAGCCGAGATCTTCCAAACCAATTCACTCTACAACCGAACCACTTTCAACATGAGATTTGTGAGTACAGCTTTGATCAGAGTCCCTTAATCCATCACTCTCATCTCCTACACAGTGTTTACTGACGCCTTTCGCCTCTGCTCACCTAGCTGGATATATATATATACCCGGGAGTTAGCACACTATTGTGGGTTGCATTCTGGGAAATGGCCAGTTGTTGTCAAGGGAGGCTTGGATAAACCTATAAGACTTCCCGTCCCCAACTGTGAGGGAGAAAGACTTCGGTGATAGACTTTCAAGCCTTGTGATAAGTCTCCACTACGAAGACTCCACAAAGCTGTAAATATATCATTATAGTGCGGGAATTATTGGTAATATTGATCACTTGACAGGGGCAGGAAGACAATATATATGAGCAAGAGTTGCCAGTATTGCGACATGCTTTCAGTGTTAGCTTCTCACCAAACTCACGAAACTGCTTTCCCATTGTCTGAACAGAAACTCTTTTAGGACCTATCAAAGTCCCCTCTAAACCAAAGACTCGCCTTCCTCTGGATGCAACGACAACTGTTGAATAACTCAAGTACCTATTTACTGCTATTTGGTCCAAAACAAAATAACATAAAAACAGAAAGCCTATTGGTCCATACGAGGCAGCTCCTATTGGTCCATACGAGGCAGCTCCTATTGGTCCATACGAGGCAGCTCCTATTGGTCCATACGAGGCAGCTCCTATTGGTCCATACGAGGCAGCTCCTATTGGTCCATACGAGGCAGCTCCTATTGGTCCATAGGAGGCAGCTCCTATTTATGTCACCCCAAACTCATATTAAATGTATGTGTTTACTAGTTGTGTTTTTACGGGGGTTGAGCTTTTGCTCTTTCGGCCCGCCTCTCAACTGTCAATCAACTGTTTACTAACTACTTTTTTTTTCCACACCACACACACACACACACACCCCAGGAAGCAGCCCGTGACAGCTGACTAACTCCCAGGTACCTATTTACTGCTAGGTAACAGGGGCATTCAGGGTGAAAGAAACTTTGTCCATTTGTTTCTGCCTCGTGCGGGAATCGAACCCGCGCCACAGAATTACGAATCCTGCGCGCTATCCACCAGGCTACGAGGCCCTATGTGTGCGTGTGTGTGTGTGTGTGTGTGTGTGTGTGTGTGTGTGTGTGTGTGTGTGTACTCACCTAGTTGTGCTTGCAGGCTTGCGGGGGTTGAGCTCTGGCTCTTTGGTCCCGCCTTTCAACTGTCAATCAACTGGTGTACAGATTCCTGAGCCTACTGGGCTCTGTCATATCTACATTTGAAACTGTGTATGGAGTCAGCCTCCACCACATCACTTCCTAATGCATTCCATTTGTCAACTACTCTGACACTAAAAAAGTTCTTTCTAATGTCTCTATGGCTCATTTGGGCACTCAATTTCCACCTGTGTCCCCTAGTGCCTGTACCCCATAGGTTAAATAGCCTGTCTTTATCTACCCTCTCAATTCCTTTGAGAATCTTGTATGTGGTGATCATGTCCCCCTAATTATTCTGTCTTCCAGCGACGTGAGGTTTAATTCCCGTAGTCTCTCCTCGTAGCTCATACCTCTCAGCTCGGGTACTAGTCTGGTGGCAAACCTTTGAACCTTTTCCAGTTTAATCTTATCCTTGACTAGATATGGACTCCATGCTGGAGCTGTATACTCCAGGATGTGTGTGTGTGTGTGTGTGTGTGTGTGTGTGTGTGTGTGTGTGTGTGTGTGTGTGTGTGTGTGTGTGTGTGTGTGTGTGTGTGTGTACTCACCTAATTGCACTCACCTAATTGTGTTTGCGGGGGTTGAGCTCTGGCTCTTTGGTCCCGCCTCTCAACTGTCAATCAACTGATGTGTGGTGTCGACCAACTGTCGTGTGTGTGTGTGTGTGTGTGTGTGTGTGTGTGTGTGTGTGGTAAAACCATAATGAAATGTGAGTAAAGCCAATGAGGTTTAACAGCAATAATGCAATCAGTCTCAGAGATCATTTCGTACATAATATTACGACTATTAAGTTACCTGGTAATCTTTCCATCAATCAACAACCCAACAACCATCAAATCGGCAGCGAGTCGACAGCTCTGACCACTGAAGCAAGAACATTTCATATTCTTTAAACACATTACTATCTACATAACTACAGGAGATAAACGATTTTTGTCTTTCAATATTTCAGTTGTCGCTGATGTTGGTGTTGGTGGTGGCCCTGGCCGCCCTGATGGGGTCAGCCCGAGCTATGCCTGACCCCTACGCCCTGGCTGACCCTGACCCCTACGCTGAGGCTGACCCCGCTGCTGACCCACAGTTTGGACGATTTGGCGGGGGTCGAGGATTTGGTAGATTTAGTGGTGGATTCGGAAGATTCGGTGGTGGATTTAGACGCCGTGGCCATTTTGGTTAAAAATGGATTCTGACCACAGGAATAAATGTATTGTTCTCTCTCATTATTCAAACTAAATATAATTTGGCTAATGCATTATATACACGTGTGTGTTTACTCCCCATCACCCCTGTCAAATCACCAGCCCACAATTTGGCAAGCAAACCATGAATGCAAAAAGATGTTAAAGATTATGATCTTAATCCAGCGCAAGAGCTTCATAAAATGTGATAGAGGGGGGAACAAACGTCTTGGAATTCGGGTAGTAGTAGAGAACACTTTGAGAATGACATAGCATGCGAAGCCAAGGACCAACCCTAATAGCTCCATAGCCACAGCCAGGATCACACAGAGAATGACAAGGAAGTGTGTGAAATAGTCTACTAATCCTTCCTGGAAGTTTCCAGGCTAGAACCTGATCTGATCTCAAATCTAAGAGTTCTTCGAGAAGAGACATTATCAGAAGAATGAATGAACGAATTAGAAGTCACACAAGAAGTATAGAAGCAGCGAGAGGAAGTGGGTGAGATGAAAGTCTTGGATGCACACAAGTTATCACCATGGATGCTGAACGAGGTGACTGCAGCACTGTGCAGTCCCTTTGTTATGGTTTTAATTGATCAGCAACGTTTACCAGAGATGTAGAAAACAACTAATGTGGTGCCATATATATATATATATATATATATATATATATATATATATATATATATATATATGTCGTACCTAATAGCCAGAACGCACTTCTCAGCCTACTATTCAAGGCCCGATTTGCCTAATAAGCCAAGTTTTCATGAATTAATGTTTTTTCGTCTACCTAACCTACCTAACCTAACCTAACCTAGCTTTTTTTGGCTACCTAACCTAACCTTACCTATAAATATAGGTTAGGTTAGGTTAGGTAGGGTTGGTTAGGTTCGGTCATATATCTACGTTAATTTTAACTCCAATAAAAAAAAATTGACCTCATACATAGAGAAAAGGGTTGCTTTATCATTTCATAAGAAAAAAATTATAGTAAATATATTAATTCAGGAAAACTAGGCTTATTAGGCAAATCGGGCCTTGAATAGTAGGCTGAGAAGTGAGTTCTGGCTACTAGGTACGACATATATATATATATATATATATATATATATATATATGTCGTACCTAGTAGCCAGAACGCACTTCTCAGCCTACTATTCAAGGCTCGATTTGCCTAATAAGCCAAGTTTTCATGAATTAATTGTTTTTCGACTACCTAACATACCTAACCTAACCTAACCTAACTTTTTCGGCTACCTAACCTAACCTAACCTATAAAGATAGATTAAGTTAGGTTAGGTAGGGTTGGTTAGGTTCGGTCATATATCTACGTTAATTTTAACTCCAACAAAAAAAAATTGACCTCATACATAATGAAATGGGTAGCTTTATCATTTCATAAGAAAAAAATTAGAGAAAATATATTAATTCATGAAAACTTGGCTTATTGGGCAAATCGAGCCTTGCATAGTAGGCTGAGAAGTGCGTTCTGGCTAATAGGTACGACATATATATATATATATATATATATATATATATATATATATATATATATATATATATATAACAAAGAAGGAAGGAAAGATCCTCTGAACTGAACCAGTAACTGCATCACTAACAAGCATCTTATCTAAGATGCAAAAGATGCCGTTTCGATGGAGGCTTCAAGAACAATTCAAACAATATAATTGTGTTATCCATCATTATGAATTCAGCAATGAGAAATCTTTCTCGACAAACTTATTCAGAGTTTTCATGATAACAATAAACAGAAAAAGAGGGTAGACTTCATTCTTCAGTGTCAGAAATCTTCCGGTAGTGTCTGAGACAAGAGAGTCCTTTTCAACAACAACAACAAAAGTGAGGTTGGAGAATCGGGAAGAGTGTTAAGTTGAAAAAATATATATCTCTGGTAGGATGCTCACAGTGAGAGGGGGGAGGTATCAGAGCTGAGAGAGACAATTAGCGGTGTACTACAAGGCTCGCTGCTAGGGCCCCATCCGGTTCCTGATACATGTAAATGGCTTAACTGACATTATAAATTCATTCACATCAATTCTTACTGACGAGGTATGAAGAAGGTGCAATGAACATGCACACGAGGACTCTGCTACATTTACAAAATGACCGAGATACACTCCGGAGGAAGTGTTAATAATAGATACTGATCAAATCCACAAGGGCCGTGACGAGGTTTCGAACCTACGTCCAAGAGGATCCCAGACGCGCCTTAATCGACTGAGCTACGACTAGATGTGTGTGACACTAGATTCTAATACAAACAAACGCAAAGTTGTCCAAATAAAAACCAGGAGTGATAGGGCAGTAATACATCACTTAATGAGCGGGAGACACCTTCCTCCACCAGAAAAAGAGAAATAACTTAAGAAGAGACTTAACAAAAACTATAAAACCAGCATCAACAAACTGCCGACGGCAGCAGAAGCTAAACTGGACAGCGTGCACTTTTTGTCATCAGAAATTTGGTCAAAGGAGCATACGAACGATGTACAACCTACGTCAGAGCAAGTCTTGAGTATGCTGCCATGGTATAAGAACCATACATAACAAAATCAAACATACCTATATGCAACAATGCTATTTTCTAAGCTGAGAGGACTGAGGTATGAAGACAAAGAGAACAGCACCTCACCACATTGTAGGGAAAAATAATCTGGGGAGACATGATAAGGACATACAAGATTATTAGTTAAATTAAGAACCAAAAGATCGAGAGGACTTAGATGAAAGCATAAATTCGTCACTGAGATCTAAAAAAAAATTCTTCAACGCAATAGTCGTAAATAAGTACCATAAATTAGATGAGGAAGATATTGATTCTAAATCAGTATACAATTCTAAATGCAATTGTAATTAGAAAACCGAATTGAAGAAGTCAGATTATGTAGAAGTTGAGAGAGCAGCTGCGAGTAGTCAAAAACACATGGGAGTAGTCAGAATATGTGGAAGTTGAGAGAGCAGCTGGGAGTAGTCAAAAACACATGGGAGTAGTCAGAATATGTGGAAGTTGAGAGAGCAGCTGGGAGTAGTCAAAAACACATGGGAGTAGTCAGAATATGTGGAAGTTGTCAGACTACATGGGAGCAATCAACTAAGGTGGAGGTGGTCAGTGTGGGTGAGAATCCTTAGCTGGTGCGGGCGACGCGATGCAGGTTCCTATCTACACCTATCTACCTATCTACTATACACCTATATAGTAAATAGGTAGTACACCTATCTACTTCCTAAACTCAACGGTAGCTCGCGTTTCCCGGTGCGCCCAAACATGGTCATTACCTCTCACAGACAACCCAAGACCTGCTTCCCTGTAATTTCCACACACACGCGGAAAGGCGATCGTAATGTTTGTTATCTTGCATTATTTATGGGGGAAAATGTAGCAGCAAATAGATTGTAATTTTAAAACCTTGGCAAATATTTCCCTTGAAATACGTCACGAATAATTTTATTGGGACTCCAGATTTATTTCAGAGTTTTAAACCTTGCGAAAGAAACTGGGATCGTTTCGTTACTTAATTTAGCATTAATTACCTGAATTTTACCATGTCTATTAGCCTCGACGGGGGACAGGAGGCCGACGGCTTGTGAAACGACCCCCTAGTTGTTCCCGGAGGCTATTTTACCAGCTGGATTTTGAACTGAAGTATTTTCTTTGCATTAACAGCTTCAGTGAGTAGCAATTCTATGAGTGTATCTAAACCTGTAAAGTAGAATATCTGTGTGTGTGTGTTTGAGGTAGAAGACCAAACGCTAGTAGTTAACATCATGCAGCTTTCTATGGTGATTTGTTATTATATGAGTGTCACATAATGGTCTGGGTTGACCCCCATGACCCGCTGTAAAGAGGGTTGGCTCCAATTGCGACAACCAAGGACGCCTTTGAAGTCTAAAATGGGGGTTTGGTTTTCCATAGAGTATTTGACAAGCGCGATCTCCCGCTCTACATCACTGAATGCCCAGTTATTAGACCTTTCAGACCAGTTGGCATGAGGTACCTGGAGCTCTGCAATTACTTTATTCACTCTCGAATTCTTGAAGATATCCTCACAGTGTACCCAAAATTTGCCAGTGCAAGCTACTAAACATATGGCCCTGTATGACTAACAATCCTGCGAGATGGGGACTTTTATTACCACTGCTGCCTTATTCAATCTTGTGTTGATGATATCCTCAAAATGCATCCGGAGTCTGCCAGTGCAGACTGCCCATCACATGCCTCTGTATGACTAACCATCCTGTGTGATGGGGATTTATTAGCATCACCCAGTTAGCTTTTTTGACACACTGCACTCCACTTCATATAGTCTAGGGTAGCTGCACTAATGCAGATGTACCTCATGTATTAAACAAAAATTAACATTATGTAGAATAGTCTAGCAATGCTAAATATTTTAGACTATTCTACATAATGTTTGTTAGATTTCTAGTTGAATATCATGCCTTATCCTTAATTAACTTCACCGCCTCTGTTTTGAACAAACTAGAAGTAATATAGACTGAAGCCATGAGGATGAATCTTGGTGCCCCAAGATGCACAAGAATCATCAATATGCGGGAAGAACTGAAGCTTCCAACCGTACTAGAGAGAATCAAGTCAACACGACCTTTTGCCTTAAAGTCATGAGAGATCCTACATCTCCTGTATTGCTCAGAGACAAATTATTCTGTGCTGTTAACACCCTATTGTGTGGTGCCGACATACCGACTCACTCCTTGTATAATAAATGGCTAAGTAAACATGCCTACAATCTCATCCAGCTGAACATTCCTTTAAAATGCAATCAACCTGTTACATTCCTCTATATCATTCAAGTATCTCACACACCCATCACCCAAGGAAGGTAATGAGAATCTTGCTCTTCTCAAAGCTGTCAAACACTACATCACCCACTACAAACACTACATCACCCACTACAAACACTACATCACCCACTACAAACACTACATCACCCACTACAAACACTACATGTCCCACACTACATCACCGAATGCCCAGTTATTTAGACCCCCCACCATGAACTACCTGGAGCTTTGCAATTACTTTATTAACTCTCGTGTTCTTGAGGATATCCTCATAATGCACGCAAAATTTGTCGATACAACAGACAGACGACAAACCGGCCTCCACTCACACGCATGAGGACACGTTGATTCTAACATTTAAATAGCAATTTTTCGCGGATATTTGTCCAATTCGTGCTGTGTTGCTTCGCGCACACTGCATGCAGTGTTGCATTACAAAGTGCTGAAGACCAGACCACACACTAGAATGTGAAGGGACGACGACGTTTCGGTCCGTCCTGGACCATTCTCAAGTCGATTGTTTCGGTCCAGGACGGACCGAAACGTCGTCGTCCCTTCACATTCTAGTGTGTGGTCTGGTCATCATACTTTAACCACGTTATTGTGACTCATCACCTGCGTTACAGTGCTGCTTAGCGCGTCTTGCAAAAGTGATGTATTCTTGAGTATTTTAAAAAAATGTGGCTTCTTGCGTACTGCAGTGTTGCTTCGTGCAATTTGCAAGATGACACTTACGAGGCCTTGACTCGAGGCGTGACTTAAGAAGAACGGCAAGCCAGGATCGTGTTTGGGGGGGCGGGGGGGGGGGGAGCGGCCGGGAGCGCCCAAGGCCGCAACACACTGGGAAAACAATGGTATACACAATATAAACCAACCCAGGGACAAAGAAGGTATACCAGGGACAAGGAAGGTAAACCAGGGACGATGAACGTAAACCAGGGACGAGGAACGTAAACCAGGGACGAGGAACGTAAACCAGAGACAAGGAACGTAAATCAGAGACGAGGAACGTAAACCAGGGACGAGGAACGTAAACCAGGGACAAAGAACGTAAACCAGGGACGAGGAACGTAAACCAGGGACAAAGAACGTAAATCAGGGACGAGGAACGTAAACCAGAGACAAAGAACGTAAACCAGGGACAAGGAACATAAACCATAGACGAGGAACGTAAACCAGGGACACAACGTAAACCAGGGACAAGGAACGTAAACCAGGAACGAGGAACGTAAACCAGTGAATAAACAACGTAAACCAGACGAGTCTACTTTGTTTACTAAGGCTACACATCTCAATCAATGAGTCAAAATAAGAGTAGTCGACGCGCGTGAGTATACTCACTCTACGCTGACCTTGGATACTCGCCCAAGTATACCCCTGTCGAGCTACGCAACAAAATATATATATATTCATATTCTCGAGCCTCGGGAATACGCCAAGGACCCCCTGGACGCAACCCGTGCGTCACGCAATAATTTACGCACGGATCTAAACCTGATTACCTCGTACAATACGCCATCTGGTTGCTGGACTGGCCAACCAGGAGGCTGTTGGACGCGGCTGGTCGTACGTACGAGTCACAGTCTGGTTGATCAGGCACCTCCAAAGGATACCTGATCAACCAGGCTGTGATTCATGCCGCACAGATATGAGTGTGAGGGAGATTAGTTTCTCTCTCACCTGCTTAGATAACCTGAATATCAACCTACAGGTGTGCAGATCACCTGAATATCAACCTACAGGTGTGCAGATCACCTGAATATCAACCTACAGGTGTGCAGATCACCTGAATATCAACCTACAGGTGTGCAGATTACCTGAATATCAACCTACAGGTGTGCAGATCACCTGAATATCAACCTACAGGTGTGCAGATCACCTGAATATCAACCTACAGGTGTGCAGATCACCTGAATAACAACCTACAGGTGTGCAGATCACCTGAATAACAACCTACAGGTGTGCAGATCACCTGAATATCAACCTACAGGTGTGCAGATCACCTGAATATCAACCTACAGGTGTGCAGATCACCTGAATCTCAACCTACAGGTGTGCAGATCACCTGAATATCAACCTACAGGTGTGCAGATCACCTGAATATCAACCTACAGGTGTGCAGATCACCTGAATATCAACCTACAGGTGTGCAGATCACGTGTGTCTCAAACCACACGTGTGGTTTGAGACATATCTGTACGTCTTAGAGACACATGCATCCGTCAGCAAGTTCCTTCATCCAGCCCGTCCTCCTTAGGTTCCCCAACGTCGAAAAACTGTCGTGCTAAAGTGCCCTTATCTCTAACCTGCCAGAGGACCCAAAACCGAAAACGGAGCGGTACGTCAATTTCGCGAGCCGCTGCCATTTTCTCGTACGACCTTTTTTTTGGCCTGAGGTAGTAGAGTATACGTCAAAAATCCGACGTTCTATTAGTAGGACGGGTTGCTTCATCAGTAGAGCGGACATTCAGAGTCGCAGCAGATGTTATCGCGTGTTACTAAATTAGACGTTATGGCTAAGTGTTACAATCCATTCAGGGTTATCTTGAGAGGTTATCTTGAGATGATTTCGGGGCTTTTTAGTGTCCCCGCGGCCCGGTCCTCGACCAGGCCTCCACCCCCAGGAAGCAGCCCGTGACAGCTGACTAACACCCAAGTACCTATTTTACTGCTAGGTAACAGGGGCATAGGGTGAAAGAAACTCTGCCCATTGTTTCTCGCCGGCGCCCGGGATCGAACCCGGGACCACAGGATCACAAGTCCAGTGTGCTGTCCGCTCGGCCGACCGGCTCCCGTGGCTGGCTGGCTAATCTGCGTATCTTCCAGACCCAGCAATTAAAATAAAGATATCGCAATCGCTAATTTGTAAATGCTGAAATCTATACGAGCTCGCGAAAATAGTATATGCAACGCATTTCAAAGAAAACGTTTGCAAAAAGGCTAAAAAAAAAAAAAGTTTCAATCTATATAATGCCTTTTTTTTCCATAGAATTAATGCCGGAAAAAAAGACCAGATTGACAAAAAAATATTAAGAGCATTCTGACCTTAAGAGTTTGCTACAAGGAACCAAAGGTTTTTTGTGTGGCAAAGAGCCAATGACCAAGAAGTGGGCGGAGCCAGAGGGCGAGCGGAACTATGGAACCCGGGTATATAAGGAGCTGCGCCTTGTCCCTCCTACACACACTCAACAAGAAGCCGTCAACGCTAACTCTCCTCCTTCAACATGAAGTTTGTGAGTTCAAACTTTTTATCTTTTAGGATTCTTCCTTTTGTGTAAAGGGATATAGGTACACTGAGAGGTGCTCCACAGCTGCTCAAGTACACTGAGAGGTGTTCCACATCTGCTCAAGTGTGTGTACACTGAGAGGTGTTCCACAACTGCTCAAGTGTGTGTACACTGAGAGGTGTTCCACAACTGCTCAAGTGTGTGTACACTGAGAGGTGTTCCACAACTGCTTAAGTGTGTGTACACTGAGAGGTGTTCCACAACTGCTCAAGTGTATGTACACTGAGAGGTGTTCCACAACTGCTCAAGTGTGTGTACACTGAGAGGTGTTCCACAACTGCTCAAGTGTGTGTACACTGAGAGGTGTTCCACAACTGCTCAAGTGTGTGTACACTGAGAGGTGTTCCACAACTGCTCAAGTGTGTGTACACTGAGAGGTGTTCCACAACTGCTCAAGTGTGTGTACACTGAGAGGTGTTCCACAACTGCTCAAGTGTATGTACACTGAGAGGTGTTCCACAACTGCTCAAGTGTGTGTACACTGAGAGGTGTTCCACAACTGCTCAAGTGTGTGTACACTGAGAGGTGTTCCACAACTGCTTAAGTGTGTGTACACTGAGAGGTGTTCCACAACTGCTCAAGTGTATGTACACTGAGAGGTGTTCCACAACTGCTCAAGTGTGTGTACACTGAGAGGTGTTCCACAACTGCTCAAGTGTGTGTACACTGAGAGGTGTTCCACAACTGCTCAAGTGTGTGTACACTGAGAGGTGTTCCACAACTGCTTAAGTGTGTGTACACTGAGAGGTGTTCCACAACTGCTCAAGTGTATGTACACTGAGAGGTGTTCCACAACTGCTCAAGTGTGTGTACACTGAGAGGTGTTCCACAACTGCTCAAGTGTGTGTACACTGAGAGGTGTTCCACAACTGCTCAAGTGTGTGTACACTGAGAGGTGTTCCACAACTGCTCAAGTGTGTGTACACTGAGAGGTGTTCCACAACTGCTCAAGTGTGTGTACACTGAGAGGTGTTCCACAACTGCTCAAGTGTGTGTACACTGAGAGGTGTTCCACAACTGCTCAAGTGTGTGTACACTGAGAGGTGTTCCACAACTGCTTAAGTGTGTGTACACTGAGAGGTGTTCCACAACTGCTCAAGTGTATGTACACTGAGAGGTGTTCCACAACTGCTCAAGTGTGTGTACACTGAGAGGTGTTCCACAACTGCTCAAGTGTGTGTACACTGAGAGGTGTTCCACAACTGCTCAAGTGTGTGTACACTGAGAGGTGTTCCACAACTGCTCAAGTGTGTGTACACTGAGAGGTGTTCCACAACTGCTCAAGTGTATGTACACTGAGAGGTGTTCCACAACTGCTCAAGTGTGTGTACACTGAGAGGTGTTCCACAACTGCTCAAGTGTGTGTACACTGAGAGGTGTTCCACAACTGCTCAGTGTAGGTGAACAGAGGTATCAGATGAGATGAAACGTCACCCAAACTCTTCTATTTTACTTAGGGACTGAACCCGGAACCTTTCGAGTGTGACTAACTGCGCCGACCACTACGCCACAGGACCCCCATGGTACCCAATCACTTGGATTAGTCTGTATATACAGCGACAGCCGCGCTTCTTGCAAATTGGCTGTTCGATTCCCAGAGGTCCAGTGGTTGAGCACCGTTCCTCTCCTCCGTCCAGTCCCTGATCCTTGCCAAGGGCGATAGTCACAATGGGTCAGTGCTCCCTCCACATAATTATCTTATCGATTCCGAAAAATATATATGTTTTTACGGTATTGGTGCAGAGAGAGTTCGCTCCTGAAGTTCTCCTCTCTGGCCTTGAGATAAGACAGCGTTGGTTAAGCACCAAACTGTCCTTCAGGCTGTCGTGGCCAAACCTGTTCCAAGAGTGTTTTTGTAATAGATGCACAGAGGATCCGCTTCACCTAGAAGTGCGCTGCCACTTATGTTGTGCTGGCTCTTAAGATTGTACTACTTTGTGTGGCTCGCAAGATTAGCTTTCAAGACGATGCCATTGTGATCCATCGCCAGGTCACAATGGCATCGCCGTTGTGTGAGGTGTGTGTGTGTATATATATTATATATTATATATTATATATATATATATATATATATATATATATATATATATATATATATATATATTATATATATATATATATATATATATATATATATATATATATATATTATACATCGATATATATCAATGTATATATATATCGTCCAGCACACACACACTACAGTATTAGCTGGTGAGTACTCTCAGGCAATCTGGTTTAAAAATTTCTTATAAATCCGTAAATAGTGTCTGGGACGGTATATATATGAGGGGCAAAAAGCAATACTCCACATTACAAGTTGCCACAATTTCATGACATTGTAGTCATAATCTAAACCTCTACTTTCACTGGCTTAAAACTCCGCGGAGGACTTCCAAGGAGCGTCTTAGAAGGGCCTACAAGGAATATTCTTAGAACTAAGAATGAGGCACGGTCTTACAGGATCAGTTAAGAATGATGACAGGGCTTAAACCCGCTAATTTCCTGCATTTAATCAAAATCATGTTACAAAATATTATACTTAAAACACGCGCAAATAATTGATTTCTTCAATGTTTCAGTTGTGCCTTGTGGTGGTGGTGGCCCTGGCCGCCCTGATGGGGTCAGCCCGAGCTATGCCTGAACCCTACGCCCTGGCTGACCCTGACCCCGCGGCTGACCCACAATTTGGATTTGGTGGATTTGGGCGCGGCTTTGGAGGCGGCTTTGGTGGGCGCGGCTTTGGAGGCGGCTTTGGACACCGCGGCTTTGGAGGCGGCTTTGGACACCGCGGCTTTGGACACCGCGGCTTTGGAGGCGGCTTTGGTCATCGCGGCGGTTTCTTCGGCTAACCTTCAACTGTACACCACCCTCGACCTTCTCGCTAGCAATGGATCCTGACAGAAAAACGTATAACATCAAACCAATTTACGAATCCACGTTAGAATCCATCTGAATCCACCAAGCTAACAACCTAATACAAAAATCTACGACAATTCCGAGCCTCCAGCGCGGCAAGAGATCGCACTGGAGGGATTCTGGACAACCTTTACTGGCCCTATCATCCAGCTCTCAACCTCAGCCTCCACTACACTAGAGGAATCTTGAATCTCAAGATCAATAAACTTCTGATATCTAGGTATTGTCCAACTGATTCTTCAGACATTACTGTTACAAAAAAATGCTTGGGGAAAATAAATGTATTTTTTCATATGTTGTTCTTTTATTCCATGTTCTATTGAAATATGCAGTTGTTTTATTCAGTGACAACATATGACTCCTTCAAATACAATTAAAATCTATATTAACATAATGTGTTAATTATTTATGTTAATTTATTAAGTTAACATAAATAATTAACATGTTGGCCAGGAAAAATTTAAAGAATTGTCCTTCAAATGGCTACTAGAATTCAACTCAAACATGTGCAAAGTAATGAAGCAGAGTGCTGGGAACAGGAGTCTGGACACAAAGTGCCACATGGGGGATAGAAACGCTCGTGAAATGGTACAGAGAGAAAGAAAAAAATAGAGTTGGTGGTTGATATTACAGGGAACCTGTTACCAGAAGCCCCACATAAACTGAATATCATCAGCTGCATATGAAAGGTTGGCTAATCAGAACTGCGTTTAGGAATAGGGAAAAATGAATCGTTCGTGACCTTGTATACCATTCATAGTCTAATTGAGGAATATATAAAGCAACAGCGTGGAATCATTATAACTTTAATCGCAAAACGAAGCTAAAGAATGTTGACCAGACCACACACTAGAAAGAGACGGCACGACGACGTCTCGTCTAACGTCGAAGCTAAAGAATGTCTGGAGGTATCCCAACTGGTCAAGTTCCGGAGCCGAGAGGTATGAGTTACGAGGTAAGGCTAAATAATAAGGCAGCCATGATCCCCACATACAAAATACTCAGGAGACTAAGACAGGGTAAACATGAACAGATTATTTAGCATGGGTAATCCTCGACCAAGAAAACACACAGATGAGAACTATGTATATAAATGGGCGACGGAAATAATTAGAAATGATGATTTCATGTTAGGATAGGGAACAAATAGTTTAAACTGAGAGCTGAAGTAATGGAATTAAACTCCATTCACAGCTATAAATGTAGATTTGACAGAACCCAATTTATTCTGGAATCTATATAAACACCAATCGATTAAGGACCGAGAGGCGGGACCCAGGAGCCATACACAACTAAACGAGTACCTAACAGCCCACACGAATAGGCTCACTTAAGTACAGCTTAACCTAATTTAGGCAATAAAACAGGGAATGAAAACAAATAACCATTCATTAACTAGTAAACAAAGATGCTAAATACTTTTTTCTGTCGTTAAACAGCTGACTCGGGTGAAACAAAGTCTCGACCCTATTATACGAACTCTTAGTTCAACCTTGAAGACGGCCGGAGGTCTGGACAAATGGTCTGCCTGGTAACCGCCGGAATACGTGACACGAGACCATTGAGTCTCGATATTGCCGCCAGACCCGGACCGTTTCGTTGGTCCCGGTCCAACCAGGCTCTTCGACGGCCCGGACAGATTCGTCGTCTGCCGCACATAACACCTGGAGTCACACACGGGAGTTAGATTTTTTCCCAGTTTTCCGGTTAGATCTTCGGCCGAGGAGACGGTGGCTTGGCCCAGAGGTCACTGAATGTCGGCAGTCTTCTAGCAGGTTCTCTGTGTGGGGTAGAAGGCCCTCTGCTCGCCTGCCCTTGGAACTTCACGGATCTGCAAGCATCTGCCTCACAGCGTGTTCATCTGCCGTGAGGCACGGTAGTCGCCGGCCGACAAGGAACGATTAGGCGCAAAGCTGAATTTGTCTTTCTCCGTGACGAGGTCGCCACTAAATAAACAACAGCTAACCTTATATACACTAACAACCTCTTGAAGATATTAAGGCCCATCAACCGCAGGAGAGTTATTAAAGCCAATCAACCACAGGAGGGTTATTAAAACTAATCAACCACAGGAGGGTTATTAAAGCCAATCAACCACAGGAGGGTTATTAAAGCCAATCAACCACAGGAGGGTTATTAAAACTAATCAACCGCAGGAAGGTTATTCAAACTAATCAACCACAGGAGGGTTATTAAAGCCAATCAACCACGGGAGGGTTATTAAAACTAATCAACCGCAGGAGGGTTATTAAAGCCAATCAACCACAGGAAGGTTATTCAAACTAATCAACCACAGGAGGGTTATTAAAGCCAATCAACCACAGGAGGGTTATTAAAACTAATCAACCGCAGGAGGGTTATTAAAACCAATCAACCGCAGGAGGGTTAAAACCAATCAACCGCAGGAAGGTTATTAAAACCAATCAACCGCAGGAGGGTTATTAAAACCAATCAACCGCAGGAGGGTTATTAAAACCAATCAACCGCAGGAGGATTATTAAAACTAATCAACCGCAGGAGGGTTATTAAAACCAATCAACCGCAGGAGGGTTATTAAAACCAATCAACCGCAGGAGGGTAATTAAAACCAATCAACCGCAGGAGGGTTATTAAAACCAATCAACCGCAGGAGGGTTATTAAAACCAATCGACCGCAGGAGGGTTATTAAAACCAATCAACCGCAGGAGGATTATTAAAGCCAATCAACCGCTCGAAGGTTATTAATAACCCCTCTATGAGGGCTGATAGATCTTAAAGCCCAACACCAAACCAATTTACACCACGGAGCCAAAAGGGCAGCGCATGGAACCAAGAAATAATTACAAATGAAGGTTGCACTGGTTGCATTCAGGCAGTTACCTGGTCTTGGTTGTTCTACCAACGACTTTATTGAGCAGTGTAACTACCGGGTACAAACTACTGTGTCCCCCCCTTCTTTCTTTCTTTCTTTCTTTCTTTCTTTCTTTCTTTCTTTCTTTCTTTCTTTCTTTCTTTCTTTCTTCCTTCCTTCCTTCATTACTTACTCTCGTTTTCCCTCCCCTTTTTTATTTTACTGTGACGTAACTCACTGATGTCTACCTGTGGTGTCCAGTCGTAATCTACCTTGTGGTGTCCACATGTAATCTACCTCTGGTGTCCGCTTGTAATCTACCTCTGGTGTCCACTTGTAATCTACCTTGTGGTGTCCACTTGTAATCTACCTTGTGTCCACTTGTAATCTACCTTGTGGTGTCCAGTCGTAATCTACCTGTGGTGTCCACTTGTAATCTACCTTGTGGTGTCCAGTCGTAATCTACCTGTGGTGTCCACTTGTAATCTACCTTGTGGTGTCCAGTCGTAATCTACCTGCGGTGTCCACTTGGCAAAAAAAAAAAGAATTAGCTGGACAGCATTAGCTGAAAAAAAGGTAGAATTAATTGGCAAAATAAGCATAGTTAGCAGACATGACGTGTTCCTCTGGAAGCCTATAAGAGCTTTATTTCCTCCCGAAGGACAGCTGCTGTGTCCAGATTTTGTTTGGCTGGGTACAGGATGACGCGTCAAAATGGCCTCTTGTGAGGGAGTTGGAGGGAGGAGCCAATAGAGTCGCCAGCTCTGACAAGCGTGTATATAAGGAGAGTTTCGCCTCCTCCAGACAGACAGGACAGTCAGCTAAGGCGTGAGCATTATATCCCTCCGTCATGAGATTTGTGAGTACAACTTACAGCAATGTGTGTCTCTTTTTGCTGTTGTGTTTCTAGGTGCTGAGTACAGCTCACAGCATTGTGTCTCTTGCTGCCGTGTTCCTTGGTGCTAAGTACAGCTAACAGCATTGTCTCATTTTGCTGCTGTGTTACTAGGGGTTGAGTACAGCTAAGAGCAATGGATGTCTCTTGCTGCCGTGTTCCTAGGTGCTGAGTACAGCTAACAGCATTGTCTCTTTTGCTGCCGTGTTCCTAGGTGCTGAGTACAGCTAACAGCATTGTCTCTTTTGCTGCTGTGTTTCTAGGGGATGAGTACAGCTAACAGCATTGTCTCATTTTGCTGCTGTGTTTCTAGGGGTTGAGTACAGCTAACAGCATTGTCTCATTTTGCTGCTGTGTTTCTAGGGGTTGAGTACAGCTAACAGCATTGTCTCATTTTGCTGCTGTGTTTCTAGGGGTTGAGTACAGCTAAGAGCATTGTGTCTTCTTACGGTCCTTAAACACAGTCGGGGGCACGAAATAGAAGGAACGTAAAGTGAAATGCCAATCAAGAGTTGTTAGTACGGCACAACATCGCCGCCATTCCTTGTCTATGTCATTTGTGTACATTAACGCATGCATTAGCATAATCTTAACGAGATGGAAATAATGTTGTTGCAGTTGTCGCTGATGGTGGTGGTGATGGTGGTGGTCCTGGCCGCCCTGATGGGGTCAGCCCGAGCTATGCCTGACCCCTACGCCCTGGCTTACCCTGACCCCGCGGCTGACCCACAGTTTGGACGATTTGGCGGTCGAGGCTTTGGCGGTCGAGGCTTTGGCGGTCGAGGCTTTGGCGGTCGAGGCTTTGGTGGCGGATTTCGCCGTGGTTTCCGCGGATAATCTTACAAACGCGAAGAATAAAAAAAAACGAACAAAAAAAAGGGGGTATAGGATATAAATAAAAAGCAGCCAATCAAACATGCCGACGAGGCTGCCTAAATAAATGATTTTTCCAAACATTTTCATGAATACGTGAATAACAAACTTTATCGATAGTGTGATGCCAAATAAATGATAATAAATTATATGTACTTCCATCACTATTGTTGTTTGGTAACAAATTGGTTAGAAATTCGTAAATTCCCGCAGAATTCTTCGAAAATAAATAAATATATTTATCAATTGTATTTTTCTTTGCCTTATGATGTAAAAAAAATTATATGTGAACAGACGATAAGTAATATAAATCCAATCAAAATGGCCAAAATGACACGTATAACCTGTCATATGAAATATTTGGTCATATTATATATAACCAAATATATTATATACAGGTTATAATATATATATTGCTTGGCGGGCTGCAGACCTATACATATCTATTCCAACTTGGCTAGTCCTGCAGTAAGCTGGCCGGCCTCTCACAGGGTTCAGGTGAGTACTCGATAAACACCTCTAACGAATAGCTGATCAATCAGAAGTGATTCATACGTCAGGTTGCGAGCAGCTGCGTCCAACAGCCTGGTTGACCAGACGACCACCCGCGGGAGGCAGGGTCGGAGAAAGGGCCGCGGGGCCACTGATCCCCGGAACCTTCACAAGGTACGTAGCACGTCAGAAAATCGCGAACGCCTTCCACACTCTGGGTTTACAAAAAGTCTGAAAAATTTGCTATGGAAACAGAAACAAACCGGAACGTACCTTAAGATTGGCGAGTTCCTCTGCTCGACGAGACGCAATTCCTTACCTGAAATGGTATGAAATGAAAGTGAATTAATCATATGTTCTTTATGCATGTAAATCCTCACTCACCAAAGACCTGATCATATTTTAATCCATATATGTAAGCAGCTCAGTTGAAGGGGACACTTGAAGATCGTGGAGTTGTTTACCTTGGGAGGACGAGGGCGCTGGGGTACGTCGTTTAGTGAGGTCACCAATGCCTACGACATTAGCCACGTACAAAAGAACACTTGTGTAAGGGCTAAAGAATAAGTAATTATCAAAAGAAGGCACCAAGCCTGGAGGGCTGTGTAGCTCCACACTTTTAGGTCCTTATTAAAGAAGGAAGGAACAATTAAAGCCGATCGTCGTCGCCCCTAAATCAACACAACAACAACAATTAAAGCACCAGCGCATGTCAACAAACAAGCTGTGACGCGCTAATTGTTCAACATTGGAGCGGTTGGTCTCAGGCCCAATCAACCACCGAAGTTATTAACAACACTTCAACAACTATATATCCAGTCCTTATAACTCACTGTAACTGAACACTTGCTTCTCTTATCCGGGAGAAGAGGAGAAATTATTTAGTTACACTTGACGTATTTTCGTCCCACTCAACACTACGCAGCGTTCACTAACAAATGCTAGAATCATAATGACCTGATCAACGGAGATAAATGTTTCGAATAGTCTTCCTCTCAACCCGTCCTCAGACGAGGTTACTTCGAGCTTTGATCGACCACAAAGATCCATTCATCAATTTTTAAAATACCGTGTATTCCAAATCAGTATTTTCTCGTATATATATTACTATTATTATAGTTTACAATTGGGTATTTAGTTAGGCATACATTAGAGGAAGTGTTCAGGATCTGTTGTACGTGGGTGAAGCATTTATCCAGAGTTGCTACTCAGACAGAGGACATGAGCAAACCACTGTTCAAGAAATGTTGGAACGTCAACGTCATCAGTTTTACCATCTAAATTGTAAAGTGTGAGGAGACCCCAGATCACTTAAGTCTTTCCAGTGTATTACAACGTTTCATCAACAGCGTGACGTCTTCAGGAACATACACCCGGTATGAAGAACACGAGAATACGAAAATTACACGTAACCCGCCAAACACACAGCGAAACTACGATGTTGCTACAACGTTCGAAAAAGTTTTAACACCTCCTAACCAGTTATAACAACCAATATAGCAAGTTGTAACAACGTTCTAATACGTCATAAACACGTTAAGCCAAGATGTAACAACTTTATTACAAGTTGTAACAAGCGGAAAATAGTGACAGTTACGGTTTGTGTTTCCAGGGAAGAGTTAAAGAAGACCTTTCACTGATTCACAGGGCCAAACACAACCTTAGAGATTACCCAAGAGTCAGTCAGGTCCGTCAGTACTTTGTAAGGGGAATACTGCCCATCACCATTAAACCACCACACATAAGTGTTAATGTATAAATCTCCTCTTAGGACAGATTAATACGTTTTGTGCCCTCTGTAATACCTGTTACGTTTCCGCTCGCTGGGCGAGTATAGGGTGCTCAATAAACTACCCACATCCGGCGGCAGCAATACAAAAAACACGAGTGTGTATATAAGGAGCAGCAGCACAGTGCGAAAGCACAGTCAACAAGACGCCGTGTTCGTCACTTACACCTCTTTCAATATGAAATTTGTGAGTACCCACATTACAAGCGTTGACTCCTGGTTCAACTTAGACGAGCAGCGGTCGTCTGGACTCCTGTTCTACCTGGGGCAGGAGAGGAGCTGGAACACGTGACGTCGTAAACCAAACATTGATCTATATAATATAACATTTGTTCGCATTCGTGTTCCTCACGTGTGCCCCAAAGAATGAGGTGATTTGATAAAATACTACGCCAAGATTGCCATCAGAGTGCCGGCGGGATGATGGGGAATTAGCCTCGGCTACCATCATCTTTTGTCCGGTCGTGTTGGTCGAGTGGTTAAGGTGTCCTGTACACCAGTTGCAGAGTGCTCCTGGCAGTATGGGTTCGAGTCACTTCTGGGGTGTGAGTTTTCAGTTGCATATATGCCTAGGGACCATTCAGGCTTGTTTGCATGTATATATATGTATATATATATATATATATATATATATATATATATATATATATATATATATATATATATATATATATATATATATTATATATATATGTCGTACCTAGTAGCCAGAACTCACTTCTCAGCCTACTATTCAAGGCCCGATTTGCCTAATAAGCCAAGTTTTCCTGAATTAATATATTTACTATAATTTTTTTCTTATGAAATGATAAAGCAACCCTTTTCTCTATGTATGAGGTCAATTTTTTTTATTGGAGTTAAAATTAACGTAGATATATGACCGAACCTAACCAACCCTACCTAACCTAACCTAACCTATATTTATAGGTAAGGTTAGGTTAGGTAGCCAAAAAAAGCTAGGTTAGGTTAGGTTAGGTAGGTTAGGTAGACGAAAAAACATTAATTCATGAAAACTTGGCTTATTAGGCAAATCGGGCCTTAAATAATAGGCTGAGAAGTGCGTTCTGGCTATTAGGTACGACATATATATATATATATATATATATATATATATATATATATATATATATATATATATATATATATATATATATATATATATATATATATATAAGAGCTTTGTGAAAAACATATGTACGACTTGACAGTAGAATGCGAGTATAACCACAAGGAATTAATAGCACATTCTCATCATTTCAGTTGTCGCTGGTGTTGGTGGTGGTGACCCTGGCCGCCCTGATGGGGGTCAGCCCGAGCTATGCCTGACCCCTACGCCCTGGCTGGCCCTGACCCCGCGGCTGACCCACAGTTTGGATTTGGTGGAGGCTTTGGTCGTCGTGGGTTTGGACGACGCGGGTTTCGTCGTCGCGGGTTCGGTCGACGCGGGTTCGGTCGACGCGGGTTCGGTCGACGTAGAGGCTTCTTTGGCTAATCTTCAGCTGTATACTTCACCAGCCATCGACTCCTCGCTAGCAATGGATCCTGACAGTAAAACGAATGACCCAAATAATTGTAATTTAAATACACGTAAACCGCGCCTAATGCCGAACATGACAAAATTGTCAACGTTCAGCCGTAAGACTATACTGGAGGGGTCCTGGATAAACTGTATTGGAGGGATCCTGGATAAACTATACTGGAGGGATCCTGGATAAACTATACTGGAGGGACCCTGGATAAACTATACTGGAGGATCCTGGATAAACTATACTGGAGGGACCCTGGACAATCTATACTGGAGGGATCCTGGATAAACTATACTGGAGGGATCCTGGATAAACTATACTGGAGGGGTCCTGGATAAACTGTATTGGAGGGATCCTGGATAAACTATACTGGAGGGATCCTGGATAAACTATACTGGAGGGATCCTGGATAAACTATACTGGAGGGATCCTGGATAAACTATACTGGAGGGATCCTGGATAAACTATACTGGAGGGATCCTGGATAAACTATACTGGAGGGATCCTGGATAAACTGCACTGGAGGGATCCTGGATAAACTATACTGGAGGGATCCAGGATAAACTGTACTGGAGGGATCCTGGATAAACTGTACTGGAGCGATCCTGGATAAACTGTACTGGAGGGATCCTGGATAAACTATACTGGAGGGATCCTGGATAAACTATACTGGAGGGATCCAGGATAAACTGTACTGGAGGGATCCTGGATAAATTATACTGGAGGGATCCTGGATAAACTATACTGGAGGGATCCTGGATAAACTATACTGGAGGGATCCAGGATAAACTGTACTGGAGGGATCCTGGATAAACTGTACTGGAGCGATCCTGGATAAACTGTACTGGAGGGATCCTGGATAAACTATACTGGAGCTAACCCAACGCCTTCATCACCAGCCTCCACCACACTAGAAGAATCATGAAGCTACAATCAACTTGTTGGCAGGGACCATCTGATTGTTTTAATCAGATGGTCTACAGTTTAACAACTGTTACCATCAGTTAACAATTTAACAACTGTTAATAGAATGCTTAGAATAATAAAATATATTTTCTTATAATAGACCTTTTCTTTTTAACTTAAAACAAATTTACATGGGTTAAGGTGACAATACAAAGCTAACATCTCAACCCATGTTGAAACCTAAACCCCTGTTAATACCTCAACCCATGTTGACACCTAAACCCCTGTTAATACCTCAACCCATGTTGACACCTAAACCCCTGTTAATACATCAACCCATGTTGACACCTAAACCCCTGTTAATACCTCAACCCATGTTGACACCTAAACCCCTGTTAATACCTCAACCCATGTTGACACCTAAACCCCTGTTAATACATCAACCCATGTTGACACCTAAACCCCTGTTAATACCTCAACCCATGTTGACACCTAAACCCCTGTTAATACCTCAACCCATGTTGACACCTAAACCCCTGTTAATACATCAACCCATGTTGACACCTAAACCCCTGTTAATACCTCAACCCATGTTGACACCTAAACCCCTGTTAATACCTCAACCCATGTTGACACCTATACCCCTGTTAATACCTCAACCCATGTTGACACCTAAACCCCTGTTAATACCTCAACCCATGTTGACACCTAAACCCCTGTTAATACCTCAACCCATGTTGACACCTCAGTCCCTGATTAAACTACCTATGATGTATATTGTTGTATATGATATAGAGAGGCATACGGTAGGCTTTTTACAGATTATGTAAATATAAGTCATAACAATATCAACTACTAACTCCTTCAGATACCAAAATATCTTATATTTAAATGCTGTATAGTAATTCATATATATACATCTATATATATATATTTATATATATATATATATATATATATATATATATATATATATATATATATATATATATATATATATATATATATATATATATATATATATATATATATATATATATATATATATATATATATATATATATATATATATATATACTATATATATATATACTATATATATATACTATATATATATATACTATATATATATATACTATATATATATATACTATATGTATATATATACTATATATATATATATATATATATATATATATATATATAGTATATATATATATATATATATATATATATATATATATATATATATATATAAAGGGGGGTGGTAGAAGCGAACTCTCTTTCGTATTCAGAGTTAAATGGCAAGTTTTTCCCTGAATGCTCTGTGTTCCCTTCTCTGAGGCTGTGGGTCCCTATAATTGCACCAGTGGTGGTACGCCCCTATATATATATATATATATATATATATATATATATATATATATATATATATATATATATATATATATATATATATGCGGAAAATCCACAGAGAAATATGAAATGAGGTGAACGTTTCGGCTTTGTTAAAGCCTTTGTCAACACCAGACTGACTAAGGAGAAGGGAGAAGGGGGGAAGATATATAGGCCGACACCTGACCAACCCATCCCAAGGGTTGGTCAGGTGTAATTAACCAAAAACAGGTATAGCTTAGCTTAGAATGGTCAAAGAGGATAAAGCGGTCACAAGATTAAAGAAAAGCCTCATGAACACACAATATATGAATATACAATTAAAATGAGACATTGTAAGCCCCTCTATCAGAGTTGTTTCTTAAACTGTTGTGGAATCTTAAACTTAAACTTAAACAACTCTGATAGAGGGGCTTACAATGTCTCATTTTAATTGTATATTCATGTATTGTGTGTTCATGAGGCTTTTCTTTAATCTTGTGACCGCTTTATCCTCTTTGACCATTCTAAGCTAAGCTATACCTGTTTTTGGTTAATTACACCTGACCAACCCTTGGGATGGGTTGGTCAGGTGTCGGCCTATATATCTTCCCCCCTTCTCCCTTCTCCTTAGTCAGTCTGGTGTTGACAAAGGCTTTAACAAAGCCGAAACGTTCACCTCATTTCATATTTCTCTGTGGATTTTCCGCATAAAATGATCAGTGTTTTGTGATCGTCAATTGCATATATATATATATATACAGGGTTTTTATATTCATCATTGGTTGAATATGTATATTATACAGTTCATACATCAACATTGGTTGAGGGAACCAATATATAGGTTAAATAAAAAAGTATATATTATAAGAAAATACATTTATTGTTTTAAACATTCTTTTAACGATTGTTCATTTTTGAAACACTCACAAGGACATTCCCAACAACATAAGTTTGACTTCAGGATCAACCTTCCTCTTCGTTGGTGGAGGCTGAGGATGATGGCGTTGGATTCCACGAGCACACTTGGTCCAGGATTCCTCCAGTGCGATCCCTCCAGGCTGAAGAATTGAAAAATGTAATCTTTCTTGGCAATAGACGCGGTCTACGTCTGTTGAATTTTGACGCTACACTCTTGGGTTCATAAGTTTTCCTGTCAGGATCCATGGCGTGAGAGGAGGTCGAGGGTCGTAGAGAATTCAGCGGAAGACTAGCCAAAGAACCCGCCACGACCAAATCCACCTCCAAATCTACGACCAAATCCACGACCAAACCCGCCACGACCAAACCCGCCACGACCAAACCCGCCACGACCAAATCCACCACGACCAAATCCACCACGACCAAATCCAAACTGGGGGTCAGCAGCGGGATCAGGGTCAGCCAATGCGTAGGGGTCAGGCATGGCTCGGGCTGACCCCATCAGGGCGGCCAGGGCCACCACCATCACCAACATCAATGACAACTGTAAAGATGAGAACAAAACAATGACTTCCCTGTGGTTATATTGAATATACCGCCAGTTTCTAAACATGCGTTTCCGACACTGCTCTTGTTACTGATGTAAATATTAATATCTTGTTAAATAGGGTAGGATTATTTTATGAAAGAATAAGTTGGGTTGGTTTAGATTAAGCATGCTATAATACAACAAACGAGCCATTGGTGATGCATTTCATGAAGGAAATAACCTAAATACAAGAACACACTACATACTGTATTTTTTGTGCATAAGGTGATTGCTTATAAGACCTATCCTTAAGTTATTATGCATCAGTTGACACCAATCACTTTACAATGAGAGTAAAGAATCAGCGCCTCTACAGATAATTCTGAGAACAAAATGCATTTAAAATTAGGGTGATGTTGGTTGAAGACTTCACAAATTATTATTGATCAGAAACATATCTAAGAATCAAGGCTTTTTTTTTTTTTTGTTTCCCATTGCTGGGGGAACAATACAAATGTGAGGATTTATCAAGGTCCTTTTCCCGGATGTTCCTGTTTACTAGTAGGCGAACGCACGTGAATGAATCCGTCTCGTGTCTTGCCCGGAGTCGGACCCGGGGCGACAACGCTAACAACTGGGGGAAGTGACGACAGGATCATAACATTGATACTCACAAATTTCATGTTGAAAGAGGTTTGGGTGTCGAGCACTGCGTGTTGTTGACTGTGCAGGCGTGTCGAGTTGCTCGTCCTTATATACCCACTTAGGAGGCTCGTCCTGGCTCCGCCCTCTTCCTGCTCATCCTCCATTACACATCCTTCTTGACTTCTTGTTGTTGTTTTAGATTCAACGACTCGGAGAAAAAAAGTTGCAAGTAGCACGTACTATGGTGAGCCCGTAGTGGACTTCCCTGGCACATGGAGCGGGGTTATACCTGCACTGACTGACAAAACTGATACCTTGACGCTAGCCCTTCAGCATGTCATGAAGTTGATATCTTTTTAGTTATCTTGCATAATCATATGGAAAATGAAATGCCATACAATGTGTTAATATAACGTCAATGACGATTTTTCTTTAAAATACAGTATGTTATGTACGCTGTTATTATGAAATGGTTTGTGTGTTTTTGCTGTACAGAAAGAACAGCTCAGAAAGCTCTACTTCATGTGTGTGTGTGTGTGTGTGTGTGTGTGTGTGTGTGTGTGTGTGTGTGTGTGAGCTAACTACAGCTGACACCGGTGTGCGTATGTATGGCTCTACATACATTACCATGTGTACCTGTGGATGCTCCATGGCCTCGTCTTTCAAATGTGCTTTATATATACATATACTATCCTATACGTTAGTAAATATAGCTGTTAAGTATCATTCTCCATTTCAGTTACTATTACTACTGTTGGATAAAAAAAAACCACACTTGTATATTTGTGAAATTTATGTATGGAATTGACACCAAGTATTTCGCCCTCTCCTGAGTGCTGTATCAAGGTATCAAAGTCTGAATGCAACCCGTCCTCTTAAAAATAACGTCACTTTTGGCTCGTATGCGCACTATGGCCAAATTTGGACGCAATTTGAAATGAAATCGACTCACAAAAGTGACGTACTGTTCCGTTTTCTGTTTGAGTCGTCCGGTCCTGCTCGGACAGCTTAGAAGAGGAACTTTCAATTAACGTTTTTCATAACGTTTTGAAACTTTATGAGAATTTCCTGCCCACCTAACCTATCAGAGGACCCTTAACTTACTGTTGTTGAAAAAAAAAATCCCAAATTTATTTTCAATTTTTTTTTCATTTTCAAATTACGTCCATATTCGGCCATACGGGCAAACGGCCAAAAGCGACGTTCTTTTTAAGAGGACAGGTTGCTGAGTGTGTGATTAGTACGAGACTTACATCTCAACGTCTAATGTATTGTTATTATTTTGTTATCCTGTGTTATTATGTCTGTGAGAAGATAAAATTACTAATTACTACTGTTGTTAATACTGTGACCTGCTGGCATTATTACTACCGTTACTAATGATAACTGGAGTAACTTGGTGTAACTACTGGTAACGTCTACACATATGACCACGAATGAAACATTAACTAAGAAATGACTTGAGCGTTTTCGGATTAATACATCTTTAAAAGTATAATCAATGAAATACAATACTTGAATATACTAGAGGCAGGAAAAAATTGTGACGTGAGGTGGAAAATAATATTAGCTACAGAACACAAAAATAAGAGGAAAAATGAAGAAGGCCTAATGGCCAATACAAGAGAGTTCATGGAAGCCTTTTCCTAATGGGATAGCTGTGACTTAATCATCTTACTAAGTTTTTTTAATTAATGATTTGAAAATGGTTCCAAATTGTACAAGCCATTACTATTATTTGTGCTGTATGCCTTTGCAATTTATATTAAAGTGGATTCAACAGTGTTTCTATTGATAATGTTGTTACTGTGTTGTTATTGAAGAACACCTCTCCCAATAAATTGTTGCGTTATAACTAAATTTGGTGTCAAAATATTCACACGTGAATTCTCTAGAGAATAAATACAATAGAGCTAGATAAAAATGGATAGATATATAGATAGAGAGAAACAGAGTGACAGATATAGATGGAGATTAAGATATATAGAAATAGAGAGAGAGAGAGAGAGAGAGAGAGAGAGAGAGAGAGAGAGAGAGAGAGAGAGAAGGAATACATACATACAGACCCGACCACTGCTGGTTACCCCATTTAGAGTATGTATATATGTATATATATATATATATATATATATATATATATATATATATATATATATATATATATATATATATATATATATATATATTGGTAGCAGTCTTTCCTGTAGACATATATTATTAAATATGACCGAAAAAGTAAGATTAATAATTCTAACACGAATTTTCTCAATATTTCTTATGTTTATTTTCACTGTTGATGGTAATTGAAAAATCAATTCTCCAAAATTCATTTTTATTTTTAGTCTAAATATTTTATTTCTAGACTAGAAAACAAATGAATTTTGGAGAATTGATTTTTCAATTACCATCAACAGTGAAAAGAAACATAAGAAATATTGAGAAAATTCGTGTTAGAATTATTAATCTTACTTTTTCGGTCATATTTAATAATAATATATATATATATATATATATATATATATATATATATATATATATATAAAACAATAATAATAAATTAAAATGGAAGGGTGTACCACCTCTAGCTGGAAGAAGGGGGACCCATAGCCTCGGAGGAAACCACGCATAACGCATTAGAGGGAATGTTTAGATCCCCTCCAATACAGTTTCTGTGTGCTTTTCTCCTACCACCCCCTTCCTTTTTTATTTTTTGTGCTTTATTATGTATTTGATGGTTACAAGATATACATGGGTTGATACAAAAATAATAATATAAAAAGGTGCTTAAAGGTTATGGATCTCTTGAAAAACACGACAATGGGAAACATTGATGAATGTCACAGACGGGTTCGATCATTGTTGCAAGTCAAACACTTCTTCGAATTCCTCTGAAGTTGGACTAGTGCCCAAGACGCAACAGGCATTTCTCCTTTGAATCGCAACACTGAGGCGCTGGAACAAAAATGAGTTTTGGAGAACTCCTATTTCAATTAAGTCCTGATGCTAAGAAAATAGTTAGAGGGATAGAAGCCCTAAACCAGAAAATAATAAATACAGAATATGCGGTCATATTCAATGAAACATATATATATATATATATATATATATATATATATATATATATATATATATATACAGTCTTGAGAGAAAAATTAGTTTATACGATATATAATAAATATTTCTTGACAGATTTTCTTGCAGTTCACACTATAATATGACAGTTCCCGCTCATCACTGCATGACTCAGACCTGTATAGTGACTCGAGGATGTGTAAACTGGAATTTGCTGCGTAGGAAGACAGAGAATGGTGGAGGGGGGGGGGGGGGAAGTCCCCAACCTGGCGATTTGATAAGCATTCATTTTAAAGTGGTTTTGCGTAACCAGAAGCGTATGAACCTAACGTCGTCGATGCTAATTATCCCGACGGAGCGTAAATAATGAGGTGTTATTCATTTCATTAAAGCACGTAGATCTTGACGTGGTTGGCGAAAACGTCAGTATTTCAGGGCATTACGTGTGAGGACAGGTTGAGCGGGTAAACCCCAAGGACAGTATAGGGAAAAACACAAAGAACATATCTTTCCCAGAGTACACACACGGACGTCGGCTTGGAGCAGTAGTGAGCACAACGTTAAGGTGATCACCGATATAGGAGCGAGTATCCCTCTATATGACGAACCTCAGCGCCATCTATGTTCCAGGTTCCGGGTTAAAACACTGAACCCTCCACACACACAAAAATCACAATAGCGTGATATATCATATGAACACATCCACAAGGGCCGTGATGAGGATTCGAACCTACCCACGTGATGTTCCCAGCTGCGTCTTAGGCGCCTAAGGTGCAGCTGGGAATATCCAGTGGAAAGGTTCGAACCCTCATTACAACCCTTATGGATTTGTTCAGTTAACCCTCATATTAATAATGTTGCCCATCTTGTAGTCTGCTGTTCTGTGAGGTGACGAGGTACCGGTGACTGAGGGCAGACAGCAGAGAGTGAAGCAGCACACAGGTTGACCTTGGGACGTCTTTCCTGCAGTGTACTAGCAAGGATTATAGTGGAGCACTGGAAGATAGTGGAGGCACTTCTTAAAGATACAATACCGAGCCCCACATATTCTTAAAGATACAATACCGAGCCCCACCAATTCTTAAAGATACAATACCGAGCCCCACATATTCTTAAAGATACAATACCGAGCCCCACATATTCTTAAAGATACATTACCGAGCCCCACATATTCTTAAAGATACAATACCGAGCCCCACATATTCTTAAAGATACAATACCGAGCCCCACATATTCTTAAAGATACAATACCGAGCCCCACCTATTCTTCAAGATACAATACCGAGCCCCACCTATTCTTCAAGATACAATACCGAGCCCCACCTTGTTAAGCCTCCAATAGGTGGCTTAACAAGTAGAGAATACGTCACGACAATGTGGCTTCCCAAGCACAGAATACGTCTCGAAAACGTGACCCCACAAGCAGAGAAAACGTCACAAGTGACTTAGCTGAAAGCTCATAATCCAACCGACACATGAAAAATGAAAAGAAAGTGACACCGTTTCAGTCTGCCATGGATCCTAATTAAACGTTTCAGTCCACCTTGGACTCTTATTAAACGTTTCTGTCCACCCTGGAGCCTTATTAAACGTTTCTGTCCACCCTGGAGCCTTATTAAACGTTCCAGTCCGCCCTGGCCCCTTATTAAACGTTTCCGTCCGCCCTGGACCCTAATCAAATTGGACATAATATTATTACATTTGTCTTGTACTTTTCCTCGGTCTTCATAATGTGACCTCGGCGAGAAAGACGACGACAAAAGCATATTCGACGGTGTTGGCAGGCACTCTGTTCCGAACAGCGAAGATAGTGTGTCTTCGAACACACGATAGCGAAGAAGACATCTAGATAGTGTGTCCCGAACAGCGAAGGCTATCGGGACGACCAAACACGTAGGCAATCCATCCGACCGACTTCCAATGTTACTTACTCATCTCAATACTCTCAAACACTGAAGGATTTCTGTCAGTTGTTACACCTCTTTGGGCGCTACTGCTTACGAAATTGCTGTTTTTTTTTTTGTTCGCGTATCTTTAAAACGGAAAAAGAAATATTCCCAACAGAAAAAAAATACAATTTCGGTTACAAAATTCACAACAATGAACACAAACTTAACTGGTACAAAGAACTGGGTAACTTGTTTAAGGGTGAACATAACCTGCCAAAAATCCAAATAAAATTGGGACATCTGCTGAAGTCTCCCATACATACCGCTCCCCATTTTTTAATCCAGACGAATGGGAATGCGGAACAAGATAATGAACAATGAGGAAATGAGAAATATATAGTATGAGTTTTGGAAGTAGGATGATGCGAAAGCTGCGTGTGCGTGTGTATTTACTACTTGTGACTGCGAGTTGTTAACTCTTCGACCCCGCCTTTCTAACCGTCGGTTGTCTAATGTACTGAATCCGGACCTATTTTTCCCTTTATCAAAACTACTACATATATTTCTCTCTCTAAAATACACACACATCCCCAGAATGCAGCCCGTATTATTTGTCTACCTCCCAGGAACCTATTTACTGCTATGTGAAGAGGGGCATCAGGTGAAAGAGACTCTGCCCATTTGTTTCTACCTCGACCGGGAATCGAACCTGGGCCCCTTAGGACTAGGACTCGCGAGTCTTCTGCACTTCACCCTCCCTGACTGCATTCTGATTTCTGCCAAGACACAAGCCCTCGTAACCCCTCCAATCACCACCTCCAGCTTCTCGACCACCTGGCTCTCAGGTCTATCACTCTCCCTCCCCCTCCTGCACCACCCCCCCATTCCTTCTCATGCTGCCCCCCAAACTACCCCCTCCCTCCACCAGCCTCACCCCCTCCCTCCACCAGTCTCACCCCCTCCCTCCACCTGCCTCACCTCTAACCCTTTCACTCCATTACTAATGAGTTACTGGAATGAGCTGCCGAATTATGGGGATGTAACATACTGAACCACCTGTTACGATATCTTCCCTATCCCATAGCTCACTCCTCTTTTCAACCTCTCTCCCCCCCTCCTCCTATCTCCCTTCTCTTCTGCCCCATTAACTTGCTTCTGTTCATCCACCCTTCCCTCCCAACCCCACTCTCTTCATCTACTTCTCTCACCTTGTTACATCTTTACTGACCGCCTTACCTCCCCTCCCCGACCAGCACACAAGGTGAGCTTGAAGCCAATGAGGAAGTCTGACAAACGGAAGGTAGAAGGATTGAGAAAGATCAAGACATCAAAAGATGCAGGAAAAGGAGGTGACGCTGTCGTTGCTGGAGTCTGTTCATCTGTGTAGCCATAGAATGTGTTCAACTTTTGATGTCAAGGAAGTATTGGATTTGCTTCATCAGGAGGGAATCATGGTGGGTATGTGGTTTAAATTTTCACACTCAAGTCGGAACTGTAACGCAATAAAATATTGATACAAGGACTGAGCTTTTATATAGTTTAAAAGTCTGGAGGCATTTCCTGAGCAAGTCAGAAAAGTTCAAGGCTTTCAGGCCCCTGAGGAGCAGGCAGTGTCGCGTAAGAATTAAAAATATTCAGTGCGAATATGGAGAACTTCACACCAACTTCCTGTAAAGGTAAATCCAGTTTCTAGCTACGCAAGTATGACTGCATTAAGAGCTTATTTGGTAATTGCAATAATTTTTTCCATACAGAAACATTGGTTAGTGAGGATTTTTTTGTTTAAATGTTAACGGCTGTAGTTACATGTGCGTTATGACCACGGCCACACCTGATAGCTAGTTTGGGCCAGCCAGGCTTGATACAACTTTCTTAATGCATAAGAATATACAATGTGAAGCTCAAACTATTGTTACCATATCTGGTAGATATATATGGTGAGGGAGGCGGTCGGCCGAGCCGATGATGATGATATTATAATATTCATCCAGGGACGCGTGGCTGGGGGAGTCTCAGAACGCTGGTTCGAATCACTGGAGAGCTTCAATGATTTTTACATAACGACATCGCGCCATTGTGATATCCTAGAGTCTAATGTTAATGTTATCATTACTAATATGGTCTCTATTAATACTGTCATTAATAACACTCCTTACACACCACTGGTAAGCACTAGTGACACACCACTGGGGAGCACTCCTATAAATTAAAAATAAGCTGTTTATAACCGGTTTCGAAGGCATACTTTCAACCAAAACCTGTCTTGAATGCGCGCCATTAAGACCCATTGACCTCTAAGACACCATAATTTGCATTGCACTTTCATGAAGCCTCTGTATTTTAAAAATCTTAAGTGTGTAAAAGAGCGTACAAAGCGTCTCTGAAGCCTTGAACGTTCAGAGACGCGGGCATACTTAAAAGTTCAACGCATTTAAATGCATTTTTGTTAATTAAATAGTTACTACGGAAGTTAAGTTCTCGAGTCCGTTTTCAAGTCAAATCGCAAAACTAGCCTCTTCACTAGCCCCTTACAGCCCGTCCTCCAAATAAAGACCCAAAAGTGATTCCGTCCACTCGTCAAACCCCCTGTTTATGAATGAAAAGCGGTTTACACACGACTCACAACTGATTTCATTCGAACACTTCCGGAACAAGTGCTTCACTGACGAATTTTGTTCAAACCACAACGCTGTAAATGCTTCACCCACGCACTACAAATACAAATAATTGCCAATAAAACCTAAACACCTAACCTAACCTATGCCTACATATGTACAATATGCTAATATATTATAATATTCATTTGTATTTGAGATAATTCCCATTTTGAATAAACAGATGTAAAAATTTATGAATGCGTCCGCGGGGTCGACCGCTGGATGTAATGGACTTGAGTTGAGGACGGGTTGCCCCTTAATTTCTACTTCATTCAGCCTTGCCCACACCCCCCCCCCTTTCAGCTCTACTCACTTAATCACTATTCCCTTCGCTATTTTCAGCACTACCCTTTCAGCACTACAACCTTCAGTAATATCTTTCAGCACAACCCTCTCCCTCTCTTCATTCGTTCCTTTGCAACACTATTTTCGCATACATAAACCCATCAGGCGTAATAACCATCCGTTTGATTACACAACAGTTATATCACTATTAGTCTCCACTAAAACTACCTCGACATCCAAACAACAGATCATGTACTTTAAATACAACCATCTGATGAATCTACTAGATACATAAACCAGTTTGGCAACATACAAAATACAAAACTTTCTTGTGGCCAGAGGGTATGCTGCTTAGCACTTTCTCCAGATGAATGCCTTACCGGTTCACCCCTTCCACTGTTAGAACAAGTTTTTCGTACAGCAAGTGTGGAGGAGGCGGCCAAGAATCTGACCCGGGTATATAAGGGTTAGCACGTCGCTCAGTTAAGTCCAGTCAACGGGAAGCTGTCATCGTGAGTGTATACTATTTTTCGTCATGAAAATCGTGAGTACAGCATCCAATTATATCTCTCCTTTTCGTGATTCGTTTAGGAATCCCATTAGCGTCTATGGCTCGTTCGTTTTCATTCAGTGGCTTTAATTTATCCCGTCCTCATCAATAAAAGGCAATTATTCATTCCATGCAGTCGCCAAACCCCCTGTTTATGAATGAAAAACGCTTTACTTGTGCAACCCATCCTCGAATACAAAGATCAAAGCTCGTTAATCCAGCCGCCAAACCCCCTATTTATGAATGAAAAGCGGTTTACACGACTCAAAAACTGATAACATCCCAACACTTCCGGAACAAGTGCTTCGCTCACGTCCTCAGTTCAAACCACAATTCTATAAATGCTTCACCCACGTACTTCAAATATAAATAATCGCCAGCAGAACCTAAACACCTAACCTAACTACGCCTAACTATACATAGAATTTTTATATAATAATAATAATAATATTAAAATATATATGAGAACAAACTTTTTTTTTTACACGGCATGTTAAGTTAAAATTTATGAATGCGTCTGGGGCGGACGGCTGCTGCTTTAAACAGCCTAGTGTGAGGACGGAATGCTTTTAGATACGATTCCTAGTTTACTATTGGCTATAATTCAAAGTTTTGTTTTACTTCCATATTTTTTTATATCCTAATTAATTTTGACTCAAGATATTTTTCACTATCAGATTTGGAAAATTCGATGATGTATAGCTGATATTTGGCGCCACTTGAATCCTTTTTCAAACGCTTAGAATGCTTCATTTGTCAGCACTAAACTGCATTTGCAAATTTTTACAGTGTATTTAGGTCTGCCTGAAACCTACCTGAACTTGCATCTGAGTTATTACCAGCTCTATTACAGAATCATTTATGTGACTACTAATGTTGTTGTTCGTGCCTGTATCTAAATAATTTATGCATTTTTATGATGAAATTTGCCCGCTTGACATTATTTTATACATGGGGAAACTTATTCACTAGACATTGCCACTCTTAAGTATCTGCAAGAACATATTTTAGTTAGTGTTGGATATGATTAGTTTTAAAGTGTGCACAATTTGCTACATATACAAATTGACAATTCTAAGGCGAGAAAAATTGGCACTCAATAGTATTCTGACGTCACTTCCACCTTTCCATCACGTGATGTGTTTACGCAAATTGCAGGAAGTAAAATTAAAGTGAATTGTGATTGGTCAAAAGGAAAAATATCAGTAAAATCAGCGAGGAATTTGGATACGTACTGTGGAAACTAGTGCGTCTGATTGGTTCTTGTAAGTGACATTCATAGTTGCTAAGAAACAGTCACACTTATCGGCGCTCTAAGACATTGAAATTGCTACATAGTTGATGGTACATCAGCACGACTTAAAAGTATGTCAAGATTCTTGGCACTGAACACAAAGAGATCTTGGTGTTTCTGAAAACAATTGGCCTCACATTATGGGTGATTGTGACCTGGAATTTAATCACTGTTAGGAGGATACTTCAAGGGGTCTGTATTCTGCTGAAGTCAATTCATCGGGGTGGCTATATCTTGCAGGTTTTGGAAGACAGTAACTACCATACAAGCATCGACAAGTGTGTAAGCCAGAGCGAACAGGAAATCACGTTGCCAAGACACGTGAACGTCAAGACCACAAATTACACAATGTCTTATAAGAAGAAAGAGGCTTCAAGACAATCGATAGTTATTAATAAGTCGGAGCAAAAGGAACCTTCCCGGGACTTTTTAACGAATACTGTTAGCAGTGTATCATGAACGTCATTACTTACTGCAGCTGCATCATTTTTCATTGGACAAATAAGAATATGAGTCAATCTCTTGGCCAGTTCCATAACTACGAATGAGTTACGTTTTGAGAATGGGTTTGTAAGGCAGTTGCTCGGAATGTGATTTTCCATGGGAGATGGGAGATGTATTCCCGGGTTACAAAAAAAACCCTCACAAAACCAAAAAAATCGCACATATAATATAAAAAAATATGATATTATTTACCTTGACTGGAGTTGTCCTGCTTGTTCTTGAGGAGTGAAGAGATCTAGTAGATGGCGATGTGTAGGTGGCGGAGGGAGGTGATGCAGCAACCAGGTTGCATTTGGCGGCAAAATTACAACCTTGACATTTATATTCAAGTCGTCAAGATACTCAGGGCATCCAGGTGAATTTTACAACACGATTAAAACTTTAAATTTAATCTTCTTTTTTAGCACAATATAATTTCACTTCCTGCACAAAAATGTTCTAAATTCCAGTCCGTAAAAAAATGATCGTGCTAGTTAGCTAAGCCTGTTAGGCTTCACATTTCTATTCCACTGGCAAAGACGATTTTGCCACAAACTTTAAAGCTCTGGGATTCCCTGAACGGAAGACAAAGTGAGGCACCAGCAGCAGTTCTTCCAAGCAACAGCATAAGAGGTCTTATGCTGCTATGAAATTAGACATTTTTTTTTTTCTCTGCAATGTTTTATCAGTCATTTTTTCCAAAACAGGCCAGTTTTACCAATATTAAACACTTGATTAGCACTATAATTTCACTCTACAATAATTTTGGTAAATTTTGGAACAAATTTAGCTGTTCCTTTAAATCTGCACTAGTAGCCTAGCCACTCACTTAACTTGCCCTATATACGCTCATATCTACCTAACCCCCACAAATGTTTCATCACTAACAGCTTCACCTGTTTTCTTCTTTAAATCATCAAAAAAAGACTTAATGCTTTCTCCCGTATGAGCATTAACCTGATTGGATATCAACGGCAATTTTGGTCCACAACTCACAATGTTAAAACCTGTTCCATCTCACACATTAAATATGATGCTTTCCTTATTGTCGTTGATCCCAGTGACGTAGGACCCTTCAGATGCTCTAAAAAATTGGTATTTTGTCTTGCAAGATGGTGGCATCTGCCGGCCGGGTCAACCAGTAAGCGTTTGCGATCGCCGTTATATTTTCAGTTTCTCTTGGAGCGCTCAATGATGCCTAGTGTCGTCTCTAAAGTAATGGGTCGCCTTTACCTTGGCACTGGTGCGTTGCCAACACGCACTTCCGCCTCCTATCAGTCGTTATTTATGGTATTTTCCTGGGAAAAGTCAGAGAGAGCAGAGCACTACGCGCCCCGGGGCGCGGGGAAATGGTGACTGAGGCAGCGTGGGCGGGACTCCTCACGTCACATCGTACACAACGGCCCGCCAACGTATTTTAAAAAATTCTTAATCTAACTCAGCCCAACCTAATCTTACCCAAATGAGGCTAACACGGCATAATCACAACTAGTACATTCTAATGAAAACGATATATATATGCATTTTTGACAATTGGAAAATCAAATGTCGAAAAGTCTTGTGTACGATTTGACAATATCCACCAAGTCTTTTGTACACTACTCCGCCATGAGGCTGCCGCCTGGACGGTCCAGCGCGCTGCCGCGAAATTCAAAAGGACGCTCCGGCGAGTTTATTCACTGATTTTATGCATAATTTTATGCAGGACCTCAGTGGTTTGAAACCCGGTATTCGAGGGAAACCATGAAGAACGTTGGACTAAAAGAAGAGAGTGAAAAATGTCTCAACTCCCAAGATATGACCATCTTTCCTGTTATAATGTCGAGAAGGAAGATGTTTTGTTTAGCTATAAGACTGATATATCACAGTTTGATGCACCAAGTCTCACCTGATAGAAACATTTTGGGTAAATTGCCTATTAGCATTATTTCCATTTATTGATAGTATGTAAAGTGCATTGATGGCATGAGTTAATGATGAATGTGCATCTCATAATGGCGGAATGTTGTAATTTGAATTTATAACCAAAAATTTTGTTTTACAAATCAGCTTTTTCGAGATGAAGAGCAACAGTACTCCGACCACACATGGACCGTCTGGGAAACGTTTGGTGAAGGTTGAGTGGTGATTAGACAGTGAAGGGATCAGCTTTTTTGGTACACGACAGCACGCCTGAGGTCAGGAATAGAGGAAGGCAAGTACCCTTCGTCGACGGCAGATCAACAACTACGGGCTCACCATAGCCCGTGCTACTTGGAACTTTTTGTTCTAGGTATCGAATCTTTAACAACAACAACAACGGTAGATCAACGCGAATGAGGATAATGGTAAAGTTTCGGAGGCAGTCCTTATACACTCACGAGTCGTTAGAGGTCGTAAGCCAACCAGTTGATCCACAAGAGGAAGCCGCATTAAAGAGTCTGGTAGAGTTCAACCAGGACAACCGGTAAGACAGTAAGTTATTACACTTTTTCCTGTGACAGTGACAGTCCTGATTATCTACTGGCCAATCTGTAGGTAACCAGTAACGAACACAAATATACAGTGATTATTTGTGGGCCTCGTCTGTGAGAGGCCAGTGACTAACGTGAACAGTGATTATTATTGTTCAATTTGAAAGTGACCAGTGAACAAACAGTGTTATTGCATATGACCAAGGCTGGCTCAACCAGTGATGACTGCAGTCATATAATCTTCAACCGAGGAAGTGAATCAGAGCATTCGGCATTGATATGAAGTTACTGAGGGAGTGGTACATCCTGCGAAGCAACAAGAGCTTATGGGAATTCAGTGTTGTTGAAGGCGGTGGACCTCTCCGAGGGCGCGTCCCCCTAGTGCTTTCAAAGGGGCGAAGATATTCGAGAGCAGCCTAGCCTAGAGCAGCCTAGTGAGTGACCCACACCATGAAGGTGTGGAGAAGAGGAGCCTGAGGATACGTGTGATGTCACGGGTCAGCTGACAGTGAGCTACAGTCGCTTTACTTGAGAATGAACCATGTAGGTTCGAAACGATGTGTAAATTTATAATAAGTGTAATATATTCTACAGTTTAGTATTTATTTTCCTTCACCTCGAACAAAGATGACAGTTGGAGAAATTCTCTTCCAATTAAATTAAGATGCAAGAGCACTAGTCAGAGGAATAGAAGCCATAAACAAGAAAATAATCAATACAGAATATGCTTATGTTTGTGAATTTGTTTATGTTTATATTACACTGAAGAGACAGTGAAGTGCAGCTTATTTTATGAAGAGAAGCCTAATGCTGTTAAATGATTATTATTATTATTGAATGATTTGTGATTCAGATAGAGATTAATTACAAAGCCTCTTCATCTGTTGTGAATCAGATTAGTATGCTAAAGTAACATTATGATTGCCTAGCTTAATCGAGTAAAGCAGCATTGCTTTATTAAAGATCGGGAGTGACCGTTTATTTTGAAGTTAAATGAGGCTAGTAGAGGCAAGCTACAACTGCAATTGTACATCTTTTATTAGTAAATGTTTTGTTTCTTTTAAACATTGTTTCCGTTTGCCTTTATTCCAATCTTTATCACGTCTGACCTATATGAAAGCCTAAGTAATAATATATTGACCACTTAGTAAAAAAAAGAACCAATCTGGAGAGATCGGGGAGCTCTTGAAGTGGCTCCCAAGCTAGCAAAGCCTTAATCCTTCAGGTCCAGCAACTTTTACACAGAACACAACACACATGTTGTCTACCTAACCACGAAAATCTAACATTTTGCTTGTGTTTACAGCTGTTTCTGTTACTGGCCGTGATGGTGGCCCTGGCCGCCCTGATGGGGTCAGCCCAAGCTTTGCCTGATTCACAAGAAAAAAAGCCAGCTGCTAGTCAAAAGCTTAGCAAAACAAGCGGGGTTCGACGCCGAGGCTTCCGTGGTTAATCACGACAACTGTTCTCCACTACCAGTCTCTTCCAAGCGACGGATCCGGCCAGAAACCTGAACAAAAATCCAGTCTATGCGCAAGCCATCTAATCCCTACTCTATCTAATTGATTATTTACGTGTCACTAAAAATGTCAGTAAAGTATTTCCGCAAATAAACCTTATTTTTATAAAGTTTGCTTCACCTAACATAAATAGATATACAAAGTGTCAAGTAAGATACTTTTTTGTGGCTTTATCAACCACAGGCCATACCATTCATTTATGCATCGCTAACCAGTCTAGATGCATTCTCAAATGCATCCTGCCCACCACAGACAGCATTAGAGATCTGTTAAACATCATATAGCGTACTGAGGTAACGAGTACTCTACCATGGAAGGTTATTTTAATGTTTTTTTTTTACAGTTGTAACAGGCATACATACAGACCCTTCTGTCACATGGGTAGGGATCTGGTCTATATATATAATACTGCACAGGGTTATTGAGCGCTTAGATGGCGATCCAGTTATTTTACCTTTAAAAAAGAAGTAATATCATTTACAACCATGGATCAGTTAATTGCGCATTATTTATGCATGCCGAGCTAGAGACATTTATTAAAATATACATGCAATGTATTCTCAAGTTAATTGCAAATAAATTTAAATTGTACACATGCAAAATCTTCAATAATACTTATCATTGTTGACAACTGTTGATTGATTGACAGTTGAGAGGCGAAAGAGCAGAGCTCAACCCCTCTAAGCACAACTAGGTGAATTCGCGAACAAGGGGACACAGGTGGAAACTGAGTACCCAAATGAGCCACAGGGACGTTAGAAAGAACTTTTTCAGTGTCAAAGTAGTTAACAGATGGAATGCATTAGGCAGTGATGTGGTGGAGGCTGACTCCATTCACAATTTCAAATATAAATATGATAGAGCCCAGTAGGCTCAGGAATTTGTACACCAGTTGATTGACGGTTGAGAGGCGGGACCAAAGAGCCAGAGCTCAACCCCTGCAAGCACAATTAGGTGAGTACAATTAGGTGAGTACCACACACACGGGTGCATGCGCTGAGCATCACTAAGAAGCTCATCACAGTCTCAAGGACTTATTAACATTAAGCTCCATCATCCTGGAGCATCACACAAACCAGATCTGACTCAGATCATCGGATGCTGGGAGCAGAACCCACATGAAAATTAACTGAACACTTTATAGGGCACTGAAAAAATAAAAAACACCATTGAGCTCTGAAAAATTAGCTGGACACACCATAGAGCTCTGGAAATTAGCTAAACACGCCATTGAGCTTTGAAAATTAACTGAAAACCCCATAGAGCTCTGAAAATTAACTGAAAATACAATAGAGCTCTGAAAATTAGCTGAACCCTTCATAATAGAGCTCTGAAAATTAACTGAACACACCATAGAGCTCTGAAAAATAGCTGAACACAACCTAGAGCTCTGAAAATTAACTGAAAACACTATACATCTCTGAAAATTAACTGAACACACCATAGAGCTCTGAAAATTAGCTAAACACACCATAGAGCTCTGAAAAATAACTGAACACATCATAAAGCTCTGAAAACTAACTGAAAACACCATAGAGATCTGAAAATTAACTGAAAACAGAATAGAGCTCTGAAAATGAACTGAGCACACCATAATATAGCTCTAAAATTTAACTGAACACGCCATAAAGCTCTGAAATTTAATTGAACACACCATAGAGCTCTAAAATTTAACTGGACACACCAGAGAGCTCTGAAAATTAACTGGACACACGCCATAAAGCTCTGAAAATTAGCTGAACACACCATAGAGCTCTGAAAATTAACTGAAAACACTATACAGCTCTAAAAACTAACGGAACACATCATAGAGTTCTGAAAAATTAACTGAACACATCATAGAGCTCTGAAAATTAACTGAACATACCAAAGAGCTCTGAAAATTAACTGAACACACCAAAGAGCTCTGAAAATGAACAAAATGAACTGAACATACCATAATAGTTCTGAACTTAACTGAACACACCATAGAAATCTGAAAATGAACAAAATGAACTGAACATACCATAATAGAGTTCTGAACTTAACTGAACACACCATAAAACTCTGAAAGGTAACAAAACACATCATAGAGCTCAGACAAATAAAAAAACACTCCAGCGCTCTGAAAACTTTACCAATAATGTGGGGGGTAGAAATAGCCTAAGCTACTCTATCCCTTTGAGATGTAGTTCTTTCTTGTCTCAATAAACATACTTGAACTTGAACCAATAATGTGAAACTATTCATCCTTGATTCTCTCACTTTAAAACCAATTTTGAAAGAGCAGAGTTTTTTTTTTTTTGCAACAATGAAAATTACTATCAACCTGAGTGTCTGTAGCCGGTTGTGTGTTTAATATGATGTTCAAGATACGAGCAACTAGAAATCAGTTGTATGTTCAAGATGATGAACAATACGAGCAACTAGGAATCAGTTATGTGTTCAAGATGATGTTGAACAAAAGCATCAATCGGTTGTGTATTCAAGATGGGACTTAACCATGGAAGCAGCTAATCACCAATTCAGTGTTCAACATGCTGAACATTGACTATGGAGGGGCGTGGCCGGCTGGAGCAGGCCTTAGCAACACTCGTATATAAGGAGCAGCTGGAGCACGTCCAACCAGCAGTCGACGGAGCAGCAGTTGACGGAGCAGCTGGAGCACGTCCAACCAGCAGTCGACGGAGCAGCAGTTGACGGAGCAGCAGTTGACGGAGCAGCAGACATCATCAACATGAAACTAGTGAGCACACCTATTCATCGTTGACCACTTAGTAAATAAAAGAAACCAATCTGAGAGATCGGGGAGCTCTTGGAGTGCTCTCCAAGCATCAAAGCCTTAATCCTTCAGGTCCAGCAACTTTTACACAGAACACAACACACATGTTGTCTACCTAACCACGAAAATCTAACATTTTGCTTGTGTTTACAGCTGTTCCTGTTATTGGCCGTGGTGGTGGCCCTGGCCGCCCTGATGGGGTCAGCCCAAGCTTTGCCTGATTCACAAGAAATTAAGCCAGCTGCTAGTCAAAAGCTTAACAAAACAAGCGCGGCTGAACGCCGAGGCTTCCGTGGTTAATCACGACAACTGTTCTCCACTACCAGTCCCCTCCAAGCGGAGGATCCGGCCAGAAACCTGAACAAAAATCCAGTCTATGCGCAAGCCATCTAATCCCTACTCTGTCTAATTGATTATTTACGTGTCACTAAAAATGTCAGTAAAGTATTTCCGCAAATAAACCTTATTTTTATAAAGTTTGCTTCACCTAACATAAATAGATATACAAAGTGTCAAGTAAGATACTTTTTTGAGGCTTTATCAACCACAGGCCATACCATACATTTATGCATCGCTAACCAGTCAAGATGCATTCCCAAATGCATCCTACCCACCACAGACAGCATTAGAGATCTGTTAGACATCATATAGCGTACTGAGGTAACGAGTATTCTACCATGGAAGGTTATCTAAATGTTTCTTTTTACAGTTGTAACAGGCATACATACAGACCCTTCTGTCACATGGGTAGGGATCTGGTCTATATATATAATACTGCACAGGGTTATTGAGCGCTTAGATGGCGATCCAGTTATTTTACCTTTAAAAAAGAACTAATATCATTTACAACCATGGATCAGTTAATTGCGCATCATTTATGCATGCCAAGTTAGAGACATTTATAAAAATATACATGCAATGCATTCTCAAATTAATTGCAAATAAATTTAAATTGAACACATGCAAAATCTTCAATCATACTTATCATTGTTGACATACATTTGATATATCGTTGTATTATACTCATTCTAAACACCTACTAGCACTTTAAACATACGTCATCCATACAGAAATACATTATGCATGTATGTACTATTTTGCAGACATAACACTTTCACATCCCAGTCGCCTGAGCTTTAGGAGACTCGAACCGCGTACCCCAGGCGTGTGAGGCCAATGTTCTGTCAACCGAGCTATTGAGTAGTCTTAATAAGGAAAGTTTCTTCTGTCAACTGGTGTGTTTCTGGCCTTCTCGGGTCTCTAACCCAGCACACACACACACATATACACATACGCCAAAATTATGAGAAGGATTAAGACAGAGGAGGACTGCTTGAGGCTTCAAGAAGACCTAGACAAGCTGAAGGAATGGTCAAACAAATGGTTGTTAGAGTTTAACCCAAGCAAATGTAATGTAATGAAGATAGGTGTAGGGACCAGGAGGCCAGATACAAGGTATCATCTGGGAGATGAAGTACTTCAAGAGTCAGAGAAAGAAAAAGACTTGGGGGTTGATATCACGCCAGACCTGTCTCCTGCAGCCCATATCAAGATGATAACATCAGCGGCATATGCCAGGCTGGCCAACATAAGAACGACATTCAGAAACTTGTGTAAGGAATCATTCAAAACTTTGTATACCACATATGTCAGACCAATCTTGGAGTATGCAGCCCCAGCATGGAGTCCATATCTAGTCAAGGATAAGACCAAACTGGAAAAGGTTCAAAGGTTTGCCACCAGACTAGTACCCGAGCTGAGAGGTATGAGCTACGAGGAGAGACTACGGAAATTAAACCTCACTTCGCTGGAAGACAGAAGAGTTAGGGGGGACATGATCACCACATTCAAGCTTCTCAAGGGAATTGATAGGGTAGATAAAGACAGGCTATTTAACACAAGGGGAACACGCACTAGGGAACAAGTGGAAACTGAGTGCCCAAATGAGCCACAGAGATATTAGAAAGAACTTTTTTCAGTGTCAGAGTGGTTGACAAATGGAATGAATTAGGAAATGATGTGGTGGAGGCAGACTCCATACACAATTTCAAGTGTAGATATGATAGAGCCCAATAGGCTCAGGAATCTGTACACCTGTTGATTGACGGTTGAGAGGCGGGACCAAAGAGCCAGAGCTCAACCCCTGCAAGCACAATTAGGTGAGTACAGTTAGGTGAGTACCACACACACGGGTGCATGCGCTGAGCATCACTAAGAAGCTCATCACAGTCTCAAGGACTTATTAACATTAAGCTCCATCATCCTGGAGCATCACACAAACCAGATCTGACTCAGATCATCGGATGCTGGGAGCAGAACCCACATGAAAATTGACTGAACACTCTATAGGGCACTGAAAAAATTAATAAACATCATTAAGCTCTGAAAAATTAGCTGGACACACCATAGAGCTCTAAAAATTAGCTTAACACGCCATAGAGCTCTGAAAATTAACTAAAAACCTCATAGAGGTCTGAAAATTAACTGAAAACACCATAGACCTCTGAAAATTAGCTGAACCCTTCATAATAGAGCTCTGAAAATTATCTGAACACACCATAGAGCTCTGAAAATTAGCTGAACACACCATAGAGTTCTGAAAATTACCTGAAAACATTATACAGCTCTAAAAATTAAGTGAACACATCATAGAGTTCTGAAAATTAACTAAACACGCCAAAGAGCTCTGAAAATTAACTGAATACACCATAGAGCTCTGAAAATTAAGTGAACACACCATAGAGCTCTGAAAATTAACTGAATGCACCATAGAGCTCAGACAAATAAAAAAAACTCTCCAGAGCTCTGAAAACTTTACCAATAATGTGAAACTATTCATTCTTTATTCTTTCACTTAAAAACCAACTTTTGAGAGAGCAAAGTTTTTTTTTTGCAACAATGAAAATTGCTATCAACCTAACTGAGTGTCTGTAGCCGGTTGTGTGTTCAATGTGATGTTCAAGATACGAGCAACTAGGAATCAGTTGTATATTCACGATGATGAACAATACGAGCAACTAGGAATCAGTTATGTGTTCAAGATGATGCTAAACAAAAGCAACTAATAACCGGTTGTGTATTCAAGATGGGGCTTAACCATGGAAGCAGCTAATCACCAATTGAGTGTTCAACATGCTGAACATTGACTACGGAGGGGGCGTGGCCGGCTGGAGCAGGCGTTAGCAACACTCGTATATAAGGAGCAGCTGGAGCACGTCCAACCAGCAGTCGACGGAGCAGCAGTTGACGGAGCAGCAGACATCATCAACATGAAACTAGTGAGCACAGCTATTCGTCGTTGTATCCCAACCACTTGGATTGGTTGGTTGAGTTACGGTCTCGCTTCGTGCCGGACTGCTCGTTGATTCTAAATGGTTACAAAGTGTTTGGGTACTGGGTTTTCACCTTGTTGTCATATCCTAGTTCCTTGTCCTCATGTTCCAGTTCCTTCTCCTCATATCCCAGTTCCTCGTCTTCATATCCCAGCACCTTGTCCTCGTATCACTTCAAAGTGCTCTATAGTCCTACTGGCCTGCCTCTTACTCCTCATATTTACCTTAATTATCATATATTAGATAATCACGTAAATTATCAATACCAGTCACACAAGCAGAGAATATGTACTAAAAATCTGATTACAGGAAAATCAATTTATATGTTTTTGTTGTGTCATCCTTGCAGGTGATGCAGTTGTTGGTGGTGAGCCTGGCCGTCATGGTCGGGTTAGTCCAAGCCATGCCCAAGCCTGACCCTCAGTTTGGTGGACTTGGGTCTGGCTTAGGGGGCTTTTTCCCCCTGCTTGAAGGAATTGGACAAGCATTTGGTGGGCTTGGAAGAGGCTTCGGTGGGTATGGAAATGGCTTCGGTGGATTTGGACGCGGATTTGGCCGCGGATTTGGTCGTGGATTTAGACGCAGATTTGGTGGCTTTGGACCCGGGTTTGGTGGCTTCGGACGCTGAATAGATCACGGATGGTTCTTGGGGGTAGTCCTGACCTTGGCCCTACATGTACCCCAGCCACTCTACGATCGAGGGATTCCTACACGTAATCGTATGCCAAAAGCATGCCAGAACAGTCAACTATGCCAACCATAACACTTTCTGAAGCATCAACAATCTTGTAAATAACAACAACAAGACAATGTTTACTGGAAGGAACGAGAATAAACTAAGGGAGAAAATCCAGTAACTAATCCTTCACCCTTAGTACCTTCAGGGGACGTCACTCTTGAAGACCCAGAGCCTACAGGGATATCAGCCACTACGGACGTCATCCTCCAAGGACGTAACCCACCAGGGACGTCACCCTCCAGGGACGTCACCCTCCAGGGACGTCACCCTCCAAGGATCATCATGTTCCAGGTACGTCACCCTCGGGTCCTGAGAATTGAAATTTCACCGGCAGAAAAGCTAATCTAACTTCATCTGGCCCTCAACACCACTGTTGCACAGGGAATCTTTGATTGTTTAGTATGCAGCACTTGTAAGTAAAACCACATTGAATAATAAAAACTATCCTCCAATGTGGTTGAATAATAAAAAATAATAAATACTACTTGTATACTAAATACAAATATTACTTATAATACTAAATACATTGAATAATAAAAACTATCCTGATATACGGTGTGTTATTTTATATCCTTCGGAAAAGATATTTACAGTGCTAAAAATATATGTGGGTGGTATATAGAGCCGAATAATAGATAGATGCCTAATATACATAGTAAATCGTTTAATAGATAAAACGATAGACAGCAGTCCCTATAGGACAGTGTTAAAATACTCGCCCGGCGCTTCGCGAGCGCTTTAGCCTGGGTTCGTATCCTGGCCGGGGAGGATTGACTGGGCACAAATCCTTAACTGTAGCCCTGTTCGCCCAGCAGTGAATGGTACCTGGTTGTTAAAGGATTTGGCGGGTCGTATTCCATAGAAAAATTAGGATTAAAGACCTGTCCGAAACGCTATGCGTGCTAGTGGCTGTACGAGAATGTTTTATATATATATATATATATATATATATATATATATATATATATATATATATATATATATATATATATATATATATATATATATATATATATATATATATATATATATATATATTATAACAGTCAACACCGACTGCACTTAATACTCTACTCATTCAATATTTATAAAGGATGTGAACTGAAGAGCAATTTGCTAAAATGCATTTATTGTATTTAAAGAATGCAGTTCAGTCGCTAGCTACTGAATTAACAATTAATCACTCCCCAAACATCATGGTGGAGGTGGTAGGGATTGTAACTGCTTGATGGTGGAGGTGCTGAAGCTGTTAAGCTTGCTGTGGTCTATGTTGCTTTCTTGTGAGTGTTCGTCTTCTGGCAGGATCCGTCTCTTGGGAGTTGCTTGGGGTCGGCGAGAGTATGTTCCTTGATCAACCAAAGAAGCCGCCGCCGAAGCCTCTGTAACCTCCGAAACCTCCGCCGAAGCCTCCATAACCTCCATAGCCGCCGTAGCGACCATAGTGTGGGTCAGCAGCGGGGTCAGGGCCAGGCAGGGCGTAGGGGTCAGGCATAGCTCGGGCTGACCCCATCAGGGCGGCCAGGGCCACCACCAACACCACCATCAGCGACAACTGAAATATTAAATAACAAAAACAAATTAATAAATTTGTGGGGTAAAGTTGCTAGAAATGGGTAAGTTTACATTTACTAATTAACTGAGAGCTGTAAAAGTAAACTAGTAGCGAGAAAATAGGATTTCTTCGAAATATTTTTATTTTTGCCATAAATAGTCGTTATTTTGGATTAAGGTCTATCAACTTCTGGAGGGTTAATTAAGTCTACCATAACACCTCATGTACCAACCAACATGTATACTTTAGCTTCCCACATAGTCCAATACAAAGATAAACGTTCAGTGAACATGCATTAAGAAGCGAATATATCACTTGTTGATCATAGAATTTATTTTAATTGTTACTTGGATCTTCCCCCCCCCCCCCTTTCCTGATTAGTTGAAATATTTGTGAAACATAAAAGTTTTGAAAGCAAAACATTGATATTAATTATGAAAATGAAGTCAAATAAGTTTTTTATAAAAATAGGAAAGCATCAAAATAAGAAGCTCAAAGCAATAACAATAAGAAGCACAAAGACAGACAGACTAAATGAAGAAGAAAGCACCAAGATGGAGGTTTTCTCCTCCACCTTATGAAGGAAGTAACCAGAAAGAGAAAGATAAAAGGGAAAAGCTGAAGATTTAGGAACTGAAGACAAAGTAACGGGGGTTCTACGTACGAGTTTCATGATGATAGATGAGGTCAAGATGACTACTTCACGTTGACTGTGATGATCAGACTGGTTGAGGGTCCTTATATATGCCTGCTTAGAGGACCAACACGCCTCGGGCTCCACTCAGGCATGTTGACACTTTGGTAAATCCTGAGGAAATTGGTTTATCATAGCAACTCAGTCGTAGTGAGAACTCTTCTGGTCTATAACGAGTCTTAAAACTCTTATTTTGTGCCTTTATATTATTTTCAATCCACTTTGGTTGGAATTTTAACAAGAATTAAAATATTTTCTATGCAATGAATGTGTTTTAGATTAGTTAATTTTGAGGGTTTGTATTCCTCTTCGGAAGACTCAAGGCCAGGAGTCGTCAAGTATTTCCACCATCACTTAATACACCTGTACATCATCCCTTTGTCATAGCAGCTTTGTTTACATTTATTTAACACTTTACCAGCTTGGAAACTTCACAACTCAAAGTTATTATTGTTATAAACAACCTCGTAGTGCTTCGGAGCTCAAACTATTTCATAAATGAAAAATAAAGCCGCCATGGTCTACACAAGATGTACAGGTTTCGTCAGTGGTTGCGTATATACTTGATGAATCATGACCCAGAACAAGAATTTGTTGTACAAGAAAACGTAAATAGATAATTATAAGAACTAGCTAATGTGATTAGGGAAGGCGGTAATGGTGCTGAATTGGGTGATTCTGAGGGTCAGAAAACACAATCTTCTTTGTCATGAGTCTCCAAGACCTCTTGACATCATAAGTCTCCAAGACCTCTTGACAACATAAGTCTCCAAGACTTCTTGACACCATAATTGTCAAAAGTTTAATCCCAGCAACAAAGAAAATGGTCATATTTAGCTTGAAAATCTTCAATAAAATTTTATTATATTTTGGAGATCATTTCATCATATATGGAATGACATACTCAAACCAGCGCTGCTAACATTGACATTAATTGCTATCTACTACACGTTCAATGTCACATTATTAGGGCAAATATATAGGCTTAAAAGTAATATGATTCAGAGTCAACACCTAATGATCCAAGGAATGTGCTTACCCCATCTACTAGATCTCTACGCTTACCCTATGTACTAGATTTCTACGTTTACATCATCTACTAGACCTCTAGGCTTACCCTATCTACTAGATCACTACCCTTACATCATCTACTAGACCTCTAGGCTTACCCTATCTACTAGGTCTCTACGCTTACAGCATCTACATTTAAACACACTCTTTTCTACCATATGTTAGCTCCCTTCACTCTGGACGCGTACGGTACGCATGTCCAGGACTTCCCGCCACAACCCAGCGGCGCCCAGCGGAACAAGTTTCTCTCCTGGACATCCCACACTTCCAGCCCTGCCTTACGGGGCTGCTAGCCTCATGTGGGGGAGTTCCCTTTGCTCAACGCTTTGATGCGTACATACTAAGCGATACTAACAAACTATACATTATATTGGATTTACAATATCGGCAAACTGAGTTACATTTTGTTAACGTTTATGCTTGTAAGTCTTTACATATTAGCCTAGTGGTAATGTCTGTAAACAAAATATTTTTTCGAGCATGAGTAGTGTTGAATATAAAAATATCCAGGAGTTATAGCAGGTGTTTGGGAAAACCAATAGGTGGGTGTGAGAGTCCAATAGACTTGCGTTTAAATCAGCGTAGAGGCCTAGTAGATGGTGTAAGGCTAGAGGTCTAGTAGATAGGGTAAGCATAAAGGTTTATTAGATGGTGTAAGGGTAGAAGTCTAGTATATGGGGTAAGCACATTCCTTGAATCATTAGGTGTTGACTCTGAATCATGTTGCTTTTATGCCTATATTTGTCCTAATAATGTGACATTGAATGTGTAGTAGATAACAATTTATGTCAATGTTAGCAGCTCTACTTTGAGTATGTCATTCCATATATGATGAAATGATCTCCAAAATATAATACAATTTTACTGAAGATTTTCAAGCTAAATATGACCATTTTCTTTGTTGTTAGGATTAAAGTTTTGACAATTATGGTGTTAAGAGGTCTTGGAGACTTATGTTGCCACGAGGTCTAGGAGACTCATGACAAAAAAGATTGTGTTTTCTGACCCTCAGAATCACCCATTTCAGCACCATTACCGCCTTCCCTAATCACAGTAGTCAGGTCTTATAATTATCTATTTACGTTTTCTCGTACAACAAATTCTTGTTCTGGGTCATGATTCATCAAGTATTTACGCAACCACTGACGAAACCTGTACATCTTGTGTAGACCATGGCGGCTTTATTTTTTATTTATTAAATAGTTTGAGCTCCGAAGCACTACGAGGTTGTTTATAACAATAATAACTTTGGGTTGTGAAGTTTCCAAGCTGGTAAAGTGTTAAATAAAAGTAAACAAAGCTGCTATGACAAAGGGATGATGTACAGGTGTATTAAGTGATGGCGGAAATACTTGACGACTCCTGGCCTTGAGTCTTCCGAAGAGGAATACAAACCCTCAAAACTAACTAATCTAAAACATATTCATTGCATAGAAAATATTTGAATTCTAGTTGAAATTCCAACCAAAATTGATTGAAAATAATATAAATACACAAAATAATAGTTTTAAGACCCGTTATAGATCAGAAGAGTTCTCACTACGACTGAGTTGCTATGATAAACCAGTTTCCTCAGGATTTACCAAAGTGTCAACATGCCTGGTGGAGCCCGAGGCGTGTTGGTCCTCTAAGGAGGCATATATAAGGACCCTCAACCAGTCTGATCATCACAGTCAACGTGAAGTAGTCATCTTGACCTCATCTATCATCATGAAACTCGTACGTAGAACCCCTGTTACTTTGTCTTCAGTTCCTAAATCTTCAGATTTTGTCTTTTATCTTTCTCTTGCTGGTTACTTCCTTCATAAGGTGGAGGAGAAAACCTCCATCTTGCTGGTTACTTCCTTCATAAGGTGGAGGAGAAAACCTCCATCTTGGTGCTTTCTTCTTCATTTAGTCTGTCTGTCTTTGTGCTTCTTATTGTTATTGCTTTGAACTTCTTTATTTTGATGCTTTCCTAGTTTTATAAAAAACTTATTTGACTTAATTTTAATAATTATTATCAATGTTTTGCATTCAATACCTTTCTGTTTCACAAATATTTCAACTAATCAGGAAGGGGGGTAGGGGGGGGAGATGCAAGTAACAATTAAAATAAATTCTATGATCAACACAGGATATATTCGCTTCTTAATGCATGTTAGATATGGTAGAATGCATATGGTAGATTTAATTAACCCTCCAAAAGTTAATGCCAAATAAAGACTTTTTAAGGCAAAAATAATAATACTTTGAAGAAATCTTCTTTTCTCGCTACTAGCTTATTTTTACAGCTGTTAGTTATTTAGTAAATGCAATCTTATCCATTGCTAGCAACTTTACCACACAAAATTTTTTCTTGACCAAACCACTCACTAGAAAGTGAAGGGACGATGACGTTTCGGTCCGTCCTGGACTATTCTCAAGTGGATTGTGTCCATTCTCACAATCGACTTGAGAATAGTCCAGGACGGACCGAAACGTCGTCGTCCCTTCACTTTCTAGTGTGTGGTCTGGTCAACATCTTTCAGCCACGTTATTGTGACTCCTCGTCTACAAATTTATTAATTTGTTTTGTTATTCAATATTTCAGTTGTCGCTGATGATGGTGGTGGTGGTGGCCCTGGCCACCCTGATGGGGTCAGCCCGAGCTATGCCTGACCCCTACGCCCTGCCTGGCCCTGACCCCCACTATGGTCGCTACGGAGGCTATGGAGGTTATGGAGGCTTCGGCGGAGGTTTCGGAGGTTACAGAGGCTTCGGCGGCGGCTTCTTTGGTTGATCAAGGAACATACTCTCGCCGACCTCAAGCTGCTCCCAAGAGACGGATCCTGCCAGAAGACGAACACTCACAAGAAAGCAACGTAGACCACAGCAAGCTTAACAGCTTCAGCACCTCCACCAGCAAGCATTTACAATCCCCACCACCTCCACCATGATGTTTGGGGAGTGATTAATTGTTAATTCAGTAGCTAGCGACTGAACTGCATTCTTTAAATACAATAAATGCATGTTAACAAATTGCTCTTCAATTCACATCCTTTAAAAATATTGAATGAGTAGAGTATTAAGTGCAGTCGGTGTTGACTGTTATAATATATATATATATATATATATATATATATATATATATATATATATATATATATATATATATATATATATATATATATATATATATATATATATATATATATATATATATATATATATATATATATATATATATATAATATACTACTTATGTGTCTCCACTCGATCATCCGGACTATATAGGAAGGACACCCAGCCGGATTATCACATTTTTCGGATAATGATACTTTTTCACCTACGAGTCCAAAAGCGACCATTTCCAACTATTTTTATACTACAAACAACATAATTTGAACTGCCTTGCCACATATAATTATTAAATATTCAACTAGAAACCTCAACTTACCTTGTTGGTGTTCGTCTTCTTGACTGATGCCAGTACATATCTTGATGTTAAGAATTCTTAACAATTTACGTAACTTATACTAACACAACACTAAAATTAACACTTAAAGTTACTGTACAGTTCATTAAGCAAAGTTAGTTTTGCCTGCCAGCTGCTGAAGCCTCACTGGTTGAGGGCATTTGGGTTGCCTGTGAAGCCTCACTTGTTGAAGGCATTTGAGCTGCCTGTGACGCCTCACTGGTTGAACAACACGTAACTTGTCTTTAATAATTGCTAGGACAACCTTCTTCCTCTTAGCACCTCCAGAACGATTGATGCTGCTACCAGACATAGTCTTGGCCAAAAATTTTCAAAGTTACTATGAAATTAAACAAGTTATTTAACAAAATATTTCACTAATGGCGCAGCACTGTGGTATAACACGAGGGACGGACGCACATGGGTTGACCAGTGTTGGACGGGTCCGCCAGGAGGAAAAAAACTCACAATATTTTTGAAGGAAACTTCAGCCTGTGCACATTGCTTTTAGGAAACTTATTTATTTGTTATTACATAATTACTAGTACTTATTTCATTTGTTTTTGGGTATGATTAATTGTTCTAAAATTAATGGTAATTCCTGTACCCAGGTGGTCCCTCTCGACATTCCCCTACACCCCCTCCTCCACCATGCATCTAGAGTCATAGACGGGATTAATACGGTATGGCCGAATTTTCATCCGGTCAAACCAACTTTTATCCGGTCCCTGTGGCCATTTTGGCCGGATATTGTGATAACTTTATCCGATCACGATTTTGGCCGTATAAGGGCGTTTTCCGGATGTTTGAATCCCGGATAATCGCGGGGTTACATTATATATATATATATATATATGTATATATATATATATATATATATATATATATATATATATATATATATATATATATATATATATATATATATATATATATATACACACAGTAATATCAAGACCTGAAACAACATATCTTCAGACTTGGCAGTGGCCGACCTCAATAACGAATCCATCAAGTTTAGCCAGACTGTGTAAGCAGACTTGATTTTGTATCTTTCTGATGGCAATTATTTTAATTACGTGAGTAAAGCTTTTTACAGCAATTTCCGGCCATCAGGCTATGCTCATCCCATCAAGCGACCGGGTGGGGGGGGGGTAGAAATAGCCTAAGCTAACCCTTTGAGATGTATTTTTTTTTCTTGTCTCAATAAACTTACTGGAACTTGAACTTGAACCACCCCTTAAGACGCATTCATCAATTTTGTCATGCTGTTCATTCAAAATGTGAATTTTCTCAAATAGAAATTAATATTATAAATTAGCATTTTGTGCAGATTAAGGCGTAGGTTTGGTTAGCTTAGGTGATGCAATGTGCTCCAAGATCTCTCTCTCAAATTCCATTCGCTTGATGCTCATCTGGACAAATTCAAGAACAAGGGAGCGTGCTCGCAGCACCAAGGCGAACGCTTCCACTGGGATATATTGGACTGAAAACCGCTATGAAGGGCAGTATACCGATAACATGTTAAGAGACTACATTTCAGGGCTGAATCGTGAAGGTGATTTACAGTATAATCTGTAAATCACGAAAAAGTACTTCTAAATTTTGTGTGACATATTTTTAGAACATTAAAATAAATACATGTAAATTTTGATTCATGTTATTTTCAGATTTTGTGTGAACGAAACGATGAAAATTCGCCCGTTTTCTCATTGGAAACAGGTAAATTAAAAAAAATCACTGTTCTGGTCACAAAGGTAAAGTTTGAGGGGGGAATAATAACCAATTTCTATATTTTATATGTTATCATATTCAGCACTAACTGCACTTAATACAGTACACTATTAATATTTCTTAAGGACGTAAACTGAAGCATAGTTTCTTAAAGTGCATTTATTTTGTTTATAGAATTCAGTTATTGGTCGCTAACTATTGAATTATCAATTAGTCACTCCCCAACAATCATGGTGGAGGTGGTGGGGATTGTAAATGCTTGATGGTGGAGGTGCTGAAGTGGTTAAGCTTGCTGTGGTCTACGTTGCTTTCTTGTGAGTCTTCTGGCAGGACCCGTCTCTTGGGAGGAGCTTGGAGTCGGTGAGAGTAGGTTCCTTGATTAACCATAGAAACGACCGTAGCCTCTATAGCCGCCGTAACCGAACCGGCGACGGAAGTGTGGGTCAGCCTCAGCGTAGGGGTCAGGGCCAGCCAGGGCATAGGGGTCAGGCATAGCTCGGGCTGACCCCATCAGGGCGGCCAGGGCCACCACCAACACCAACATCAGCGACAACTGCAATGAAAATTAAATAACAAAATAAGTTATTTATTTAGGCTGTGAAGAAGCTAATAATTTGTTGGTGCATTTAGTAAACAATTGACAGCTGTTACGGAAATTTAGTAACGAGAAATTCAAGTTGTTTGCTTCATAAGCATTTTTATTATTGTCAGAAATTTTCATGATGTGGGTTTATTGATGTGTTTATCGTCTATCAACCGCGGGATGGTTGCTGGGTCCACCATATTACTGACCAACCAGCAAGTACACTTCAGTACTGAACATGGCCCAAGGACAAAAGTCCCTCTTCAGGACTAAAGCCACTTTTCAGTACATTTACTCCACGGATTGAGATGCACTTTCTGGTAGAATATATTATTGTTTACTTGGGCAATGTAATGATTTACGAAACAATATGTTTGCTTGTAAAATATAGATATTAATATAAGCAAGTCAAACAAATTTGGATTACACAAGAAAAATAAGAAAGCATCAAGATATAGATTTTCTTATGATATTATTGAATAAGACAACATCATGTTGGAAATTTTCACAAAAATCTCTTTATCAAGAAAGGAACAAGAGAGACGTGAACGGGACTCCAAGCTGAAGGTTCTGAAGACAATGTCTGGAGTTCTACTTACGAATTTCATGTTGATAGATAAAATCGAGGGGGTGACTGCTTCACGTTGACTGAGTTGACCTGACTGGATGCGGTCTTTATATAATCCCGTCAAGAGGACTAGCCAGCCTCGGGCACCATCTCCTCGGCATGTATTTGGTCAAACTTGAAGAAACCAGTTTCAGCTGCTCCGTATTAGTCAGGATTCTTCTGCTTCAGAACTGGTCTTAAAGCGGATATTTTGGGTTTTTATTTTATTTGAATTCATTTATGTTTAAATTTTAACAACAGTTCCGACATTTTATTTGCAATGACTCTTTTAGATTAGTTAGTTTTATATGTGTATTCGTGTTGGAGAGGTCAAGAATTTGTTGCACAGATGAATGAAAATTAATAATTCTGAGAAACACCAGATATATTTTGAATGATAAGTGCTATAGTTGGGTGAATCAGAGAATATATATAAAAAAACACAATATATTTATCTTGAATCTCCTAAAATCATCCGACAACTGAAGTATAAAAACAGTAATCCCAGCAACAAAGAAAATAGTGATGTGTAACCAGCATGTCTTCAGTAAAATTACATAATATTTCGAAAACGCTTTGAAAAATTTCTGACACTAGTTAAAAGTTGAACTTATTATGTAAGTCCCAACATAGGATACAACACTCTATGACTTTAATAGATTAAAAGTAATTTGTTCTGTGGGTCAAAACATTATGAACCATATCCAACGCACTGTGGTCTGTGTACAACCTTGGAATGTCCGTTCAATGCTCGCTGCGGAGACCCATCCAACTCCAGCCCTGCCTTAGGCTATGCTTATCCAAACCGGTTAAGCTGTCCTCCGCCCCTTCTCTCAAGTTGCGTCACAACACATGATGCTTGTCTGATGCATATTCTTTCAGTGCCTTTAATAAAACTCACAATTGTCAGCCATAACAACTCCCTTAAACCATCAGGAACATTACTTCTTAATCTTCGTCTTCAACCTGATTCAGTCTTCGTCAGTCCATTTCTGGTTTCTTCTATCTAGCTCAGACTAATTCAAACCTTTTCAGTGGTCTTTAACCAATTACAGATTTATTCAGTCCTTTCCAGTCTTGTTCAGCCTTTTCTGTCTTTTTCAATCCATCCCCGCTGTCTTTTGCACATCATGATTTGGAAAATCATGATGTACATTGATTTGATTTGGGAAAGACATGTGCGAAAATATCAAAATACTGTATGTAAATTAGTTATCGTCACCAAACAAAATATTGACTGGACTTATAATTACTTAAATAACTACTTAAATTACGATGACTTTCCCAGCGTGTGGCTCAGTGGGTATCAATGCAGGTTTTTCAGGATATCAGTCGACGTTCAGGACAGGATCCAGAGGACAGTGTCTCCAGCGCCGGTATAAAAGGGACTGAAGCTCGTCCTGTTGTCCAGTCAACGTCAGCCAGGCATTTCCAACTATATTTCAATCATCAAATATGAAAGTTGTGAGTACAGCCTTCAGCAGTGTCTTAAAATCATGATACTCTGATATGTTATTCATATTTATTATACGCTGGGTTTATTTTTTATCTTGTATCCTTTTTCAGTCTTTCGTGTTAAAATTTATGTTTGTCTATTGTATTTGACTTCAATTTGTATCTGTTTTTGCTCCGATCACTACAATTTGTCTTTAGTTGTTATCCACCTATTATATATGTCAACTGTTCAATAAACATGAGCATAAAGGAGACTGCAGAAAGCCTATTGGCTCTTGCAAAGTTATTTATCTTGCTATTTAAACTCAAATAAACTCATTCATGTACATGTATAAGTAGGTTAGACGTGGGTATGAAGGAGTCTGAAACAATCAAGCGATTCTACGCCAATTACGTTTGCCGACAATTTGCACTAAAAATTTTGTTTCTGAATATAAGCTCATTTCATTTGTGTCCATAGTGTCGTGTTAAAATTTTTATTGATATATTTAACGTCGTATAAATATCTCCCGTGTTGGTTTTTGGGTTTGGTGTTAGGCGTAATGCGCTTCAACTATTGGAACGTTATTAAGGCAACACAATTGTGAATTGAATCCCAGTACCCTTTGTATCATATTCGAACATTTGTAAACCGATCTTTTAGCTTAAGATCTCTACTAATAATAATTAAATATCTCATTTACTCGCTTCACTATTTTCATAACCAGGAGGTAATTTGTATGTCTTGAACATTACAGTTACCGCTGATGTTGGTGGTGGTGGTGGCCCTGGTCACCCTGATGGGGTCAGCCCGAGCCATGCCTGACCCCTACGCCCTGGCCGACCCTGACCCCGCTGCTGAACCACAGTTTGGATTCGGACGTGGCTTTGGTGGTGGATTTGGCCGTGGCTTTGGCGGGTTTGGCCGCGGCTTCGGTGGATTTGGCCGCGGTTTCGGTGGATTTGGCCGCGGCTTCGGTGGATTTGGTCGCGGCTTTGGCGGATTTGGCCGCGGCTTCGGTGGATTTGGCCGAGGTGGTTTCTTTGGATAATCAAATTTTTTGCTCCTCGATAACACACAAAGAAAACGATAACGCACAAAGACAAAAGAATGTGTTGAAAGACACTAGCAAAGCAGCGAAGCCTCGTACCTTAGAAACCATCAAGTGTAAACTCGATATCGTATTGTCACAAGCAAGTGGGAGACTTATCCTAGTGGGCTGAGTGTATATACACCACTGGAACTGGTCAAACACATCACCCACATCAACAGATTCATCTTAAACCTCCAGCAACTTAATCCACCAACAACCTAATCCACCAACAACTTAAATCTAAAGTAACTTAAGTATCAAGCAACATATACCTCAAGCAACTTTAATCTTCAGCAACTGTGATCTCAAAGTATTTACATCTGAAGCAAGTTTAACAGCAAGTAGGTTATACTTCAAGCACATTAAACCTTAAGTAATTTTAACCTCAACAAACCTATACCTCAAGCAACTTGAACCTTCATCAGCTTAAATCTCAGGTAACTTAAATCTACAACAACTTAATTTTCTAATTATAATCACCAATAAACTTCAGTTATACATAAGACATTAATTAGGCTCGATGAATCTCATCAAACAATTGTGTTCCGACGATTGTTCAGCTGTGTTCACTTGAATGTGTAATGTGTTCAGTTGAGTGTTTAGTTGATTGTTCAGTTTCATACAGTTGATTGTTTAACTGTGTTCAGTTTAATTGTTCAGAAGGGAGAAAATGTGAACTATATACAACAAAAAATAAATGCGTTGAAATGAATTGTATGTTGTTTAAAGCCTATTGCATTATATATGATAAGGAAGGAAAGAAACTATCAGGAGAAAGCCCCAAGGGATCACGATATATATGATAAACAAAACATGTTTTGTTTATCATGATACAAGCTCCTATGCCTTGTCGTTTACAATAAACTGGAGTTCCTATCTATACGCTTTAGTTCACTTATTCTGCATCCCATATACATCCTGTGGGCGGTAGTGGAGAGGGTTACAGAGGCACATAATGAGCTCAGGTTCTGAACCCCAAAATTCATTTAGCTATGCAAATTACAGTCTTCATAAGCTACATTGGTACATCTTCAATGGGATCGAACCCAACCACAAGTACTAAAATATTTGGTAGTGTCTTCCACCTGTACAGGTCAGGAGCTGCTTCTGACATTACTGTCCTGGAGCATAAAGCTGTCAACATGAGCACAAAGGATGAGGAGGTGTTGCCCGCCAAGCCTCATAAGCAGACAAAGACAGCTTCACCTGTTGCTGGGCCGTGAAGCGGTTTCTTCAGGACTCATCAAACGCGCATATGTGGGAGATCGGGGTAGGCAGGTGGGGAAGGGGAAGTATTGGAGAGGGGGAGGAAAGACGTGGGGGAAACAGGCTGGTGAGGAAGGGGGGAAGCAATGAGGAAAGGGGGAGGAGATTATGCAAGGCCTGCAAATGTTTCCTTACAGACTAAGTGTCCTGTATATATCAAAGAAATATCGATCCTACAGGTCAGGTCCAACAGGTCATGTCGTACAGGGTCAGGTTCTACAGATAAGGGCATGCAGGTAAGGGCCTACATGACAGATAATACTGGCCAGGTAATCAAGAAACATTATCTGGTCCATAACCTCATGAGAGGTTAGGCGGGTTGCTGGGGTTCGTACGGTTTCCGCTTCAGCAAAAACAGTTGCATTTTTTTCAGAAGCAAATCGAGTAGCCAGGTGAATGGAAGAGGGAATCAGCCCTCGTTAACCCCTCTCCCAATAATTCATCAATATCATTCAGCATCTTAACTCCTCGTTTCAACGACCTTAAGTACAAGCTTCTCAGGTAATATACCTGGTGTATATTACCTAAGAAGTAAACTACACCTGGTGTTATTGCCTGAGAAGTATATATGTATAGGAGCAACACATTCTTCCAACTGACCTTGATTTAAGAAATATGTAACCAAAAAAACTAGGTTTTCCCCCTAGCTGGTGAGCAGCCATAAACCAGTTTTTCAGGTTGCGAATTGACGTAGAAGCGACGATAGGGCCGGGAGGCGACCTGTCCCTTCTTTAGTCATGGAGAGGGAGTGGGTGATGGAGAGGGAGTGGGTGATGGAGAGGGAGTGGGTGATGGGGAGGGAGTGGGTGATGGGGAGGGTGTGGGTAATGGAGAAGGAACCGGCGTTACCCACTGGGCCGGTTCCAGACTATTTTACGCAATAGGCAAGGTCACCTATTTGCAAAAAAATAAAAATAAAAAAATTGCTAATTTCGATTTTCAAAAACCGATGTTTTATAGAAAAATAAAAATCACAAATTTGAAACTCTTAAATTTAGATTAAATTGGAAGAATAAGTAATACATCAATCCGCATTATCTTTCTCAAAAGAAAATACTTTGAACTAAATATTGCTTAATTCTAAAAAAGGGTTTTCAGAACTAAAAATACTCGATAGAATGGCCACCTCCGCCAAGGCCAATACAATCCTCACCGCCACACCCTTTTCTACCCTTATTTAAATCATTCGTGAGGCATCGGCACGCTTACGATAATAGATTTTATTGGTGCCTTAAATACTTTGTATAAAACAGTGACTTCGCAAGGATCAGTACCGCGTCTCCCTCAAGTCTGCGCCATAGGCTGCTGGTGCCTAGTTACGCTGACGGAGGGACCATTGGCCTTCGTTACACACCAACTTTCCTACCTTGAACAACAAATACATAAACACTGATGACTGATAAATTATGACCAATTGCTGGACTGACTTAACTCCTAAACACATTTTGAGAGCTTTGAGACGATCCCAATAATTTAGATGTTTTATCATGCCTATGCGTGCCGTATATGTTATCTGCATTTAAACATTATTTTTAGTAAACAGACCAATAAAGTTTCGTGGATGTCAGTGAATCAACTGCAGATTCCAATCAACAAATTTAAGGATTACGAATTATATTTAGATCAACTAAGAAAAAAAAACAGATGAACACAACGAGAATTTCTTCATCGCGAGTTGATATTGTTGGACCATTGTGATGTCCCCTTAGCCAGACGTTAGTTGCTCGCTATATACGTATGTACACACAGATTACATCTGCCAGGCGAGTTCTCCAAGGCCACCATGACTTATTTACAAGAATAAAATATATTGTCCATTATTGCAGCCCCGGTGTTGGCCCCGGCCTTGACCCCAACACTGACGCTGACCGTGGCTCTGGCCTAGACTCCTGGCCATGACCCTAGACGTGACGTCGACCTTGACCCAGACCCCCCACTGGGACTATGGTCGCCTGTTTCTATGGCTGTGTTGAGTACTCATCTGGTGCTCTGTTGAGTTTCCAGTGTGGCCTAGTTATCAGGGGGGGGGGCAAGTCTTTTGAAGCAGCATCCTGGTTCTGACACCTTGACAAGTCTCTAATTTGAAGTTTTTTTTGTCTTAGGCTCACGCATGGCTTCAGCCACGAGCATGTAACACTCAAGATGCTAAATTCCGGCGAATGTCCACAGCAGATTAAAAAAATTAGCTAAAGTTTCTGTTTGAAGGCAGGAAGCCTAATGAACATGAGAGTATGTGTGTGTGTGTGTGTGTGAATCTCTCTCTCTCTCTCTTGTACAGATAAAAATTAACATAAATGAGTCTCCCTCACTTCCAAGCTCAAGGTGAGTTCCACTGCTGTCACCACGACGGCATTTCCGACAGGAAAGGATAGTAAATATATTAATAAAACCCCATCTTTCTCTTAAGGCACTCACTATTAAAAAGGGGGTGGGGTTATTAGTCCAGCATTGGTTGGGAGCTACAAGCTTCCCTCAATTGTTGTTTCTCTCGAGGGGAAGCTGTTGTAGGTCCCAATCAATAGTGGTTTACATTTCATGGGTAATCACCTAGATGGGAATGCAGTGTCAAGCTAGGCTCCTAATTCCGCCTTTCAAACGTTCATATATCAATGCAATGACTCATTTTTCATGCGTTTACCATATACACATTAAACATTTTGAGTCGAACTAGCTAGCCTCGTATAAGCCGCTGATGATATCCTTTTGATGTGGGCTTCGGGAGACAAGTTTGGTGTGATATTTTTAACTTTACGTGATTCTTGAAGGATTTCATCTCCCAGTTAGTACCTTGTGTTCGGTTTTCTGCTTCCTGTACCCGCTTTAATTACTTTACGCTTACTTGAATTAAACTCTAGGAACCATTTATTGGATCTTTCCTTCAGTTTGTTCTGGTCATTTTGTAGTTTCCTCTTATCTTCCTCTGTCATAAACCTTCTCATAATTTTTGCATCATCAATAATCATCGAGAGGAATTAGTCTCTATCATCTTGAAGATCGTTTACGTATGTCAGAAACAGGATAAGTTCGAATACAAGACCTTGTGGTTCGTCTCTCCAGTCTGTGAGCTCCTCCCTCACAGTAACTCGTTATTGTTGTTGTTGTTTTAGATTTAGCTACTATTCAGTACGAAATGTTCATGTAGCACCGGCTATAGTGAGCCCGTAAACAGTAACTCTTTATTTTATGTTGCTTAGGTACTCTTTTGTCGACTGGAGCACCTAACCTGTTATTCCCGCCTGCCTCTCCAGCTAGCACTAACCTCACGCTCATTCGGTAGTTACCCTCTTCAGTTCCCTCCTCCCTAACCCCCATCCCTTCACCCCCTTCCCCCCCATGCTCAGCGTTCCTCACCCTCTCGCACAATGTCTCACAACCTTCCCAGATTTCCTCCACAACACCACCAGCTTGGACTTCCCCGGGCTGGCCCTAGTCTACGACACCTGGAAAGCTCTTCAACAACCCGTCCCAACCACAACATAACAACATTGATGCAAAACCTGATAGCAGATACGAAATGACTCCTTTATTTTGTGATGATAGAGCCACATTGGTGATACTAGAATACATATGTGTGTGTGTTTATGAATAAGGTTTCTTTGGGAGGTCATAAACTGGATTCTTCCGGATAAAGGGAGGGAGGGAGGGAGAGGGGGGGGCTATGTTTGGTATGGGGTCTGGAGGCGGGGCCGACGAGCTTATATAAGGGACGTCGCCGAGATGGGTCAACACATTCCTAGTGTAGCAGCAGTCAGTTGAACCAGTGTTCTCGCCTATACCCTCTCACAGCAGGCAGTCATGAAAGTCGTGAGTACGACCTAAAGCTGAATCTTCGTCTTGATCTCCCAGTCAGATTTCAAGTGCAGGTTCCGTGTCGGGTCTGTACATTATAGGAGGGAATTATCAGAGGAAAGCGCGAGACCATTACTACTAAATTGCACTTGGAATGGGTCAGGATGTTTGGGATGGGACGGAATGGTGCCCAACCCTTTGGACGGTCGGGGATTGAACGCCGACCTGCATGAAGCGAGACCATCGCTCTACAGTCCGGCCCAAGTGGTTGGACCGTACATAATAGGAAATGTGGATTACTTAGGACCACTTGAAACAGGCAAATAATCTATATCAAATAAAAAAAATTATTCATTGATGGTTGTACATTTATAATTGGGTTTACAATTATAAATGTGCAGGAAATTATTTACCTAAAAGTCATAACAAGTAATTATGAGTATATAATGTTTAATCTAGATTTAGAAGCTTATTTTGACGGTGATTATATAAATAATTTCAGACATGGCTGGAGTGAACAGGTGTTAGAATCATATGAAAAACAGCTTACAATTATAGCAGTTAGTTTAGTTCATTTATTATGCACCCCATACCCATCTTGTGGGCGGAAGTGGAAAGGGTTACAGAGGCACATAATGGGCTCAGGGACTGAACCCCACAATTCCTTTACCTAAACAAATTACAATCTTGATGAGCTAGTTACAAAATTCAATACACATCGTCACATCAACAATGGGCTCGAGACCGATCACAAGTACAGTTTCTAAATTAAGCAACTGACATATGTGGAGAGCTAGTGTCACAATTGATATATTTGTCCTGCACATCGCCCCCCGTGTTGCTAATGGGACACGAAATGAGTGTATCTTCACACGTCTAATATTTAATTTTGCTTCGTTATTTCAGTTGTCGCTGATGTTGGTGTTGGTGGTGGCCCTGGCCGCCCTGATGGGGTCAGCCCGAGCTATGCCTGACCCCTACGCCCTGGCCGACGCTGACCCCGCGGCTGACCCACACTTCCGTCGCCGCTTCGGATATGGAGGTTTTGGTGGCTTCGGCGGCTATGGCGGCTTTGGCGGCTTTGGTGGTGGATTTTATCCCTATGGTGGTTATGGTGGTGGATTCTGGGGTTAAAGTTACACTTCAACCACTCGCATGTGAAGGATTCTAACTGAAAAACGACTTTCATAAATTTTGACAGTCTAATACACCTACAAGAATTTTGCCCTCGTAGAAACTAACAACCAAGATTATTTCATTTGGAGACTTCGATGTAGATGTTTAATGCACTTGAGGTCAGCTTCGAGTGCCACTCCAACATCTCAGCATCTCTAACACCCTGCACCTGTAGCCTAAGCTAACATGGTCTTTGGCCTGTCGTATCTCTCACCTCCAAGACTCAGACAGCTCTACAGTGGCTGTTTTTTAATGGCACAAGAATCTGTACATTACTTAACAAAATATATATATATATTATAAAAGCATGTGTTTTATTTTACAAAGTCTGAAATGCAGGTTTAAGGTATTAAATTGAGTGATTGTAATATGCAATGTATAGTTATACACATTACAAACATGTACAATCATATACATTTTAATCAAGTATAGTCACACACACACACACACACATTATAATCATATATAAGATAATCACGTAGTACAAACAAACAGTCACAATGGTATAAACACTATATACCCCCTATAACAAGGTTTCCATACTTAACAGTTTATATGACTCAGGGCGTGGATCACCTAATTCTCCTGTGCTCGAGTGGCAGTATGTATATATAACAGGAGGACCACCTCTGGTGCAATTGTAAGGACCAACAGCCTCAAAGAAGAAAATAAAGAGTATTCAGAAAAGAGCTTGTGGATTCCATTTGAAGCTCACAAGCAATCCAACTGGGATGGCCCCATTGTAGACCGAGTAGCGGCAGTGTGCCTAGATGTTGCAACAACACCACGTGACCATTAGTCTCCTCAAAGCCGTAGCAGCTCCCCATGCGGGTTACTTCCTTTTAGCAACCCCATCGTCAGCAACTGATACAAATCTCACACTGCGGGGCCTACGAATTGCAATGGCTCTCCGCCTTGCTTCCCCAATCCACACATAATATTGGTAGGTGTACCAATAATGCTGTGAAATGTTGGCTGACAAGTACGACTAGAATGGTCTGCTCTGCCAAAGCACAGAGGAATGACTCTCAAGACAAAGTGAACTTAATGACATCATTAAATGGTCTTATTACATCTAGTTACCCAGCAGAGGTAGAGCCCCGTAACTCTGATGAGCTTCTTAGTCACGCAGACGGGATCACAGTGAACCCTTGGGAAAACAGAAGACAGTTGGTATGGTCCTACACATGCGTATGAACCTTGGCTAACACCTACACTGACTTCAGTGTTACACATCCGGAGGGAGCTGTCAACCACAGGGAACCAACCAAGTCCCATAAGTACAGAGATCTGGATCACCATTACAATATTCTCCCCATTGCTTCAGAGACACAGCGCCTGGGGTAAGAGTGTCACTAGATTTTTAAAGATCAGAGTTCTAAGCTAAGTAACAAGAGACCCTAGAGCCACCGGCTTCCTTTTCCAGCACCTCAGCGTGGCAGTACAGAGAGGAAATGCTCACTGCTTTCTGGGTTCCTGCCCGCCATGTGAGGAGTTGGAGGAACTCAAAAGCCTGAGACAACCATTTGTACCTTGTAACCAATGTTGTAACCCATTTTGTGTAATAAAGTTAATATATATATTTATATATATGTTGTTGAATATGACCGAAAGGGTAAGATTAATGATTCTAACACGAATTTTCTCAATATTTCTAAAGTTTTTTTCATTGTCGCCAGTGAAGAAAACTACGACAGTGAAGAATAACATAAGAAATATTGATAAGATTCGTGTTAGAATAATTAATCTTACACTGTGACGATCTTCCAGACAGAGATCGTCACAGCCCTCTTTCACCCGAGGCCGGCTCGGGTCATAGAGGGCCGTGACGATCTCTGGAACCCGTAGGTGCGGGGCGGGGGCGTCCACCTCCTGGGGCACATGCGGCCTAGGCTCTGCTTCAGGAGGCTGGCTTGCATTAGTAATTCTACCTTGGAGGGGGGTGTAGGACCCCGATATAAGCCGTATAATTTAGGCTTATATCTTCTAATAATTTGGAAGAACTATGGTAAGATTTATATGAACTTCTGTATTATTTAAAGAAACTATTATATAATTTTAGAGGGCAATTATATAATTTATGGGATATTGTATAACTACAAAATTTTGCTTGACGAATTTAACGGATGCAAAGTTATTTCGTTAGGTAATGCAAGGTTTATTTACGTGAGATTAGGCTATGTAAAGTTAGGTTTGGTAAGGCTAAGGTAGTCTAAGTTAGTGTATGATTTAGCATGGATAGATTGCGTTATTTTGTAGATTTTGGCAAGGATAGATTGAGAGTTTCCAACCCTCAGACACCACACAGACTTGAGCATTATGCCCGGTCCACCTCAAGGCTAGGCAGGTTTTCCTTCGCAACAGTCTAAACACCACGAAAACCGCTCGAAGCAATAACCCAGTAAACACGAAATCTGTCCACAACGCTATTTTCGACAATTGTTACTTTGAAACAAAGCAAAAAAGTTAACAAACGTTGTGGTTACTTCATGTGTATGAGGACACACCCGGAAAAAAAGGTGTTTAGAGCCTAGTCATTCAATAAATAAACACAGAATAGTTGCAAAGACAGTTTATTAAAGGGTTTTCCTATGTGGTGCTAACTGATAAAAATATTAGAAGAAAATATTGTGATAACAAAGTGAGTTTCCATAAGGATGCATTGTAAGCCAGATTATTCCAGATGCCCGTGTGGGAGGGACCAAGGAATGGGTCAGTGGCCGAGGGTGTATATAAGACCTCGCGCCCTGATGGGTCCATCACAGTCGTCTTGAAGCTCTCCTTACGCTGCCACTCTCTCGCTCAACATGAAAGTTGTAAGTACTTCCCATAAAGCCATTTTGCATCAGAGGTTTATATATATATACACACACAAAGAAGTATATTTCCCTTGACTGTATGTATACACTGACTATTATATTTTGCCTTGAGTTCTGTTCAGGACAAAAGTATACTTGCTGGTTGGTGAGTATCGTAGTGGCCTTAATAACCCTGCAGAGCTGATAGATCTGAAGATCAACATTAAACTAACCATCTTCTTTTCTATTTTGATCCTCTTAAAATTCTTCCAGCTTCTTCCCTCATCAGTAGAATAAAGCCCACCGTCATTATATCCTCCAAATAACAGTTTCTGCTTCATATGGCATCTTATACATGTTTTATAGCTCAGTCTAAACAAAAGTAGCCTAATCAGCAACTAAATCTTCCAAACTTATAAGAAGTCTGAAAAACAAATTAAGAATTTCCATTTCGGTGTATTTTTCTTTAAGAATTGCTTCTTATTTGTCTACTTTTTGGTATTAATGTTTCTGATGTTGCTATATTAATATAGGAATATCTGAATTTATGAAGGTCGTTCGTTATTGCATAAAAAATACAGCATCTACACTAAAATATAAATTAACAGAAGCTTAATGTTGCAGTTGTATCTAGTGTTGGTGGTGGCCCTGGCCGCCCTGATGGGGTCAGCCCGAGCTATGCCTGACCCCTACGCCCTGGCTGGCCCTGACCCCTACGCTGAGGCTGACCCCGCTGCTGACCCACACTGGCGACGCCGCTTCGGCGGTTTCGGCGGATTTGGCGGCTATGGTGGCTATGGTCGTGGCTTTGGAGGTTATGGTGGTTATGGATTTTATGGTTAATCGTGGACTGCGCCTTTCGTCTTCCGCCTGGACCACGACCTCCCACAACACCGTGCCGCGGTAGCTGACATTGGCAGATCAGTCGTGACTGAGGGAACGCGGCCAACCAACACTAACCTTCACCAACACGCACCATAACGGGGTCTTCAAACACGCCCTCAATGGCTGTTGGATCGTGGGCATTATATAGTTTATCAATTAGCACAATAAAAATAATCTCAATAAGTATTTTCCTTCTGATCCTACAACACACGGAATGTGAGGTATAAGGTTACAATATATTTATGTAGCCAGGGAACAGGTACAAAAATTTACAGATTAGTTAGCAATACAGCAACAGTATGGCTACAGCAATAGAGCTTAACTTATGAGAGGAAACATGTATATTTGAATATACATCACATATGTATTGAAGAACATTTGGAGAACACGACTATGACCAATATTATCAAGTTAACTTTTTCAAGATGACAGGGGAGGTCAGATGAAACGACCACGTGTTTATTAAGGAGAACCAGAGACTTGTTTATTTGACCTGGTCGTCAAGCCCACACTTGACCTGGTCAAGACCACACTTGACCTGGTTGACAAGACCTCCATGATCAATCAGATGTGTGATTAATTCCCTGTACAAATTACCAGTTGAGTCCCGTAAAGGTAGCAGATAAGTCATATAAAGTTAGTGGTTGAGACTTGAAGAGTTATCTTCTCTGAATATTTCCTTAAAATATGTTTCCTAAGTTATAGTTTCCTTACAGTGTACAGATATTTCTAACAAAATCAGAGTCACCTTCACGCAAACTGCACATACCGTCAAGAAGAAGAAATAATTAGAGTGACCATTTTGGGTTCAAGAATACACTACCATGAACCTCTGATACTGCTCCTGCTTCTGCTGCTGCTGGTGCTGCTGGTGCTGCCTCTGCTGCTGTTGCCTCTGCTACTGCTGCTTCTGCTGCTGTTGCGTCTGCTGCTGCTGCCGTTGTTGACATGAGAGAGAGACATGACAAGTCTCTCTCCCCCTCTCTCTCTCATTAATACCTGAAATACGTTGTGGGAGAGAGAGAGAGAGACAGAGACAGAGAGTGAGAGAGAGAGAGAATGAATCCCTGAGGCGCAACACAAATTTGACCATCATACCAAATCCAGTGAGCCACCTGAACTCTCAAGGCCATGGAGGACACAATCCCGAAAAAAACCTCCTCGAGAACAGGTTCGTATTCAGGGCATCCCCGAAATTAGCCCGGAAGAACCACGCCCGAAATGTTCCTGTATGCAGCACGTTTAACTATAATGAAACAAATATCCTAGCAAGGAAAGAATTGTTTTTGTCTGTGTGCTTTAAATGGTTAACAAATAAGGTACAAGATGTAAGTAAAGATGGGTATGGTGTCCACTACCACCTATAGGATGGGTATAGAGTGCATAATTCCTGATGGGTCAATACAGTATACATGAAGCCCTCGTCTCTACTACTACTCTGAAAGTTCAAGCACTTCCTTGAACAGAATCTTCTGTCTTGATCCTCAAGTCGAGCACCCTCATTCAAGTTTTAAGTTCACTCAGGTTTCCTCAACAAAGTCATCTTAGCTGAATGTCCCAACACAACAGAATAGATTTATCTATTCTGGTCTGTAACACCAATTCCAGCATCCTTTACCACCAACCACATCCACTGCAGAGCCCGTCCTCTCCAACCAAGGTTTTCATGACGAAACCACTACATCCAGGTGAACCTGAACCTACTGACCTACGACCAGGTCAGGAGGCCTGGTCGACGACCGGGCCGCGGGGACGCTAAGCCCCGGAAGCACCTCAAGGTAACCATCCATTGCCTGTATACTGAATTAGGCCCCACTGAAAGTTTACATTAGTCCTAGGCTTTTTTCAAGACTAATGTCTTTTTGCTGGTTGGTGGGTAACCACTTGTGTGGCCTTAATCTAATAGAGGTTGAGAGACCTTAATACTTCATGGCAACCAATTGCAATTATTGTGACTATGATAAAATGTTTATTTAAGTGTTTAGCATTACGCGAATTTTAGTGCGCGTTAAGTGCATAATGAGACTATTTATTGAGCATGCAATTATCAACCGTATTTACATGTGAAATACAGGCGAGATTACAAATTAGAATTTTGTTTATGTCATTTGACTTGTCATTCCCACTCTAATTCTTTATGCACATCAGTTTAGACGCTTTCAGCAACAGCGTACGAAATGCGGTGCTTTAGTGGAATCTATCAGAAGAGGAAATTCCTAGGCAGAGTATTGACACGTGTTGGTGAAGCTGTGAGAAGCCTCATGTCAGCTCCTGCTTGAATTGATGAACCTACTTTCACGTAAATGTTTAACCCATACTCACACTAAATGTTTACTCCATATATATACTCACGCTAAATGTTCAACTCACTTTCATATTCAGTGTTCAACACTGACTCTTAAATGTTCAAAACCATCATCACGCTAATATCAAGCCAGCCTCACACTAAATGCTGAATCCAGATTCACAGTTAGTCCCCACATGAGATAGCCATTCCAACCTCACACTAAGTGTTCAACCCATCCTCACATTAATGTATACCTCGCTGTATAAGCTCTAGTCTACGAATGTAAACCAATTAAATTAATAGTTCCAGAGCCATCCCTGCATCTTATGACGATATAAGGAAAATTTAAGTGCAGGTAATTTGCCCTGTGAGTGTCTTGATATGACCTTGTGACCTTGGGAGTGATTAGCTGTGACTTCATCAGTCACTTACATACAGCTTGCTACACTCACACACACACTGGTGTGTATACACCGAGAGGTGTGTGTATTCTGCATTATTTGTGTTGAAGGAAAATACTGACCACTATTTTGCAACCACTATTGCTAAAACAAATCCTCCATGAGTGACTTAAACATGTTATTAAAATTCTTTAATTCACAGTTTTACGCTTTATTTTCCCCACACTAATAATCAATGCATAAGTATCAACAGTGCAACTACCTAACAACCGTTAATGACACTTAAGAGTAGATGAGAAGCGTAGGATGCGGTTCTTGGAAGAGCTTGTGGTTGGAGGTGCTGGTAGTTGTGGTAGCTTGTGGTTAGAGGAGTGGGTAGTTGCTCCAACCAACACATCCTGGAGGTTGTGGTCTCATGGTTGTAAACAGAGATTTCCGGGTTATATTTTAGTGAAACTAATATATAGATCATCGCCATCTCAGCTCACGGCTTAGCCATAGAAACCAAACCGACGGCGACCGAATCCACCGAATCCACCGAATCGTCTGTATCCACCATATCCACCGTATCCTCCGAATCCTCCGTATCCACCGAATCCACCGAAGCCACGACCATAACCATATCCACGGTGGCGTCTGAACCAAGGATCAGCTTCGGGGTCGGCATCTGGATTGGCATCTGGATCGGCCACGGGGTCAGCAAGGGGTTGGGGACCAGGATCTGCTACAGCATTGGGGTCAGGGTCAGCCAGGGCGTAGGGGTCAGGCATAGCAAGGGCTGACCCCATCAGGGCAGCCAAGGCCACCACCAACACCAACAACAGCGAAAACTGCAATGTTTCAAAATACAGTGACATTGAATTAATGCTACAAGAGGACGATACGGATTTCATAATATCAGAAGAGAGCACTAATTTTGTATTTTTTCCAAGGAACTAACTTTCTGTAATGTGTTTAATGGGTTTCCTGACATTTTGATAATTAATTCCTTTAGTCCTCCCTCTCGTGAGATAAAATTTTGCCCGTGAGGGATAGCCTAAAATATGTCAGAAATACAGGTTTTTTTCTACCACAGACGTGGCCACACATTTACAGTGCTAATCAGGATATATACATTTTCTTCTGTCCTCCATGGACAGGGTTAGAGATGTGTTAAACATATAGTTCAGGGGTTTATTGAACAATCAACCACAGAAGGTGATTCGGTGATTTTGAAATGCTAAGCTAACTTACATACGTAAATACATAAATACACAGATTTACGTATGCCCTACATAAAGTGTTAGATGTGTCTTTTACATAGTGTCATTAATGTGAATTTAGAAAGGCGAAATGTAATTCTGATCAGTGATTACCTGGATGTTGTAGTGTATATGAGTAGGCCTACATGTGTATTTGAGTGTAACTCTTCATGTGACGGTGTATATGTATAGGCCTACAAGGGTATGTGTGTGTGTAAACCTACACCTGGAGGGTGTATAGGCTTACATGTGAGCACAAGCCTACATGTGTATGTGTAAGTAAGCCCACATGTGAGTGTACATGTCTGTTTGCTTACATAATATCAGAATTAAGTTCACACTTAGATATGAACTTAAATACCCATATGACATACAATATAAAAAAAATTAATGAAACTTGGATAAAAAAAGATATTAACACGTATTGAAGGTAAAATTTTTTAATGTTATTAGAACACATGAAAACTAAATTTGGGACTTTTCATGCCGAATTGGACTTACGAGGTTCAGCAACTTGCAAGACCAGTGAGGAGGGAAGTAGGACTGGAGGTGGTACTTACACTCTTCATGGCTTCAGAGGGCTTGTCAAGCTGCCTGGTGACGAATAGTCGAGCTGCCTGGTTAAGGATAGTCGAGGTGCCTGCTACAAGCTCACTGTTCTAACTTAAGGGGGTGGACGCCCTTTATATATCCACCTGTGGTGTTGGTGGGTCACCCACCTCTTGACTCCGCCCACTAATCCTTCCCATCAACGAACAACAACATAAACGTATATATGTATTCATGTTTACGGGAAAAACAAAACAATTACTCTATTACAACTCATCCGCATGTGATCTACTTCGATAATAATTCGTACACGAGTGAAATACACTATTGTATTTGGTGTATTAGTGAGGATAACGCAGGGACAGCTTGACAGGAAAGGCGCTGCAGTTTGGGACCAGTTCCGGGGTTGTTCAACCTGGAGATTGGCGGGGAGGGGGGAGGAGGTTCTGTAAGACAAGGGACAGGGGTAGTGCATTGGGGGGGGACTGGGAAAGTTTATGAGATAAGGGGGGGGGAGAGGAAGTAATGGGGAATTGGAGTGTGGGAAGGAAAGGGAACTATCAGGAGAGAGCTCCATGTAATTACAACTATGTAGCACTTGGAAGGGATCAGGATAAGGATTTGAGATGGAATTTGGGGGGGGGGGAAGGAATGGTGAAGCTAATGGGGAGGTCAGGGGAAATTAAGAGATTTGACATTGAAATTGAAATAAGTTCATTGAGGTATAAATACACACAAAGGGATGAGGTAGCGCTAGCTATTCTCACCCCGTTCAGTACACCGTGTTCATACGTATAGACACACAGCACAAACAATAAGCATATTACCGAACATTCTGAGTGATAAACATATACATTTCTTTAAGAGGTTTGGGAAATATAAATGGGATGGTTGGGAGGGAGGACAGCAAAGAAGAACGAGTTGGAGTTGAGACCGAATTAAAATGATAATTATCAAGCTTCAAGAACATTAAAGAGATGAAAGCCTAGCCTGTTCTTAGGCTTTTGACAAGCTTTGAATCTGAACAGACCTGCGGCACATTCACCAATATTAACGCACTGTGTATTCACAATCGGTAGTTGTTTTTTTTTAATAAATTAGTGTTATTATATATTAAAAATTTGTGTACATAGCTCAGGTTTAGTTAGGTAAAGTGTTTAGGTTCTGTTGACAATTAGTTCAGCGTGTTCTCAGGCCATGTTCATTCAATCCAGTGGCCAACCTACTTGACGCATTCATCAATGCATGCTGTTCGTGTACAATAGTAATTCTCTCAAATATAAATTTAAATTATTATATATTAGCATGTTTTGCATATTTAAGCGTATGTTCAGGTTCTGTTGGCAATTAATTGTAACTCAACCTGTCCTCAGGCCAGGCTCGTTGAAGCTGCGGTTGTCAAAACCCGTTTTCAGGCCAAGTCCATTCCATCCTGCGGTCGACCCCAAGGACGCATTAATCAATTTTAACATGCTGTTCACTCAAAATAGGAATTTTCTCATATATAAATTAATATTATTATTATTAGCATACGTTCATATTTAGCCATTGATTAGGCTAGGTGTTTAGGTTCTGTTGAGGATTATTTGTATTTGTAGTACGTTGGTGAAACATTTACAGCGTTGTGATTCGAACAAAAGTCGTCAGCGAAACGCATGTTCCGGAAGTGTTCGGACGGCATCAGTTGTGATTCGTGTGTAAAGTGTAATAAACATGGGGTTTGGCGGCTGAATTAACGAGCATTTTGCCTCTGTTTATGAGAACGAGTTATTCTTTTGATAATTACTTAATTAATTAAATAGAAACACATGAATTAGAACAGTAGCATGCTTGATTGCCCGTTCTCTAGGCGGGTGTAACATAAACAAGGAATTGGGTAATTGGACAATATCAGGGGTTGAATTATAACATAATTTAATATAGTTGGCTCCAGAGCTAATGGTTGGGTGACGAGGTTAAGGAACAGGTGGCAGGAACGCACTGTGGGAGCGACACTTAAGGTGGGTGCAGCCGTTGTCAGGCGTGTCATTGGTTATGAGTGAAGCTATTAACAGAAGCATGGCTGTTGTCTGGAATGTTGCTGTCAGAAGTGTAGATGTTGTCAGGTGTGTGGCAAGTTAGGAGTGTAGCTGTTGTCATTGGGCGTAGCTGTCTTGCCTTGGCTAGGCTTCATTCTCTGCGTCCGCTCCTCGTCTGCTCTCAGAGCAATACAAACGTTTGCAATTCCGCTATTGACAGGAACGAACAAACCTCACAACACCCGTCACAGATGGTGAGTAAGCTTAGATTATCCATTGCTAGCAGCACCATCAAGTATGCTTACCCACGTAACTACCAGTTTCACATACTCGTCATTTAGATGAATTAGTCTGTCAATATTACATATTCTAACAGTGGGCTCTTAACTAAATTCAGTTATTTCGTCCTGCGGTGAAATAAACTATTTTGTACACACACATCTCAACTATCATGGAGTGAGGAAGCTACACTACTCGTAACAGCTCCCCATACTCATCCTATAGGTAGTAATTTATTATGCACCCCGTACTCAGGTGAGTACGGATGAGTACTATGAGCAGTAGTTTATTGGATTATTTATTAACCTTATTGCCTTCACTAAATAGGTTCCCGTATAATGAAAATTCTAATTAGAAATATGCGTTTATTTTGTACACTCTTTTTGTTGCTCCTTGCATGTACTGAGCAACCGGTATACAGCCACCAAGCATCTCATGGAGGGACTTCTGGTAATGATGAGTACATAATGGATGCTGGATTCTTGGTTAGAGTTGGATACTAAATGATGGAGGATCCTAGAGCGGCTGGTAGTAGATGAGACTGGTAGATGAATAGGTTGGTACCTAGTAGTGAGGAATGTGACTCATTACAGCGTACCAAATATATGATTCTGTCTTCGATACGAGGCTTGAAGTACTGTTCGTCTCTCCAAGAATATTTTGAAGGTTGTCTCTTATCCTAATGGGGGGTCCTAGCCTGGCGGAGATCGTCCCCTTCACAACACGCGTCTTAACCGTAGATTCCGTACTGACGATGAGGATATATCGGCCGGTGTAGCAACCCTAAACCGACGCCGTAACGTCTATGATGTACTCTGATTCCCGGAGCATAACCGAACCCGGGAGCGTATCCGAACCCGGGTCTATGGCCAAATTGAGGGTCAGCCAGAGCGTTGGGGTCAGGCATGGCCCTGGAGGACATAATCAGGGAGGCCAGGGTCACCACCACGGCGACCATCACCAGAGACACCTGTGAGTATAGAAAACAAATGTTGACTCATATATATAAAGGTCAAGTTGAGAACATGTTTATTATTTGGTAATGAGATGGTAAATTTAAAAGATACTTCTATTATATGTACTTTATTTCCCCCTCCTGACACGTTTGCTTCAATTCTGATATAAGGAGAAAAAATAATATAGTTATTCATACATATGAATACATCTTAATATAAATCAATCGTTGCAGTTAAGACCTCTTTTACTTTTCAGCCTCTTTTACGCTCAACGTTGCAGCCTAGCTGAAAGCAAACAGATTTCACAACACAAATTATGCTCATGGCATATTAATATAAATAAATGTTAATACTTTATAATTAGTTATGATGTTTGGGTTATGATGTCCTCTACATCATGATCAGATGTTAGTTATGACGTTGCAATTCACCGTATGGATGCGGCGAACCAATAGCACGAGGCTAGAGTTATAAGTACCTAGTATCCCATAATATCGTAAATGGGGAGAACAATAGGCTTGGGAACTCATCGCTGTAAAACGTCGTACCACGACCCATAGAATCGTCTTCACATCGTGGGATCACACCTACCCGAGCCCCAGGAGCCAAAGGCAGGCTCATATGACTGTTGGTGTTGAGTTCAAGGCTTATCTGGAGGGTTATTAAGTCCACCACAATTACTTGCTGGTCAGCCGACAAGTATATTTTAGTCCTAAACATTGCCCAGTGTATTTTCACAGAGAAGCAGGGTACACACAGAAATGCGATGGAATCTAGAAATAATAACTGGGAATGGAAATAGCAGGCGAGTTACCGTAATGTTTGATGCGTTGGGGGTTATGTGAAACAAAGCTTAATTTATATTGGAAGTGAGCTTGAAGCGTGGGATGAGATGAAGAAGGGGGAAGGATTTTTTTTATCTCTTAGGCTGATGTCCGAATGATTCTAAAGTATACATATTTGATGAGTAGTGGTGGTAATTATGGTAAACCAAACTGGAAAACGGTGAAAATCGAATTTCAATAGGAATAATGTTAGTATTGTAGAGCCTATCACATGCCTTTGTATGACTAACCATCCTGCGTGATGGGGATTTTTTTAGCATCACGTAATTAGCTTTATTGACACACTGTACTCCACTTCATATAGTCTAGGGCAGATGCACAAATGCAGATGTACCTCACGTATTATTAAAAAAAAAAAAATTGTGGCGGGAGCCAGATTCAAAGTGCCCGCCGGAGGGAGGGTTTTATCTTGAAGGTGAAGCTGCGCCCTGATTGGTGGATGGCAGCCGGGCCCGGGAAAGCTGCGCCGTGATTGGTGGATGGCAGCCGTGCCCGGGGGAGCTGCGCGCGCCGCTAGCAGAAGACACCAACATCCAGGGCTGACGACTACGACTCCACTTCCCCGCTGTATTTTTGGGTCTGTATCAACTTGCTGGCTGTAATTGGGGGGATTCGCCTGCCTCTCCTCAGCCCCTACTTACCTCGGAAGCCTCGACTCGCTTCTGTTCCCACCTCCGAAGGCTACAGACTCAAGAGGTGAGCCTCCGTCGTTTCATAAACAAGTTGGTTGATGTGTACCAACAATCCATAAAGTACATAGGAATCAAAATAAAGTAATAGTGACGGACATAAAAGGAAATTGGGCTGTGAGAAATGGGAATAAATAGAGAATGAGAAAACAGGAATGCACAAAGAAGCCCCCTAGAAGTGATTGATCAGTTTTAGTACTGTATATAGAGTGTCATTGAGGAAATTGGAATTTGTTGAGGTTGAGAGTAATTATGTGCCTATGTAACCCTTTCCACTACCGCCCACAAGATGGGTACGGGGTGCATAATAAATGAACTAAACTAACTGAGAGGAGTCTGATAAAGTAGGCCGGGTAAGTCTACTGGAAGCCTTCTTTAGGAAGAACAAGATATTCATATCTCCAGGAACTACTTCCTTTCTTAGAGAATATTACACAAACTATCTGGGACAATATTTGATATTTGATACCAAGGGTTAAAAAATGATCAGAAAACATTTCGATACGAAACGTAATTCCTCTCTCCAAACCGCATGTATGATAAATATAACATTAAGAGGCAGATTAACCTAATTCTTATTAAGAAAACAATACGTTGAACAAAAATGTTTTCTTGATGGGGGGGGGGTCTGTTGTACAGTAAGGTTCGTTCTCGATTCACAGTCTGGGAATTCCAGGTTCGAATCCCGGTCGGACAGAAATGGTTGGTCGAGTTTCTTATCACCAAATACTGCTATTCATTTATCAGTAAATAGGTAGCAGTAGTCCTAGTAAAAATAATGGTAGTATGTGAAGGTAGTTGTTGTACCCGAACGGGTAGCACTGTTCCCGAACGGGTAGCACTGTACCCGAACGGGTAGCACTGTACCCGAACGGGTAGCACTGTACCCGAACGGGTAGCACTGTACCTGAACGGGTAGCACTGTACCTGAACGGGTAGCACTGTACCCGAACGGGTAGCACTGTACCCGAACGGGTAGCACTGTACCTGAACGGGTAGCACTGTACCTGAACGGGTAGCACTGTACCCGAACGGGTAGCACTGTACCCGAACGGGTAGCACTGTACCCGAACGGGTAGCACTGTACCTGAACGGGTAGCACTGTACCCGAACGGGTAGCACTGTACCTGAACGGGTAGCACTGTACCCGAACGGGTAGCACTGTACAAAGTGGTGCTGGTGCTATGGTATTAGTAATCGGTAATAGCAGTTATACACGGACTATCTTAAACTATATTCTAATTCTAAATGTTAAATTTTGCAACAGTAACTTAGAGAAAAAAGATAAATTCTAGTACACTGAGAGCCTATTGTCAATTATCTAAATTTGCGATACCATTAGACTGTTGATGTAGAAGTTAACGAACATTTAACTATCTCATCAATTTTTTAACTTTAGTTACACGAATTTTAAGATCCTGTTTCTGCGCCTATTATGTGATTCTCTTACATTTTCTACTAATACTCACTGGATGGGTTTGGTGTCGACTACCATTCATAGTATTGGTATGGAGTCCACTACCACTAACAGGATTGGTATGGGGACAACTACTACTACTCATATGATGGGTATGGGGTTTACTACCACTCACATGATGGATATGGGGTTCACTACCACTCACATGATAATTATGGGGTTTACTACCACTCACATGATGGATATGGGGTTCACTACCACTCACATGATAATTATGGGGTTCACTACCACTCACATGATAATTATGGGGTTCACTACCACTCACAGGATGATTATGGGGTTCACTACCACTCACATGATAATTATGGGGTTTACTACCACTCACATGATGGATATGGGGTTCACTACCACTCACATAATTATGGGGTTCACTACCACTCACATGATAATTATGGGCTTCACTACCACTCACATGGGGGGCCATGGGTGCACTCTCACTTACAGGATGGGTATAGGGTACACTACCATTCACAGAATGTATATGGGGTTCACTACCACTCACAGCAATGATATGGGGTCCACGACCACTCACAAGATTGGAACGGGGGTGCACTACCACTCTCAGCATGGGTATTGGGGTACAGTCTGCCAGCACATATATGGTCAGCTGTTGTCAGAGACAGACACCTGCTAGGCTTATCCAGTTTTACATGCCGGAGAGGCTATAGTGGGGAGGCTACCCACCTCCCCACTATTAATTACTTGCAAAACTGAAATGGCCTTGGGCTTGAACTGCGCGTAGATTACCGAGGCCCGTGACTAGTTTATTGACGAAACAGCAAGTATACTTTAATGCTGATCATAGTCTAGGAATAAGTAAACTACGTGTTTAATAATTACACCGAGAAAGGGGTAATATATTCACCTTTCGGTGAATATAATGTCTGTAATTGAACGGTTTGGTTTATTGTTGAACTTAAGGGATGTCAATCTCTGGAAGGTTATTAAGGCCAGCACAATAGTTTACTGAGCAACTAGCAAGGACTAAAGTAAATTCTCAGTGAGAAACAGGAGTGTATATATATATATATATATATATATATATATATATATATATATATATATATATATCTTGACTAAACCATGTTGAACGGACTGAACCAGCCTTCTTGAGGTTATCTTGAGATGATTTCGGGGCTTTTTAGTGTCCCCGCGGCCCGGTCCTCGACCAGGCCTCCACCCCCAGGAAGCAGCCCGTGACAGCTGACTAACTCCCAGGTACCTATTTACTGCTAGGTAACAGGGGCATTCAGGGTGAAAGAAACTTTGCCCATTTGTTTCTGCCGCGTGCGGGAATCGAACCCGCGCCACAGAATTAAGGAGCCGTAGGAGCCGTAGGAGCCTGAGGGCTCCTACGGATCACTTTGCGAACAGCAGCAGCTTAAACTGATCGTTTAGGGTCATAAGTTTGCACTTCATGGTAAGACAAATTATTTCGTAAAAAAAAAAAATAAATCAAAATAGCTGTTTCAGCTGGCATAATAACTGTAATAATACTGCTGTAATTCAAATAAATTGAAAAAATTAAAATTGAATTTTTATGCGGGATTGATAAATATTGGTCAACATTATCTGAAAACTGCCCGAGGTACTCACAACCTTCATGATGTGTCTCGGTCGAGAAATAGTAGAGGTGCCTGTTTCAACGTTTACTGATGACCTAACCAAGAGTTGTTCCTTATATATGGTCGTCTCCCCCCCCCCCCATAGACTCCGCCCACAAGCCCTCCCTCAACGGTAAAGAAGAAACTGGTTTATCCGTAATGTCCTCCATAATGTAATTACAGACTGAATATATTCCGTCATATCACCAAATAATGGCGCAAGGGAAGTAATTTCAGCATTAGCGTAGAGAAAGTCCCTTCATCTCATAACACTAGATTTTACAGTGTACAACATAACGTTGTTTCTGAAATAGGACGGTGTTCTGTGAATACCAATCAGAAGTTAGAGGCGTGTTGGGAGGTTCTGGTGGGGGAGTTAGCCCATTGGGGGGGAGGCTGAGATGCCGGGTCTGGCTGGGTGGCTGGCTGGCTGGCTGGCTGGCTGGTAGGTAGGCATAGGTGGTTGGAGGGCTGTGTAATAATGGTGAAGGTCACGAACCTCTGCTAATGCTATCCATCAAACTAAACTTTATCTATCCACCCATCATCCCGGCCCACGCTGCCTCATGTACTTCAAGTGCGAGTGCTATTGTGTGTTATTATCTATGGTCCTGTTCGCATAGGAAGCATTAAAGAATTGGTATTCTGTGGCGCACTGTTAATTTTACCTTCGTTACGAGGCTGCTAAGAACAGAGGTTGCTGAGGACAGGAGTTGCCAGGGGCAGGAGAAAAACTCTGACCCTATTAAAAGTATTTTTTTATTTATTTATATATATAAAAGAGTTCTTACATTCTTATACAGCCACTAGCACGCATAGCTGTTTCAGGCAAGTATTGTTCTCAAATAAAATATGCGACTATAACACGATTATTATTACTTGTAATTATTTCACTAAAAGGCAGTTATTCGAGTTTTGAGGCTAAATATAAAGTATGAGTTAGAAACATTGCTACTGAAATGTGGAGGTGTTTTAATCTTCTCTTTCACGCTCTCTTTCCCCACTCCCACACCATTGTCTGACTGTCCTCTACTTCCACCACTCTCTTTCAAACAAAAATAAAAACAGTAGGCCTACTGCTCGTCTCGTAATATCTTATCTGAATCTGTCCCAGTCCTGGACTTCTCGTTGACAGTCGCTCTTCCCAGCCCAGCGTCCTAAAAGTGCTTAGAGCAATTATGTGGCCGAAAGTACAAATTTGTCGCGATAGACCGCCAGAAAGTAGACTTTTGTAGTATTGAATTTGGACGAATTGGAATTTTTTAATAGCAACATAATTATAAAACCTAATCAAACTTACGATAACCTCTCCTAGCAGTCATAGAGCTATCTGAGGCCTAATTTATTACATATATATATATATATATATATATATATATATATATATATATATATATATATATATATATATAGATATATATATATATATATATAGATATATATATAGATATGCTATACTAGGCCCAGGAAAATTTAGGTTTGGCATTTATCTTTGTTTTTCCGGACTCTATAAAAAATACAAAAAGTGGCTTACTGTATTTCCTTTACTACATATTGGTACTTTCGAGTTACAAAAAGAAACTATAATTTCATGAGAATAGGTTACTCTTCCTCGCCTGAGGAAGGGCGCCTGACAGCTGAATGGACAGCGCTTCGGATTCGTAGTCCTGAGGTTCCGGGTTCGATCCCCGGTGGAGGCGGAAACATATGGGCATAAAGTTTCTTTCGCCCTGATGTCCCAGTTACCTAGCAGTGTACCTGGGTGTTAGCTGCTACGGGCTGCTTCCTGGGGTGTGTAACAAAAATGAGGCCTCGTCGAGGACCGGACCGCGGGGACTCTAAGCCTCGAAATCAAACCTAACCTAACGAAACCTAAAGCGAAACCTAAAGAAACCTAAAGCCTCAAGATAACCTCCTCCTAGTCGAGACAGCCTCCAGACAGTTGGGACTAGTCTGCATCATTACGAAATAAATTCAGGGAAGCGTAGCCTAATATCCGAGAATAACATGATAGAAAACGAACCTGGTTTGAGAATACCAGTTTTTCCTTCATGGGACTGATGGATGAGGCGTTTGTGTACACCAGACTGTTTAGGTAACGAAGCGTTGACCCTGGCGTTCCCCGGATCACGGAAAAAAATAGAACTGGTTTCCATGTGCCGATGACAATGATCAAAATAACAAGGTTTCCGCCCTTGGAGAGGGCGGAAATCTTGTTTCGCGTTGGAGATTAACTCGTCTTCTCAACAAATATGTTGCGTTTTATATGTTTTTTGATGTTTTATATGTTTGTTCGCTGGGGATTTTGACGTCAACACGTGGTGTACTTGGCGGGGTAGCTCCAATTGTGCTCAAATTAAATATCCATTTCTAAAGTTTTTAATTTATCTAACGTTAATAAGGATAAGGGGAGGATTGTTAAGAAGGATTAGGACGTTAGAGAAGAGGAGGCGAGTGTTGTGGAGGGGGAAGCAGGGATAGACGGAAGAGAAGAAATGCGTTTATTAGATTATTATTATTAACATCTTTATTGACAAAATTAATTACAATTTTGCCTAATCTGAGGATTTTGATAGTCTTATTAAATTGAGGTTAATGCTAGTATTCACTGTCACGCAGGACAGAGGGTCATACATAAGACAATAGGCCTAAACTGTAGGCTGAAGCACATATATATCACGGTTACAATCAATGTTTTAATGTGTGGATATGTGAAAACAACTTTCTATTGTGCACTGCCACACAAGGGCAGGGATGGGTTCATAAGTGATACAGCTTAGAATATAAGTAGAAATTGTTCTTCATTCTTTAAAATGGACAAGCAAATTTTGGGTAAATTGTTAGGATGTCGTCCAGAACACCTGAGTCAATAAAATAGTTACACAGTTGGTGGTACAATAGGCCAGGAGGTCTAAAGTCCTTTACGGTTTCACATTCATCAATATAGTGTTCTAGTGAATGCATTAAAGGTTTATCACAGAGTTTACAATCTGAATATTCTGGTAGTGGCTCAGCCTCACTAACCTGCCAGATGTGTCTATAGCCAAGGCGAATTCGCGCAATTACTACATCACATTGCCTGGTCCGGTTACTGTGCTGACCATACAAATACCTATTATTACAGAACTTGTCATAACTTTTAATACTGCAGCTTTCAGGTCTCTGTGCATTTCTTAGTTCTTCTAGAAGAAAACTCCACTAGGGGTGGAGAAAGGGGGCGAAGGGGGGAAGGGGGGTAGAAGAGAAGGGCGATAGGGTGGGTACGGTCAGGTGAAGAGGGTATGTGGATAATTGCGCTGAGAAAGGGAGAAGAAACATAAAAATACATTTGAAATAGACGAGGAGCGTTCATGAAGCCTGGAGAAAAAAAAAAGAACGTTGGGAAGGCAATACATAGAGATGTTTTCTATGTATCGGCCTTATAGGTTAGGTGGGTTGCTTGGGTTCTTAGGTTACTAGTTAAGCAAAACAGTCGCATTATTTACGGAGTGGCAAATTGAGAGAACTGACTTGAAATGGGTCTCACTTGACAGTGAGACTTAAACGAAGTAGAATAACAAAACACAATCGATCAAAACACGATCAACGATTTGATCGATCAAAATTTGAACGATCAAAACACGATCCCTAATTGTCTTCCTTCTAGAAACGAGTTTTTCGGGTAATATCCTTCTTTCTGAAGCACATACATGCATTCCAGTAAGAACATTTTACTCTATGTATGAATATTTAGTTCTTTATTCTAGGTATGAATGTCGCTGTGTATATATGTTTTACTCTATAAATACCCGTGTTTGCTTTTATTCTATGTACGAATACCCTGGTATGTATATTTTACTCTATGGACGAATGTTGTAAACTACAGATATTATCACAGTTATCATCATCATCATCATTATCATCATTATCATCCTTATCATCCTGGTGTTACTAGCATTGTCTGAGACGGGTGAAAGAAACATAGTAGTAACTGCAGAGTTCCCACACACGGGAGCTGCACAAATGCAGATGTACCTAAATGTATTAATAAAAAAAACGTTTCTTGATGATATCCTCATAACACACCCAAATTTTGCCAGTGCAGACTAATCATCTTTGGGAGTTGAGCCTCTATATTTTTGTTTAGCATGACGTAGCTGGGTGTTGACACACCTCGTAACCCTTCATATACTGTAGGGTAGCTGGGTATGTGCAGGTGTACCCAAGTATGGTAAACAAACACGGATACCAACCCCTCCGTTGTACCAGCAGCCTATGTTCAAGGTATTACCACGGTATATTATTGTATTCCAGAGAAGTTTAGAAACAACACGTTTATAGATTACGGCTCTCGGTGGATCATTACTTGGTCTCTCTCTCTCTCTCTCTCTCTCTCTCTCTCTCTCTCTCTCTCTCTCTCTCTCTCTCTCTCTCTCTCTCTCTCTCTCTCTCTCTCTCTCTCTCTCTCTCTCTCTCTCTCTTCTCTCTCTCTCTCATCATCTGAAACCTTACCCTAAAACTCATTTATTTGATGTGCTTATTATTGGTGTCGATTAGGAATTAACTATGTTGAATGCTAAGTAACTATCATGTGAATGAACATTGTTTTGCTGGAAAAAATTCTTTTACAACAAAATAAGACATAATAGGTGGCGGCGGGTGACGTCAAAGGAAGTCGACAAGGCGCTCTGATCGTCGACTTCCTCTAGCACCATCTTCAACCAATTTTGTTCTTATTTCGTCATAAAATGAGCTTATTTCCGTTTAAAATGTTGTTCATCCATGTCTACATTCATTACCAATTTTCTAGTAAGAAAATTTGAGTTCTTATATAATTCTCTTAAGAAGTTTTAGACAGTTATATGTACCTTTGTGAATTCTTTCCCCTATTTTCCTAAAAGCTATTCTTATGGTTGTAAGTTTCGCATTACGGTGATGATACTGTTTTGTTACTTCTCTGAACATGTCGTGTCAGCGCAGCACGCAGATTCAGTGGGTCTTGTGCTCCCCTCCAAGTTCTCATCATATTGCATTTGTATGGGTTGAAGTCGAGGGGATATTTATTCGAATGTGTGTGTGTGTGTGTTTTCATCTAGTTGTTGTTGTATTCGCCTAGTTGTGCTTGCAGGGGGGGGGGGGGTTGAGCTTCGGCTCTTTGGTCTCGCCTCTCAACTGTCAGTCAACTGGTGTACAGATTCTTGTGCCTATCATATCTACATTTGAAACTGTGTATGGAGTCTGCCTTCACCACATTACTTCCTAATGCATTATATTTGTTAACTACCCTGTGTGTGTGTGTGTGTGTGTGTGTGTGTGTGTGTGTGTGTGTGTGTGTGTACTCACCTAGTTGTGTTTGCGGGGGTTGAGCTCTGGCTCTTTGGTCCCGCCTCTCAACCGTCAATCAACAGGTGTACAGATTCCTGAGCCTATCGGGCTCTGTCATATCTACACTTGAAACTGTGTATGGAGTCTGTGTACTCACCTATATGTACTCACCTATATGTGCTTGCAGGATCGAGCATTGACTCTTGGATCCCGCCTTTCTAGCTATCGGTTGTTTACAGCAATGACTCCTGTCCCATTTCCCTATCATACCTAGTTTTAAAAGTATGAATAGTATTTGCTTCCACAACCTGTTCCCCAAGTGCATTCCATTTTTCTACTACTCTCACGCTAAAAGAAAACTTCCTAACATCTCTGTGACTCATCTGAGTTTCCAGTTTCCACCCATGTCCCCTCGTTCTGTTATTATTACGTGTGAACATTTGATCTATTTCCACTTTGTCAATTCCCCTGAGTATTTTATATGTCCCTATCATATCTCCTCTCTCCCTTCTTTTCTCTAGTGTCGTAAGGTTCAGTTCCTTCAGCCGCTCTTCATATCCCATCCCTCGTAGCTCTGGGACAAGCCTCGTCGCAAACCTCTGAACCTTCTCCAGTTTCTTTATGTGTTTCTTCAGGTGGGGGCTCCATGATGGCGCGGCATACTCTAAGACGGGTCTCACGTAGGCAGTGTAAAGCGCCCTAAAAGCTTCCTCATTTAGGTTTCTGAATGAAGTTCTAATTTTCGCCAGTGTAGAGTACGCTGCTGTCGTTATCCTATTTATATGTGCCTCAGGAGTTAGATTGGGTGTCACATCCACTCCCAGGTCTCTTTCTCGAATCGTTACAGGTAGGCTGTTCCCCTTCATTGTGTACTGTCCCTTTGGTCTCCTGTCACCTGATCCCATTTCCATAACTTTACATTTACTGGTGTTAAACTCCAGTAGCCATTTCTCTGACCATCTCTGCAGCCTGTGTAAGTCCTCTTGGAGGATCCTACAATCCTCGTCTGTCACAACTCTTCTCATTAATTTTGCGTCATCTGCAAACATTGACATGTATGATTCCACTCCTGTAAACATATCATTTACGTAAATTAGAAAGAGGATTGGTCCCAGCACCGATCCTTGAGGTACTCCACTTGTTACTGTTCGCCAGTCCGACTTCTCGCCCCTTACCATTACCCTCTGGCTCCTTCCTGTTAGGTAGTTCTTCACCCATACTAGGGCCTTTCCGCTTACTCCTGCCTGCCTCTCAAGTTTGTATAGCAGTCTCATGTGCGGTACCGTATCAAAGGCCTTTTGGCAGTCAAGAAATATGCAGTCTGCCCAGCCTTCTCTGTCCTGCCTTATCCTTGTTACTTTATCATAGAATTCTAAAAGGTTTGTTAGGCATGATTTCCCTGTCCAGAACCCATGTTGGTGCTTGTTTACAAACCCAATGCTCTCCAGGTGCTCAACAAGTCTTAGCCTAATTATTCTTTCGAGTATTTTGCAGGGGATGCTTGTCAGTGATACGGGTCTGTAGTTAAGTGCCTCCTCCCTATCCCCCTTTTTGAAAATCGGTACGACATTTGCCTCCTTCCAGCAACTGGGCAATTCTCCCGACATAAGTGACTCATTGAAGATCATTGCCAAAGGCACGCTGAGAGCCTGCGCTGCCTCTTTAAGTATCCACGGTGATACTTTGTCTGGTCCAACAGCTTTATTTGCATCCAGTGTTGTCAACTGTTTCATTACATCCTCTGCTGTCACCTCTATATCTGATAGTCTTTCATCTTGGGTAATCTCTTCTAACAATGGGAGCTGCTCAAGCTCGGTAGTGAACACTCCATGGAATTTTGCATTCAGTACCTCGCAGATTTCCTTGTCGCTTTCTGTATATGCCCCTTCTGTTTTCCTCAGTCTTGTCACTTGGTCATTTACCGACATCTTCCTTCTTATATGGCTATGTAGTAATTTTGGTTGCTTTTTCGCTTTGACTGCAATATCGTTCTCATAATTTCTTTCCGACACTCGTCTTATGTTAATGTAATCATTCCTAGCTCTGTTACATCTAATCCTGTTGTCCTCTGTCCTTTGTCTTCTGTACTTCCTCCACTCCCTCCTGCTTCTCACCTTTGCTTCCTGACACTGTCTATTAAACCATGGGTTATTATATTCCCTCCTGCTTTTTTTCTTTATTGTTGGAATAAATCTATCTTCAGCCTCCTTGCATTTCAATATGACTTGGGTCATCATACCTTGCACTGTTTTTCCTCTAAGTTCTTCCTCCCACTGCACTTCTCCCAGGTAGTCCCTTATCCTTCTGTAGTCCCCTTTTCTGTAATCAAGTCTCCTTTCCCGGACCTCTTGTCCTTTGGTCACAATTTTAAGCTCCATCATGTAGTCAAAGACTAGGACACAATGGTCACTAGCTCCTAGTGGTATTTCATGTTCCAACTGCTCGATGTCTTCTACATTCTGAGTGATAATGAGATCTAATAGGCTGGGCGTATCCCCTCCTCTTTCCCTAGTATCTTCTTTCACATGCTGTGTTAGGAAATTCCTGTCAATAACGTCTACCAGCTTCGCTCCCCAGGTCTCCTCCCCGCCATGGGGATTCCTCGTTTCCCAATCTATCTCTCCGTGATTTAGGTCCCCCATGACCAGCAGCTTCGCTCTCATTCTATGCGCTAAAGTTGCTGCCCTCTGCAGTTCATCCATACATGTCTTGTTGCTGTCCTCGTACTCCTGCCTGGGCCTTCTACTGTTTGGTGGGGGATTGTAGAGTATCAAGATTACAATCTTCTTCCCATCCACTGTCAGGGTTCCATGTATGAAGCTTGTGCTTTCATTGGTACCCGGATTTTCCAGCTCATCAAACTTCCATTTCCGCTTTATTAGTAGTGCCACTCCACCTCCCTGTCTCTGTGTCCTTTCTTTTCTTATCACCTGGTACCCCTCTGGAAAGATTGCATCCGAGATCATGCCATTTATTTTAGTTTCCACTATTGCCACTATGTCTGGGTCTGCCTCACTAACTCTTTCTTTTATCTCTTCTGCTTTATTGGCTACCCCATCAGCATTGGTGTACCAAACCTTGAGACTCTTCTTGGAAACTCGGGTGTCAGAGTTCCCCCTTTCACCAGGGGTCTGGGGGGAACTGGGGGGTGTCTGGGGGGCAAGTGGGGGCTGTGGGGGCGAGTGGGGGGGTGCTAGGGGGGTGCCTGGGAGTGCCTGGTAGGCAAATGGGGTCTGGGCATCTAGGGGGGTAGGAAGGGCATAATGGGCATAAATGTGTGTGTGTGTGTGTGTGTGTGTGTGTGTGTGTGTGTGTGTGTGTGTGTGTGTGTGTGTGTGTGTGTGTGTGTGTGTGTGCGCGCGCGCGCGCGCACCTGCTACATGTTTGAGCACCAGCTTTGCAGCTCCCCAACCCTCTTCCATTTATCGAACCATTAGCTGATTAGTTTAATGCAATAACTTCTTTTTCATTATCGAGTTTACATGCAAAATTGTGTATTGAATTACATTCATTCGTGTAACCTGTTCTATTTATTAACAACTGTTTCTACTAAAGGTTTTTTTTACTTTGCAATTTGATTGTGCCTCTAGTCGCCTTCAATATACCATAGTTTAAACAACATGTCATTGTATGCATTGTCAATACCCCTTAAATCTTGTATGTCGTTACAATATCCCACCTGTTACTTCTACAGTGTCGTGAAATTTAGTTCCCCCAAATTTTTCTCATAGCTCAATCCCTTTTAGCTTAGGCATGAATCTTGTTGTATACCTTTGAATCTTTTTCAGTTTTTCTTTGTGCTTTTTCAGGCGGGGTTTCATGCCGAACCTGCATAACCAAGATTGGATCTCGAGTATTGTTGCATATAGCGATCAGAAGCCTCTAGTTCAAGTGGTAAGTGAATACTTATTTGTTGTAGCCTATCTGTGTTTAGAGAAGATGAAACTTGCTTCCAAAGGCCCAACACTTAATCTTCAGTCGACAAGTGTACATTTTTCCTCATAGATTGTGTGGTGCGCGCGTGTGTGTGTGTGTGTGCGCGCTCACGCACACTCGCACGTCTCGGGGGGGGGGGGGGGGGGGGGGGGGAACTGTTACCAGTCTAAGAGCTCGACCTTCAAAAGGTCTATTAAAATTTTAAGACTGGAAGCGAGTAGCGACCCAGGAGTCATGGACGCCACAAGGAGCCTGTTCCCCCCACAGGTGCTTGTCTGTGCACTCACCAAGTTGTGCGTGCAGGGAGTTGAGTTTCAGCTCCTGGGCTCTGCTTATTAACCAGCTGTGTGATGCTCTTCTGGGAGCCATACACCGGCTCTTAAATACTAACTTGTAGGGAGCATTTTAGTTCATTCAGGATGTAATTTGTTAAGAGAAAAGGATTAATTTATTTCCAATGCCCACCAATATATTTTTTATTGGAAAAAAGGCGATCAACGGAACTCTGACGTCACTTGTGTTATCGTATCACGTGATACGTGATAGCATTATCACGTATCATTATCGTATCACTCGACATTTTAGTTTCTCTGAGAGTTAATGCCCAACCTTCTCTGCTTTCCTCCTGCCCCAAAGTTTGGTACACTCTGGGTACAGTGTACCAAACTGTGTCTAATTACCACCTAATTAGCAAAACTAATTAATTAGTTTTGCTTTCTGTCTATTCTAAGGCATCTAGATCACCTGTTTAAAAAATGAAGACATTTTTATCAGTGGTTTCATCTTCACGTGAATGGAGTTTTGAGCCAATGAGTTTTGAGTTTTGGAGGAGTTTGTTCTTGTGTGAGGGTGTACAGGGGAAGGAGTTTGCCGTCTCCCCACTCATCCACCTGACAACAGAGGGGGGTGGGGGGAGTTGTGGTGGTGTTGGAGTTAATGGGGGGTGGGTGGGGGGTGGAATGGAGTGGGGGAGAAGGGGAGGTTGTGCCCGCCCGAGGCGCGGACGTTCATGATAATCCACGCCAGCCTCGGGGCAGTTGCAAGAAATTTTGAGCCGCTGGAAAACACAAACGTTTTCTAGAGGAAAATGCCTTTTTAGAAAACGTTTTCTGGAGGAAAACACTTATAGAAAACGTTTTCTAGATTAAAACGCTTTTTTAGAAAACGTTTTCTAGTGGAAAACACTTATAGAAAACGTTTTCTAGATGAAAATGCTTTTATAGAAAACGTTTTCTAGATGAAAATGCTTTTATAGAAAACGTTTTCTAGATGAAAATGCTTTTATAGAAAACGTTTTCTAGATGAAAATGCTTTTATAGAAAACGTTTTCTAGATGAAAATACTTTTATAGAAAACGTTTTCTAGAGGAAAATGCTTTTGTAGAAAAACATTTTCTCTTCTATATATCTAGGACCTGTAGATAAATAACAGTAAGAGACGATGCTACTGCTATTTATACAACAAAACAGGATGTGAACCATGGCTCTCAACAGGTCTTCAAGAGGAAACTAGAGTGTTTCCTCCAAGGAGTGCCGGACCAACCGGGCTGTGGTGGGTGATGTGGGCCTGCGGGCCGCTCCAAGCACCAGCCTGGTGACCAAACTCTCACAAGTCAAGTCTGGCCTCGGGCCGAGCTTGGGGAGTAGAAGAACTCCCAGAACCCCATCAACAAGGTATCAACCAGGTATCAACCAGGTCGGAGGCAGTAAAGAGCATCACTACAACCTGCAGTAACCATATGGGTTATGCATAAGACATCCACAACAGTCAACCTCCTCGGCTGATGAAAAAACTACCGGGAAAAAGTTCACCCCCTTACGGGCGCTTATACTATATCTTGTAGAAATTGGACTCGAGTACACGTTGGTGAAATATCCAGGAACTTGAGTGGGCGGAGATCAAGAAAGGCCAGGATGCTTGCTGCTATATTGACAACACCACCAATGTTGAGCTCAACACGAAGATCTCTGGGGATTAGTTCATCGTGTTGACGTGATAACTCATCCCCAGAGAATATAATAATATTAGAAGACAGTGTATGGAATCTGCAGCCATCAAGAGGTCTGTCTAAGGCTCAGGTTTTATCAACAGGATTGTCTAAGGCTCAGGTTGTATCAACAGGACTGTCTGAGGCTCAGGTTGTATCAACATGTCTGTCTAAGGCTCAGGTTGTATCAACATGTCTGTCTAAGGCTTAGGATGTATCAACAGGACTGTCTGAGGCTCAGGTTGTATCACAGCATTTCCTGATTTCTGACCTACAGTGTGGCTTCTTCAGCTTGAAGATGATATACTAGTAACATAACATTAAATCTTTTCAAGAATTGGTCTAGGGTTGTGCATCGTTCCTTCACCGTATATTGCGCTGCATTTGCACCCAGCAGTAACTCGGGGAACATGGATGTAAAACGACTGTTGGATAGTGTTTCAGGGGAAGCACATAGTTCGCCTGTCACACGTGAGATTACTTCCTCACACACTGATACAGTCACACTGACCAACACACACACACCTCAGCCTCACCAGGAGCTCTCACGGGGCGGGACATCTACAAGGAAAACTCACAGTAAATCCGACGTACTCTGAGCTGGCAGGTATGAGGCTCCTCTTGTGTCAACAGGTGTACAAAACCCTCAGGTTGTATCAGTTGGAATATCTGAGACTCCTTTATGATATCAGCAATCGTGTGTGAATCTCTTGTTGTATCAAGAGCCATGTTTGAGGATCTGTTGTACCAACAGTTATATGGCTGGTTAGCTTGCTGTATGTTGACCAGACCACACACTAGAAGGTGAAGGGACGACGACGTTTCGGTCCGTCCTGGATCATTCTCAAGTCGATTAGCTTGTTGTATCATTGGGATGTCTCCTGCCTTTGCATTAAGACTGTACTTCTATCAATTAACAAAATCATTATTAAGTAAACACAGTACTGGATTGCTCTTAAATGTATTTTCTTCTGTGCTTTTAAAGCGTGTTTTGAGAGCTGAAACTAAGCAAGTTAAGTGAGGTCTTGAATCTGTGATTTTTTTTTTATAACATGTAGCTTGAACAATGGGTAAACAGTTGTTGTGGAAATAAGTTGTGATAAGGGAGTCGTATTTGTTGTAGAAGTTGTGATAATCGCGGTATTCGTAATTGTAGTGAGAGCGGTATTATTTTCGCTGACCATCTGGCATTTACAAGAAAAACCTGTCAGCCCTCCTACGCTATGTTACTCCGAGATCCTCCAACACTCGGCCACTAACTAATCCAACCATGGTGTGAACCGACCGCATTCCCGACTCTCAGGGTCGGCCACCTAGGGAGCTACCCAGCCAGCAACCCAACTAACCCAGACACCCAGCCAGCCACCCAACTAACCCAAAGACCCAGCCAGCCACCCAACTAACCCAGAGACCCAGCCAAGCACCCAACTAACCCAGAGATCCAGCCAACCACCCAACTAACCCAAAGACCCAGCAAGCCAACCACCTGACCACCTTCAGTGAGCTACGAGTGTCCAGTATCAGAGTGTAGTGTAGATGGAATCGTCTCGCACGAAACGGTGATGTAAAGTTTCAACGAGAGACGAACGTGAGGTAGTGGTTTCTAGGGAACACCTTCGTAGACGCTACCGACAGTGATTTACGGTGAATAATTGTAATCAAGTGGACAACAGAGTATCGTAAGACAAAGACTCGCATCGCGAACAAGAGACTCATCCCCAAAGAGAGACTCATTTCGAACCAGAGACTCGTATCGCGAACAAGAGACTCATCGCCAAAGAGAGACTCATTTCGAACCAGAGACTCGTATCGCGAACAAAAATACTCACATCACAAACAAAAGACTCACATCATAAACAGTTGGGTGGAAGTGAATAAGCACGCTACGGCAGACCGGACGAATAAAGTGAATAATTGTTTCTTCTTTGTGCCTCACGTCTCAGCGGATATGTTGTGTCCCCCTGTGTCCCTGCCTGTGTCTCACCACGTGTCCCCTGCGTCCCTCCATGTGTCTCCCCTGTGTCCCTGTGTTTAAACAACAATTTGCCACTAACTCTCCGGTGAAGGTCGACCAGATTGAGTGAAGGAGAATCATCTGCGTCTAAGTTTGACGGTCGGATGATGGTGGTGGATCATCCATCTCTGTCTTGTCTCACTCATCCATTTGATTATTTTTGTCATCCAGATTGTTAAATGAGACAATCAGCTCACTTGTTTTGTCAATAGCTACACCGAGGAACGGGTAATTACCTAAGTGTAGTTACAGGATGAGAGCTACGCTCGTGGTGTCCCGTCTTCCCAGCACTCTTTGTCATATAACTCTTTGAAACTACTGACGGTCTTGGCCTCCACCACCTTCTCACCTAACTTGTTCCAACCGTCTACCACTCTGTTTGCAGGACAGGACACGTCAGGACACGCTAATTTACACCTACAGTAGTCATTTTCCGTCATTACGTGAAATGCCGTTGCGTTCCCGCGACCGGAAAAGCCTTGAAATAAGGGAGACATCAAGGCTGAAATAAATTATGGTCACAAGACTGGAGTATGATTACTGGAAATAGTACTGCACGGGTCGTGTGGGAGTATACCTGGAGTATACCTGGAGTGGGTTCTGGTAGTACTTCTACTCCCAAAGCTCGACCGTTGTCTTGTGATAATTTGGTACAAAAGACTTTGTTGATCCTATTGAGTCCAATAGGAAAAAGAATCTGTTCACCAGTTGATTGACGGTTGAGAGGTAGGACCAAAGAACCAAAGCTCAACCCCAGCAAGCACAACTAGGTGAGGCTGTTGCTTGGAGCGGTTCGCTGGCCCCACATATACACTACAGCCTGGTTGGTCCGGCACGTCTTGCAGGAAACGTGTCCAAATTTCCCTTGAACACTTCGACTTTTCTACCGGCATACAAGGTTTGTGCACTATGAACACCGAAGAATGTTGACATGTAACGCGAAGCTGCAACGGCTCT